ATGTGAACACAGTAAAACACTCAGTGATTGGTAAGGGGCTCATTTGCATATTGCAAATTTCTACTGTATTGTAATTGCCTTGGCTAATATCGCAAAAATATATATTGTGCAGCCCTAGAAGGGGCAAATAATGAAAAGGAGGGGCTTTAGGAGAGAAACTGTTGAAATTCCCTTGCTCTCTCATTTTTTCCTCTGATAAGGCACGAGTATGGCAGGAATGCGATCCTGGCGGTCTGGATAAACACAGAGAACTTACCAGAGCGAGAGAGCTGGACCAAGGCAGAGGAAGAAGACTAATTTTAGGGGTACAACATGTTATAGTGCAGGAAGTGGGGGATGGAGTGGTGATGAGAGTCAGCTGTGGGGTTGGGGTGTAGAGACAGTGTTTGTTTGTGTGTCTGAAGAGGGAGATCGTGAGAAGGAAAAGTCCTGCGGTCTTTGCTCTCTTGCTGTGTGTGTTTTAGTGTTTGTGTTAATGCAGCATGGTGAGCGATAAGACGCCAGATCAGGATTTTGGCACATACATGCTGTTCTGCAGCACAGTAACTGTCAGTCAGAAATGGAGCCACCTGTCAATCAGAACCCCCAGCTCTGAACGGCTGCCTGACCAATTAGGGTTATAACTGTATGTATTAAATTTTCAATTTCACCACAATTAGAGACCACTTATTTTATTTCCATTCAAAATGGAAAAAGCCGAAGTTCCCAAAATGAGTTTAATAAATGATTAAAAAGGTGTGGAGAAAGAACATTTGCAAATCAAACAAGGAAGGTGCAGGTGTTCTCAGATCAATGGACTGACCACTCCAGAGTCCAGATCTCAACATCATTGAATGTGTTTGGGCTTATTTGGATCGTGAAAAGCAGAAAATGCCAGATACTCTACCAGACCTACTCTTTGCATGAGAGTGTTTGATCTCCCTGACTCACCATGTAACTCTACTCCAAATAGCCTGGAAGTACATTATGCACTGATGTCACTTATTCCCCTTACACTGCAACGGAGCACAGCCCACCCGGTGCCAGCCAGGCCAGCAGGAAGTCTGTCTGACTTTTCCAGGAGGATTTTTCTCTAGCGGTCCCTAAGGCTCTCATTTGGCTATTATAGCTTTGTAATAGCATCAGGTGTAATGTTCAACTTATAGCAATGTAAATTGGCCCAATTTTCTCCTTACTACAAATCCACCAAGAGATGTTTGGTATCTGAAGTTTGTTTCTTTAGGTTTGCAGTGGAGCTACTTGGCTAATGTGGCCAACAAGTAATTGAAGCTTACAGGCACAGATTAGCACACTGCGTACCATCTCACACTTGTCTCAAACCATGCCGAGTTGTTAAGTTATCTCAACTAGACTTGTTTTTGTGGTTTCTGACACTGTGTAACAGGGTACTGTCGCTATAAGAACTGACAAAATCCAGGCCTCAAGATGGCTGCCATTGTTTCTAGCTTTGCAATGTCTATTTTTTGAAAACATTTTGAGAGATTAGAAATATAACAAGAGCTATGCGAGTTAAAATAAGGGTTTCTGGAGTTCCAAATAGAGGTTGAAAACTGGCCAAACTGTTTTTTTTGTAAGAAAATTAACAAGCAGCTGATTTTCCCCTGAGCTGTACCGTTTCATATGGTTATATGTTTAACTGCAGTAGGGAAATGCATTTTTTGAGAAAAGACAGAGACAGTGAAGTACTTTCTCATTACAGCTGAAAACATGCTGAGCAAAAACTTTGCATGTGCTAGTGCTAGCTTTAGCATGCTAGCAGTGGGAGAGGGCTTGTCTCCTGTGGAGCAGGAATGCTAATGGCTGGGGTGAAAGCGAGAGCTCTACAGGCTCTGATAATTGCCTTCCATATGAAGCCCTGGGGAGCTGCTGGGGCTTACGTAAGGCCTCCGGCCCGGTAAAACCCGTCTAGTCACCTCTCGCTAGGTTAGAGAGTCTTTGAAAGAACTGCCGAGCATGGGAAAGGCAGAGCGGCCTTGTCAGGGCTTGTAGTGTTTTTGTTGTTTAACTGAAGTTCTGGCTGCACATTCCCAAGGCTTCGTTAAGCTGCTCGTGCTCATTAGGGAGAAGTGCATTGCACTGCTGTGAAGCCATGCTCTAATTCAAACTCCCTCAGAGGGGTCCATTCAGGAGTGATCACGCCTGTGCTGCTAGCTTTAGCATGCTAGGGTAAACGCCTGTGAAGGCTCCACCTTCAAAGCGAACATTTAGAAGGGTTATAGGGTCAAAGGAGTCACAAGAAACAGCCGTTTGTTTTTTGAAGCAGAAAGATCTACTGTTCTACTGTCCCACATGGCAACAGTTATTGCTAATCGCTAACAAAATACTATGAACAGATTTGTCAGCAGAAAAAACTGCTGCACTGCCACCAGTTCCACTTACCAGTTGCAGTTTACGGCCTGAGCCCCTCACAATGCTCAAAAATGAAAAGAAAATTAGGATTTTGCTATAAAAATGACCTGCTCTTTAACATGTATACATTCCTGTAAGAATCCTGAGATGTCTGAACTCTAGACTCCACCAGAAGGAAAAGTGAAGAGCCTGTTTCTTATCTCTTTACTCCAAGGAAAGAAGCATAAAGGCTACTAAAGTAGGCTAAAAGCTAGCATACAAGGGTCTCTGGGTCACTCCACCAGAGGGTCTCTGCTGCTGGGTAGCAGGTAGTAAAAAGCGCACCTGTAATGCATAGGATGCATTGCAGAACAGCACTGATGGACATCAAACTCAAGCTCATTTTACACTCTTATATAGATTTAGTGGAATAAAACTTTAAACATAATTTGGCGATTTTTTTAGGTTTGGCATCAGCTAACTAACTTTTCTTAAACTTGGTGTTTGTGGGCTAAAAGCTATGAGGTGAAACAGAATGTGGCAGCATAAGCTGGAGGAAGCTGTCCATGAGAATTTATCATTTTCTCTTTAAGAGTTTAGATTGCCATTGGCTGCCTTGATCCATGTAAATTTCAAGCTTTGTGTCATTTGCTGTGGATTTTATATATGGGCCTGAGTTTAATACAGTAATAGTAAGATGCTGAGCACCTCTGCCTGGCCAGTGGATTCTTTGAAGCTGTTGTTTAACACTCTAGTTTTGAATGATATCATAAAATGACCATAAAACGACTATGCTGAGTGATCTCCCGTCAAAGTGCCACACTGTCCTTGCTATTTGGAATCCAGTGCCAATACAATTTCTGTTAAGAGGCACACTCCTCCCACAGGTTATAAGGTTGCAACTATCTCCCCAAGTCCATCTCTCGCTCTCTCTCACTCTCTCTCTGGCATGGGCACACACACGGCACGGACATGTTACTTAAAAAGGCACAAATTGTTTAAAAGGCTGTCTCGGAACCTTGTAATCAACAAAGTCGTTTGTCCAAACCACATATTTAAACTGAAAAGGCCAACAAACAGTGAACATTCTGCTTAGAGAGTGAGCACAGTTACATGACTTACAGGAATGAGGCAATGCGCTGTTTCCTGACCTAATCTGGTCTATACAGAGATTGTGTGTGTTTGAGAGAGCGAGAGTGCTTAACAGATCGTGACCTCCACATTCCTGAAGGCTTATGTAAGATACATGGGCAAGCTTTTTTTTTATTTGCTTTAAGAAAAAGAGAGGGCGAGGCATTTTTTGGGATACAAAGTCCATTGCTCATCGAAACAGTATTACTGTACTGTCCAAGCAGAAGTTTACCAAAGCTATTCCTAGAATACCTTTAGGACGCTGTTTTTATTGTGGTAACCTGTAGGGCCGGTTTTGCCAATGCAGGTTAGGCCTAGTGTTGGGTTACTGCACAGTCAGTGTGGAGTCACCACACCACTGAAAAGTCCTTATAAGAACAGGACTGGATTTAATATAATGTGGACAAATGAGTCTGTATGTTCACAATGTCTGACTGTGTATAAGTGTGTTGTGTACACATTAGACATGCATCTAACAATAGGATTTAAAAAAAAATTCCATCTTTTTGTTCACATCAATGCGAAGTATGGGGCGGGTCTGAACATGTGGTTGTGTAAGCATGCGGCTTTGTATCTCCGTCTTCTCACCACATTATTATGGTGGGTGGGGCTGCAGAGACAGTTGGCATTCTTGTTTTCCAATACCAAAACAAGCTGCATAATACCGTATTTACGTGATGCATCATTTTTGTATCTGTTAATCTAGATCATCTCTGATCTCTGGATAAGTTTGCATTTATGGAATGTTAAAAATGTAGCCTGCAGTATATGAATAGGAGCGGTCAGGTATGTGTTATGTTTTCATACATGATTCTGTGTAGAATTTACTGTATGTACTTTTTTTTTTTTGTCCCATTTCACTTTGGGTCTGTCTCAGGAAGCATATTCAACTTGAGCAAGGTTCCGCAACAAATTTTAGCTTCAGAAAAAAAAAAAGCGACCCAAGTTAACTTGTTTTACTCGTATGATGTTATTTAACAAACAAAAAGGAAATTCTGTGAAAATATGTAGAAAGTAAAGCCTTTATAACGATGAAAAGCTGCACTGTTGCTGCTGCCACCTTGTTTACACTTATTGCAGTAGTGATTGCTTTATATTATTAATATTTATGTAGTATGGATTGTTTCCTCTGCTGAAAAGTCATATTTCTTAAGCGATTGATGCCACGAATGTCACCGTTTTTTTAAAAAAAAGTGACCCAAGAAGGAGCTCCGCCAGAAGTCTGTCCTTATTTGGTTGAAAACCCGTCCCTGGTTGGTCCAAGAGCTGTTTATCCCAAACTTAAGCTGCCCTAGAGCAGCTTGTGCGTTCGGAATAAATTGCCATGGCAATGTAACATGGTAAATAGTGATAGAAAATCCAGGGTTAGATGAAACTGTGCTTAAAGTTAGTTGGCTAAGCAAGTTCTTTTTTACTATTTGCTGTTTTATTGTTTGATTTAAATATACTGTGAAGGACTGTGAGCTGCAACTAAGTATAAAATGTGCTATGTGAACTTTGCAGCCCCTAATTCTCCTCTTGTCCATTTTCTTCCCCCTCAGCAACCATGTCAGCTGCAGATAAGTACCTGTACGTGGACCGCTCTGTGGTGAACAACCCACTGGCGCAGGCGGACTGGGCCAGTAAGAAGCTCGTATGGGTTCCATCGGAGCGTCTGGGCTTCGAGGCCGGCTCAGTGAAGGAGGAGCATGGAGACGAGGTGCTGGTGGAGCTCGCCGACTCCGGCAAGAAAGTCCGTGTCAACAAGGATGACATCCAGAAGATGAACCCTCCGAAGTTTAACAAGGTGGAGGACATGGCTGAACTGACATGCCTGAATGAGGCCTCCGTGCTGCACAACCTGAAAGAGAGATACTACTCAGGCCTTATCTACGTAAGTTACCGACACAGCTCTGTCACTGTTCTGCTACTGAGCCTGCTTCTGCTACGTTGTCTAGATCTGAGCAATAAGATATTAAGGATTTCTTCAACAGTCTAACATCTGTAAATAAGTTAAATCAGTATATTAGATGTTAAATCAGTATACTAGTACTGCCTGAAGGGCCCATAGCCTAAATTTACCATAATACATTGAAATGACCTTAAACTAAGACAATGCAATGGTTATCATATTTCTTTTAATTGAGAAAATTCTCACATTTGTGGGTTTTTTTTTTTGGTCGCTCGCGCAGCCAACTTGCCAGTTTTTCTTTTTTCTATATCACTCCGTTTGGAGTTTGCCTCTGAAAAACCTCCGTTTGGAGAGCCATGTAGCCCTAACATTTCACCCTACCCCTCTATCTCAACAAAAATCAGTCACTCTACCCCACAGGCATAAATAGAAGGCTAAAGACTAAGTGGTAGGGGCAAGGGGAGAAATGGGATTGGGGGTTCAGGGAAACCAGTGCTTAGTTACAGTTGTTAATGGACCAGTAGATCTGTTCATATTGTGAGTAAAAGAAAAGTCAGTGGCACTATTATATTTGTACTGTGCTGTGCATATTGGTAGTGCTGCTATACTGTGGTTTAATATCACTGCCTCTGCTAGAAACACAGACTCCTTGGGTAAAATTAAAGGGAAATTCCACTCACATTTTCAAAATTTCTGGATAATTCTGCATAATTCAAGAGATGATGATGTAAACAAAGTCATTAAGAATGGTTTGGTGTGAAACTGTGCATTGTAGAGAAACTACCTACTCAAATTATTTTATGATGATTGCGATAGGAACCAAGAGACTGGAACCAAAGATCTCTATGACTCAGACATTTTATTTACTATCCAAAAGACCTGTGAACATACATGTGTCCTCTACGTTTTTATATGTAATGTAGATATAGGCCAGAGTCTGATCTCAGATCTGTCGTGAAACAGTGTTTCAGGCATCAGGCAGCATTTCCGTAATCATTTCTTGTAATAAGTTTGTGAGTTAGCTTTTAGAGACAATAAATACTTGAAACGTCTGGTTCCTATCAGCACTACTGTGAACAATTGTGACTGGATAAGTTTCTCTGGAATGAAGCATTTCATATCAAACCACTTTACATCTTAACGATTTAATTATGCAGATGTTTTGAAAAATCAGTGGAAATCCCATTTAAAGAACGATCTCTGAGGCTAGTGGAGGATTGCCAACCATGCTGCAAGACTGCTGCTAACTGATATAAAGTGACTGCTCTGAACCTTTTCCGCCCTCCTGCCATGTTGCGTAATAGCCTTTTTGAACTTTGAAATAATTTAGCGTTTTATATTCGCTGTTTGTTGTGGCAACAGTTATTCAGTTAGAGATAGAAGAATTATTACACAATTCATGTATTTAACTGAAGACTGTGGAGTTGGTGCAGCTGCTGAAAGAGATTTGGTACGTAGGGGTGTGTGTGTGTGTGTGTGTTAGGTGTGGTGGATCAGTCTGTGGTCTCCCTGAACACCATCTGAGCACAGCGTCCCCCAAAACGCTCCCTTAATTAGTCATCTCAGAATCACTCAGACTGACCACACAGACACACGCTTGCACACAACAAAGAGAAGGAAGATCTCTCTCTCCCTCTCTCTCTCTCTCCCTCCCTCTTTCTCTGTGTGTGTGTTTGAAGTTTTGTGGTAAACAGGAAACTCAAGGGAACAATATGTAAAAGGGAGGAGGGAGAAAAGGACCTCTGGAGAGATGGAGAGAGAGTGAGAACGAGGAAAAGAGTGATGGAGAATAGAGGGAGAAAGGAAAAAGAAAAAGAGGGAGAATGAAAGAGAGAATTCTAGAGAGAAAGAAAAATCACTGTAAAGAGAGAATGAGAGAAAAAGAGAATGAGAGTAGTGTGGTAGAGCGAGAGAGAAGTGGATAGAGAGAGACTGAGATTGAGGGGTAGAGAGAGGGGAAAAGGGAAAGACTGTCAGATTGCAAGACCTAATGAGAGACAGAACTGGATGGAGAGAGATGGAGAAAGAGAAGAAGGGGGAGAGAAAAACTGGAATGGGAGGGATGAGGAGGAAGAGAGAGAAAGAGAAGGACTGGGGGACAGAGAAAAAGAAAGGGAGAGAGAATGAGAGATTGAACGACATAGAAGTAGAGAAAGAAATAGAAGGAGAGAAAGAAGGAAAGAATTAGATGGAGAGAGATTCATGGAGGGGAGGGAGAAAGAGTGAGAGACAGACTGGGGGAATGAAAGAGTGAAATCGAGCAACATGGGAGGAAAGAATGGAATGGAAGAAGAGAAAGAATTAAAGTGCAAGAGATACAGCGAGAGCGAGAGACATAGGAGAGAGAAAGACTGGGAGAGAGACATGGGGAGGGAGAGACGGACAGACTGGGAGAGGATGAGAGCGAGACTGGTGCAGCTGTTAGTGTGTCTCAGAGTGTTTGAGGGGGTTTAGAGTCTTTAACCTGAACACTTACATCCAACCGACAGAATCTACAGGCCTTTATTTGCATGTCATGGATGTGGATTCACTCTGTTACTCCCCTGATCTGACCACACTGTCACTGCTGTACTCTGAGAGAACTGTGTGTGTGAGTGCTGGAGGTTGTTAAAGGAACAGTTTGACTAGAAGTTCCCCCTTTACCCCAGCTGGAGTGAGTCAGCTAAGACATGTTTGCCGTCTGAAGTTTGCACTGGATCTGTGAGTAGGACTGATCATTGCTAGTAACTTCATGATAAAAGCATCACGATAATAGCGTCACGATACAAGCATCACGATATGATAAGAAGACATTTTTGGTCAATGTTTACACAAAAATGATTTAAAAACTACAAGAATAATGAATCAGTAAGTGTGGTTGGAGAGTAATGTTTTTTTATTAATGTTCACCTTTTCAAAAGTTTAAATATGCAACATTGAAGACTAAATAGTGCTGATGGGGCTTCTAAGAACTGTATTAATAAATACAAGATGTAAATCCCAACTATTACAGCATGTTTGCCATCTGTTGAATATTGTAAATGTAGCTCCCTCAGACTCTCAGGAGTGCCTCTTTTACACTCACATTAACCTGCTGTGTAAAAATAAATTCATAAAAATATGGATAAAGCTTGTATTGGTGAGCATATATCTGTGAGCTTAATATTACTGTGTCAATATTTGAACTCAGCCCTAGTTATGAGGCTAAGGTAGCTGACAAGTAATAAAAGTAAAACCACATATAATAATACTAATAATTGCTTTACAGTAATAAAAAAGAAATTGCAATGAGTGATTAAAAAAAAATAGGTGTGCAAAAAGGAAAGTCTTCTAAAGGAGAAATAAAAATGCAGTCTGAGAGATTAGAGCAGAGAATAATGACACCTCTTATATAAAAAAAACTGGATGATGAAAGATGCATATTAAGAATGGAATCAACCTAAATGAGTCAAAATGAGGGAGGTTTAGACGGAGAGGGTCTGAAAGAGGGGATTAGCATCATGTGTAAGTGCTGCCTCTGGTGAATGTTGAAGGGGATGATTAGGAAATGAAAGAGTAAGAACTAACAGTCGTTTTTCCCCTATGACTTAATCGCTACTTCTTTTACACCTATTCATTAGACCTTGATGGAGTCATGTGTAAAAAGCTGCTGGAATTACAGGCCTCACTGAGAAGGCCATATTCAGCTGCAGGCTTTCTGCTTTGCTTGGCTTCCTTCACTGTGTGGTGATGCTCTGGTTCTTAGGCATTCATTACCGCATGGTAGATGGATCACTTTACAATAAATATGCAATCTCTCTCTCTCTATCTCTCTCTCTCTCTATCTCTCTCTCTATGTATCTATCTCTCTCTCTCTCTCTCTCTCTCTCTCTCTCTCTCTCTCTCTCTCTCTCTCTCTCTCTCTCTCTCTCTCTCTCTCTCTCTCTCTGCAGACATACTCTGGACTCTTCTGTGTGGTGATAAACCCCTATAAGAACCTGCCCATCTACTCAGAAGAGATTGTGGAAATGTACAAGGGAAAAAAGAGACACGAGATGCCCCCCCACATCTATGCCATCACAGATACTGCATACAGAAGCATGATGCAAGGTGAGTGTCCATATAACCATACGTGTAGTTCACACTGGGGATAGAGAGGACTCCCTTATCCACCCTCTACATATAACATATATACACCTCCAGCACCTTGTACACCCCGAAACCACACTCACTTTTGATTAATAATTTAAAATAAGTTATCAAAAAAGCAATCAGGTTCAAAGTCAAGGCAAAATTTTGACTGTTGCCCAGCCCTAGTCATAAATATAGCCCTAGATTTACACACCGATATTTCCAAAAGTTAGAAAACCACCCTTCGTTTATTCAATTTCCATCAAAACAGCTGTTAAGTGCAAATGGTTTATTTTTCAGCATCAAAAGAAAAAACAGAAAACATATATTTAGCAGAAAATTACACAGAAATCTCTGTGTAATCTCTTTTTTTCCCGTATTTGCCTTTATTGCGGCTTTTTTTGTGAGTTTCATATTCGCAGAGAATCTGCAGGGATATTTTTCCACACCTCCAAAGTTCAGTCTTAGAAGTTGGTTGTGTTTTTTACCTCTCACAAATCAAGTGCTTCTAAATGCATTCAGTGATGTTACACCTGTGGATGTTTTAAGATCGGAAACTAGCGCAGAGCTTGATTTATTTATTTTTTTTTTTTCCCTCTCTCTCAAAGATTAAAGCTTTAAGTACTGTATATTTGACAGGCAAAATAACCAATCACAGACTGTTATTTTGACATGACGTGCATCGGCAGATAAAAGTAAGCCTAAAAAATAAACACGTGCGGTAAACAAATGGGTGTGTGCCAGCAATTGTGTGAGAAATACTAAATGCTTCCCAGAAAGCTGAATAACTTTTTCAGACCTGAAAGCAAACATCTTGGCAGCTCACTCCGAAAGGTTTACTGTCAGCATGGTGTATCATGCAGGTAACTACTTGAAACTGTGTTATAAAACCCACTGCGTGGTTTGTGTTCGCACGGACATGCAGATAGCCAATCAGAATGACAGTGACAAAATCCCAGCAGTTGTTTTCAGCTTAGCTTACTGTGGCACGTACACAGGGCATCTGAGGCTGGGACTACACTACAACCATTTCCATGGTTACACTAGTAACATGTTTTGAGAAGTCCTGCACTTTTACTGGCTCCCCACTTCAGAAACAGACTGTGCCCTCATTTTACACATCTGACTGAAAGATCACTTCATTTAACACATCTGCACCCTTTAGCCCTAACGAAGCTTGTCTAAACATACACAGACATCCAAACAAGTTCAAGTGCACATTAAATCCAGATCTGATGTGATCGCAGCAGCTTTAGTCCCTTCACCCAGCCTTCATTTTGGCCATAGCAGAGCAGCAAGAGACAAAGAAGGCAATTTCTCAAAATCCCCTGCAGGCTTTAATAAGGTTCCCTTAGTCCATCTTGAAGATGTTCTAGTAAGCGAGACGCTGACCTCGATTTCCATCTCTCACGTATGCTGGTGACAGAGCCAGGAGGGAATGAGCTCTGTTTAACGCAGTGCATTTCTCTGCCTTTCTGGTTGTGCCTGTCAAACATTTGGTGACACAAAAAGAAAATTCCTGTAAAGATTTTGTTAAATGAATTATAATTTGGGAATATTTTACATCCCTCAAAACCTTTTGACCGAAAGATGGCTAAAACAGCTTAATGCTTTGATTGCTATCACAACAAGGCGGTAACACTTACAGTTTGGCATTATTCCCAAAGTAGCATTTTCACAAATAAGACCGTCAGAATTCTATACTTTTCAGTACCGACTGAATTGCTTTAACACTACTGAAAAATTATCAAAAAAAAAGTAATTGTCCTTCAGTACCAATTTGCAGTATCTAAGTAGTCAATCTTAGCATCTGTGAGCCAACAAACATGCTAGTTCTAAAATCTAGACTGCTCATTGGCTGTCTAAATTGCATTCCATATGCATGATAACATGAGAGCTTCATAAATAGTGTAGTATTTGACTATTTAGTTAAATAGTTTATCCGTTGCGGTCAGTGTATACCCACCTCCAGCACTGCACATACCCCAGAAGCCGCATCCACTTTTGGTTTGTAATTTAAAAGGATGTATAAATAAAGTGTTGTTTAAGAATTAGTATTAAAGTCAATTGTATAGATATTGTGTCAAAAGTGTTGTATAGGTATCTGTATAAAACAATTTTTGAATTATATCCATTCCCATCACAAATATTGCCAAAGATATAGTTAGTTTACACTCAGTTTCTACTTAAAATGGCCATTAAGTACAAATTATATTTTTTTTCAGGTCATAAAAAAGAAGAAAACATATATTCAGCAGAAAAACCTCAACAACTAGATAAATAACCACATTTATTTCAGTATTTAGTGTGTCTACCCTTTGCCTTATTACTACCCTTTTTAGGGAAACTTGCTTTCATTTTTTTCAAAGAAATCTGCAGGGATATTTTTCACACCTCCAAAGTTCAGTCTTAGAAGTTGGTTGCATTTTCTGCTTCTCACGAATCAAGCAATACCAAACAGATTCAGTTATGTTGGACTCTGGGGAAACTCCTGTTCTTTACTGAATTTGTCTGATCTTGGAAATATCTCCTGAAAAATGAATAGCTTTTACGCAATGGACCTTTCAAATAAAATAAAGGTTGGTTTCAGACTGGGCTCTGAATTGTCCCCAACTTTTGATGCACCCTGTTGATTCAGGCGAATGTTTGTAAATGCCTTTTTTGGGCCTCTGATCATCAGAGTAGTGTTCTTCTAGCACATTCTTGAAGAAGTTTGGATTGTTGTTATTTTCTAGAAATAGCATGCCCAAGTGAGTTCAGTTTTCTTGGGTGTGGGTGGGTTTGTGCAGCAGCGTTCACTTCCTCATTTAATAATAGCAGCAAGTTTTACGTATATAGTGCCTTTCACATACGCAAGGTCACTTGTGTGATAAAGATGTCATGGTGTGTTCAGGTCAGTATTTACCGCAGAGATGGAGATGTTCTTGGCTTTTTAGCTGCTGTGGTGAGGGTGGTGTTCTTGCATTGTGGTGCAGAGGTTAAACTGATGGTTGAAAGGCAACTTCTTTTTCCAGTCACAGGAAGCCGGATATCAGTTTCCTGTATGTGGGCCAAGCACGTCCTGTTAGCAAGACAAAACTCTGGGGCTTGTGTGCATTAGATAACGATTGTGTTCAATATAATGGGCTTTATCGAACAACACAAAACTGCACTCAGAATATTTCTTCCCTTTTATGAGTGGCTTCTGTGAAGTCGTTCAGTTACAGCACTCTTTCTAGTGAAGTTAACTGCTAATGCGGCCCACGCATTAAAGTTTACCTTACACACACAGAGTTAAAGTCAACCTGAAATCTAAACCTTGGTTGTTATGGTCAGGTTAAGTGTGATTCATCATATTATATAATTTTAAAAGACAAAATTGGAGCTGTATGAGGAAGCAATATGTCCGCCGTAATGACCATGGACTAACGTCCAGGTCTGTTTGTTTCAGAACGCCTGCTTTTCACAGTCCATTCAAATGCTGATGAATAAAATCATATCACGGTCATAATTTACCTCCCACCTGAATATTAGGGTTGTGCATTCTGAAACATTTTTGACACTCTAGTATCTGTAGAGTTCATGAATAGATATCTAGTTAGCCGCAGGTAAGGAAAAACAACGCCAAGAAAAAGACTTTGGCTAAAAATAATAAATGACTTTCAGGTGGCAGCACTGATGTTGCACAAAATACAGCAGCACGCAGAGGAACATGTTTGTCAGAGAAATGTATTCCCTTTGTTTCTAGACTTAGCTTACATCAGACAGTGTAGGTAGCTTGGTGATACAGCTGTGCTATCCTCCTTCTCAGCCACATACTTAACGCAGCATCCGTAACAACACAGCCACATTCAGCCACTCATGTTTGAGTAGCAAAGTGGCCAGTGAATTTCTAGTCAGGAGGATTGCCACTCAATGTTTTCCAGGTTTGTCAGATGCTAGAGGGCGCTCCTGAGCGAGTCCACAAAGAATGGGCTCCTATGGCGCTTTTGTGCAAATTTGTAGTTTGTAAATGCTTAATCATTTTATACTGAAAAATGCACTCGTTTCTCAACACAGAGTACATAAAGTATTTCAACACTGCTCTCATATTTATAAGTCCTTTTGAACTCCAGTTATAGGACGTTTTAACAGTGCTTCATGTACATTTATGACGTCAGTGAGCGGAAACTGCTTCACTCGGCCAATGAGCAGATCAGCTCGCCAACCAATCAGCCCTCAGTAGTTGTAATGCCAGCCCAAAACCCATTTGCTGTAGAAAAACAGAAAGGTGTTTTTTTTTTGTTTTTTTTTTAATTCATCCTTCACCTTTCCAAAACTAAAGAAGGTTAGTATTAGTTAATATATAGACTACAATAAGTGACTAGGAACTAAGTTAATGTTTTTGTTTTGTTTTGTTTTTAACCATTTAGCTCCTTTCATGGAGAACTCACTTGGAGGCACTTTTTATCATTTTGACTTTAATGGAGATTCACCACTCAAAAGCCTTAATCCATGCTTGACAAACCAGCCCAAGTCAATAAGTACTTGCTTCAGCATGTAAAATCGAAAACGAATTCCTTTTCCTGAACTGGCAAAACAGTCCTTGACCTTCTAACTGACAGTGCCTGAAAGTAGATGTTTTGCTAATGTAGTCAATTTTTTTTTTTATTTTGTTCCTCTCTGAACAGATCGTGAGGATCAGTCCATCCTGTGCACGTGAGTGTTATGACTAAACACATGCAGCGCAGCAACCACAGCTTTGTTATTTTAAAGGAGAAGCTCTGGAGGAATTCAACTCTCTCTCTGTCTCTGTCTCTCTCTTTCTCTGTTTTCAGGGGTGAGTCTGGAGCTGGAAAGACAGAAAACACCAAGAAGGTCATTCAGTATCTGGCCCATGTGGCCTCCTCTCACAAGACCAAGAAAGACCAGGTTAGATATTCTCCCTCACACTCACTCCCTCCCTCACTTTCTCACTCTATCTCTCCCTTGCTCTCTCTCTCTTCCTCTTCATTGCTTTTCTGTCACACATCAACATGCAGTCTCAGCAGTATGGCATAATTGATTGGTGAGAGTCCATTTTACTTTTCTTTTTTTTTCTTTTTAATAAAGACATTGCCTTCCTCTGTTTATCTGATGTGAGACTTTTTCCCATGTCTCTCTGGTCCCTGATGGACTATCAACAGCATAGCTGAGAAGCCTGTGTGTGTTATGCTACTGTAAATGGTTCCAGTATGTTAAAGTACACAAGAGTTAATGACCGGGGAACTCGGTCATTGCTCTCATGGGTTAGTCCTGTATGACCAGAGTAATTCAGAAGCACAACTGGACATTGTGTACATATATATGCGTGCATGTGTGTGTAACTGATCTGAGAACGGTCTGTTCCCTGAATGTCCCAGAGATACTAAAGCACCTGAAAGATTATTGAAAGTTCAGGGGGTTTTTTTCTTCTTTTTTTCTTTAATGATGTAACAGCCCCCTTTCCTCTATTTAAATTTCTTCCTTCTCCTTCTTTTTTGCTTCAGGAATGATTGCCCTACATGTTTCTCTCACACTGAGAGCTAATCACTCCCATATGTGCTCACACCACCTCCTAGACTGGCCTCCTATGGTTTTATTCTGTTGGCCTGTGAGCATGTGGGTGTTACACATACAGTCTGCATTGCATAAGCCATGCAGATCTTTACACATCATATGAAGTAAAAATGTACTTTGTATTGTTTTTTTACATTTATTTTATTACTCCTATTTATGTTTCTACTTAAGTTAATTATTTTTACATATTATTTTTGATCAGGCTGGATTTTGTATTTGGGCCAATCAAAATGCCATGGTTTCTATGGTTGGCATTATTTCCACAGTTTTAGCAAATAGGGCTGGGTATTGAAATTTGATACTTTTGTGGTATGGACTGAAATACTTTTAGCTGTCCAGGCTAAAATTCTCTTTATAGCTTCAGCATGAATGAGCAGGGCTAAAAGGTGATAGTCTGAGTAGGAGAATATATATGAACATGTTGCTTTTCATGGCATCACAAAAACAAGGAATTCAAAGCAGGCCGTTTTTGCAGCTTCGTTTTCGTATGTCAAGGTATTGTATTGGCATCAGTATCAGAAAAAAAATGGAACGACGTCCTGCCCTGGTCACAGATATAGTCACCCATATACATGTGTGATAATGTTCTCCTCAACATATAGCTGGTTATTACTGAAGTTATTGAAAAGTGTTGCCCAACATTTGATGGGTCCAGTAGATTCTGACCAACAGATGTAAACACCTTTTTGGGCCTCTAGTCACAAGAGTGCTCTTCTACCACATTCTTGTAGAGCTCCATACCCCCTACTGACTGCCTCACTGACTGCCTCAATTTCTTACTTTCTTGCTAACTTGCATACTGACTGACTTACATACTGACTGACTGCCTTACTTTCTTACTAACGTACATACTGACTGACTGACTTACTTTCTTACTAACAAACACACTGACTGACTGCCTTACTTTCTTACTAACTTACATATTGACTGACTGACTGATTTTATATACTGTGTATATTCTGTGCTACATTTTGTATCTGTATATCAAAATGCCGTGGTTTCACAGCTAAACCCATCTCAGTTGGAAAGGGGAACGCAGCTGGGGCCCGTTTACTCTCCAAACCAGAGAGGAGAGATTTGAGAGGTTTATTTATTTTTCTTTTTTATTTTATCATTTGAGTTTGAGTTTTGTTTTTTCTTTTCATCAACAGAACAGCTCGGTCCTGTCACATGTGAGTTACACACATTCTCTTCACCTCCCTCTCTCTCTCTCTCACACATACACCCACTCTCTCTTTCTCTCACTCTCACACTCTGTCTCCCTGTCTCTTTCTCTTCGCTAATGTGTGCTGTCTGGCGGGCTAGCTGGTCATATGGATCGTCACATGACCCAGGTCACAATGCAGAAAGCAAAATGCCATTCAGACAGACAAGAATGGGGAATTAATGAAGAAATCATTTTAATTGGTTTTACTTGCACAGCCTGTTCTTTAACCTGATACTGTACAAGTCAAAACGCAGGATGGGCATGCAACAAAAAAACACAAACAATGTACTAAGTTGATTTAAGGGCCTCCGTCCATCAGTAGTTTGTTAATGCTTGATTGTTATTGCAGCCTGCTTTACTAAAGCCTTTGGCACATACAGTACTGTTCAAAGGTTTGGAATCACTTGTGAGATTAATAATAACAAACAATGTTGACTAAAATAGTAAACTAGATATTATTATACTTAATTGTCCGATATTTTGATACTATTTAATTATGTATTTACAATAATTGTCTGCTAGGTAGAATTTTGATTAATTAGAACTTAATTTTTGATATTGTACAGCTTTCTCAATCATTATAGAATCATCTGCGGCTCCTTTCATTCTGGACAGCATATTAGAACCAGTTTGTATGCAACCACATTGGCTTACATGAAAACATTTGACTCCAAACTATGGACAGTGATGGATGTATAAATGCCTTTAGTGCAGCAGGCCTTCACTCTCATCAGTGTCTGTCTGAATGCATCTCTTTCCAGTCTGGTTGTCCATCTGCGGGGTTGGGTTGGGATTGATTGCTGTTGTACCTGATGGTGTGTCCACATGTGCCTGATTTATGCTTTCTCTGTGAGTGTGTCTGTTGTGTGTGCTTGCTCTGTGTGCGTGTGTGTAAGATGGCTGTGTGTGTGCGTTTGTTTCTAAAGCAAAAAAAAAAATTTCTATAAAAGAGTAGTACACTAGTGTATTATATGCAGAAGTATATTGCTGTGTTAGTAAAATTGATTGTATAGTATTTTAAGCAAACATTACAAGGTGTTTCAATCAGGGATCTCAAACTTCTGGTCCACAAAATAGGGGACACTTGGCTCATGGCCCCCAGGTACTTTGAGTTTGAGATCAATATTTGTGCAAAATCAAATTTATACAATGTTCCCCTTACCTGAAATGTAGTCAGTCAGCCAATGCTTGGAGTTCAGTTACTACTGTTTTTAGCTGTGCTAAGATACTTTTGTCCATTTTAGATAGGTAACAGTGTCATACAGTGTCAGAAACCACATAACCAAGACTATTTGAGAGTACTTAGCGGGAATTCCATGTATTTTCAAAATTTCTGCGTAATTAAATCATTATGATGCAAACAGTCATTCAAAGTGGTTTAATGCTTCATTCTAGAGAACGAGTCAGAATTGTTCACACTGGTGGTGATAGGAACCAGACGTCTGAAGCATTTAATGCTTCTAAAAGCTGTCTCAGAGAAAGCTTTTACATGAGGTTATTATATCATTGCCTGATGCCTGAGACAGTGTTTTATGATAACGTTGTAAGGCAATATAGCACCCAAATAGTACCTAGATTTACCACAATATTGTTATTATCAACATTACATATAAAAACTGAGAAGACGTAGCAGGCCCACTGGTTGTTTTTGATAGCAAATAATATGGCAATATTTGTAGACATTGTAACCCTGGCTTCTATCACCACCACTGGGAAGAAATTAGTAAGTAAAAGTTCTTTACAATGAACCATTTTAGATCAAACCACTCTGAATGACTTTGTTTACAGTTCAACAATTGAATTATGCATACATTTTGAAAAATCAGTGGAATTCAATAATGTTTTATGAGGTGAGCATGTGATAATTTAGAAGTCCATTATTTGAGGGGTTAATAGATGGGCTAAAGACTTCTCTTATTTCTTAGCTACATTAGCCTCATAGCTTCAGTACAAACTTTGACAGTGTTTGAGGTAAGGGGAAAACTGTGTAAATGTAATTTTTTGCTGATCTATCGCTTTTAAGAGTCACCATTTAGGGTGGGCATCTAAATTAAACAAAAATTTTAGTGGTTTTTTAGTGAGTTGCATTTTTATCACCAGTACTAACATCTGGTATTATTAATTCCATGATTAGTTCAGTGTTCTGTCTGTTCCACATGCTGTTCATATGAGGGTTTTGTGTTCTACAGCTGGTTTTTGGCAATATTGTAGTGTTTGCTCTCTGAACAGAAACATGATGTGATAGATGGATGTAGCAATGGGGAGAAATCACGGTCTCACTGTGTCGGTATGTGTGACCCCCACTAGGGAGAGTTTTCTGGATTTAACAAGCCTTAAAGCCTAAATGCACAGGCCAGAGGGCTGCTTCATTACACCATTAGCGAGAAATGTAATGATTTACCTTTGGATTTCCTCCAGATGAATCATTTACAGCTTTAGAGAAGTGAGTGCTAATGATTTAAGCTATCTTAAACAATGTCTGTCCCTGTTTGTAAAATGTTGAGCATCATTTGTAAAGAATGACTCACAGGGAGGTTTATGTAACTGAACTGGGTGAGCTCTAACCGCGGGACCATGCTTGTTCAGTTTAACTCGAGCAAATGCTGGTTTTAGTTCTAAGGATGGTGTAGATCCCTGTTTGTGCTGCTATTTGAAAGCATTTCCTTTGTGGTAGAACAGTATCCGCTCTGTCTCTGCAGGCTTAGGGGGTCCAGCTCCAGTCCTAGAGGGCCTCAGTCCACAATAGTTTGTTGATTTTTGTACTCAAACAAACCTGATTCAGCTTAAGCTTGTAGGGCCAGATGTGATCTTGAAACTATGATACACGTCTGTGGACAGCTGGTTAAACTTTTGCTGCTGGACTGTGCCGAAATCCGCAGCTAACAAGGGTACACCCCTTTAAAACCCACCTCCAAAAAAAACTCTTCGGAATGTCTAGAATAACAGAACTGTACGTTCTGATGTAATGTGAACTTACATACCGACTTACTTACATCCATGACAGGCTTGTTGTCCACTGGACAGTTTTGACGAGTCCAAAGTAGGGGAGCTCCCCCCTCTGCCTTCACAAAGCACTAGAATGGTTTTGAAATTTCACACTCAGTTTGTTCCCATTATAATAAGTCTATGTCGTCATCCACATTTAGCTTAAAATGTCTTATTGTTGTACTCAGATGTTCTCGTCACAAGATCACATCTGGCCCCACAAGACTACAACCCAGCAGTTAGTTACCAGGTTTAATAGGTGCTTGCACTACACCAATCAATTCGTCATCAGTTTCTATATGTTTATTATGGAGAAAAGTCAGTGCATCATTTACTTAAAAACAAAATCTCTAATATTCATATGATGAACGTGGGCAGTCGAATAGGTTGCAGTACACTGCAGGAAGTGTAGGGGGTGATATGGCTTCTGCTTCTTTTCACCTTGAAAGAAGAAATCGATTATATCACAGATTGCACTTTTGAAGGAGCAAAGTGAGAGGAAACCACAAAATGTGTAACGGTTTGATTAGTTGATTAATAGAATAGTCGTTTCTAGTCCTAGGATATTAGATTCCCAAGACAGCAGTTATTCTCCTACGCTAATAGATTTCTGAGGCAGTGGTCAGTTCCCAAGGTGCCCTGGTGGTTTCTAAGCGGACTGATTCCCAAGGCAGTACTCAGTTCCTAAGCTGATAGATTCCCAAGACAATGGTCAGTTCTTAAGCTTATAGGTTCCTAAGGCTGCAGTCAATTCCTAAGCTGCTAGATTTCCAAGGATTGATTAATCTGTTATGTTAACATTTTTAAAAATGTAACCTTAATAACTTGGCAGGGAAATCTTCAAACAGCACTTGCCTCTGGCACTTCAGGACCTTAAGAACTGGACACCCCTGTTCAAAACTAATGGTCAAAGAGTGTAGCCTACGGGCAGCTCCCACACCGCTCATGTATGCAGTATTCAGCTGTTTGTCTGTTAGTGGTAGATAGCTGTACAGATCTCTGTCATATCTACACACTATTTATTATGAGCTGCGCAAGCATCCCAGCTGAGGTAATAATCTGTCTCTGGGCAGATTTCACCTTTTACAAATTGAAAAGCTGTTCATCTTAATATGCTGAAATGTATACGTCTGAATAATTAAACTCAGTTCATTTGCATGTAATGTATACTTCAGCGGTTCTGCTGTGCATGAAGTCTTGGATCAGGTTGGGTGCTCTGTAAGGTGATGGGATTCTTGTGTCTGGGTCATTGTTTTATGGTGTCAGGACTTCTAACACTTCACTGGGATTGTGTGGATGAGGGTGTGGGTGTGTGTGAGGATGAATTGCTGCATTGTGCGTTCATGCTAATACTGTGAGACGGTAAGACACGGTAAGGCATTACGGTTCCTGTATCACTCTGTTGGATTTGCCATTTCTGAATACCACTCTGCTTTCCCTTTAGCATGCTTTGTAAGTATATGGCTCTTTGTGTGTCATTATTAGGGAGAGCTGGAGAAACAGCTGCTGCAGGCAAACCCCATCCTCGAGGCCTTCGGTAACGCCAAAACTGTCAAGAACGACAATTCCTCAAGATTTGTAAGAGTGCTATCCATTCACACGGTTGCACAGTTATTTAGCGGGACGCTTTTATTTGGTTATGTGTTTACTTAAAGTTACTCTTTCTTCTCTAACAGGGCAAATTCATCAGAATCAACTTTGATGTTAACGGTTACATTGTTGGAGCCAACATTGAGACCTGTATCCTTTCGTTGCTTTCTACTGTTTCTGTTTTTTGTTTGTTTTTAGATTTCAAAAATAATCGTCCATTCCTAAGCTAATAAATTCCAAAAGTAACAATTCATAAGCTAATACATTCCTAAGGTAATGGTCAGTCTGTAACCTAACAGATTTCTTAGTAATAGATTTGTAAGATAATGTTCAACTCCTAAGCTGATCTATTCCTAAGGAAATAGTGAATTCCTAAAAGATTCCAAAGGCAGTGGATTCCTAAGCTAGTAGATTCACAAAACTGTGGTCAGTTCTTGAGCTAATAGATTCCTAAGGCAGTGGTCAGTTCCTAAGCAAATACATTCTCAAGACAGCAGTCTGTTCCTAAGCTACTTGATTCCCAAGGCAGTAGTCGAATCCTAAACTGCTAGATTTCCAAGGTACCGGTCGGATCTTAAGCTAATTGATTCCCAAGGTAGTGGTCAGTTCCTTAAGTAATAGATTCCCATGGCTATGATTGGTTCCTAAGCTAATTAATTCCCAAGGCAGTGATCAGCCCTCTTAAAGATTTTTTTTCAACTGAACCCTCAACTTAGCCACTAGACTAAGCCATCTTAACCAAGCGAAGACTCTTTTCTTTGCCTAAAACACTGTGATCTACATAGCTGTCTGAAATGTTTTCAGAGATTGTCTCTTGCCCACATCGATTGCTCCTTAACTGCCTGACCCTTAGACCTTCTGGAGAAATCCCGTGCCATCCGCCAGGCCAGAGAAGAGAGAACCTTCCATGTTTTCTACTACATGCTCTCTGGAGCTGGAGACAAAATACGCAGTGAGTTTACTGTTGACTTTGTGTGGGCTAACATAAGACTTTTTGTTTAGATTATTGTTTTTCTTTATAGGCTAATTGATTTTGAAATTCACAAGAGTCTATTTCATGGATTCCTCCCATTAGCCTGCTAATTGAAGCAGGCGACTGGGTGTTCTTGACAGCTTCTCTGATGTGGTTAGTTAGGGCTTTAATCTAAGCAGCCTGACAGAGCAGGTCTGTTCTTAACCATAAACATGTCACTGAAAGAACTGTTTGACCTCAGAGTAGCCAATCTAGGAAGTGTTGTACACACTGACCCATTGTCCTGATGGTAAGGTACAGCTGAATGTAAACGTTTGGGCAAACTGTTTTAACGGTTCGTACAAGGCACATACATTGTAAAATAAAGTAATGACATCAATAATGAAAATAAATGACATCGCTCATGCCATTTGCAATACTTCATCAGGTTCCTGTTATGGTCAGATTTCTTTTTTTAAATCTTTATTTCTGCCTGGTTAACTGCTGTGTGTTGTGTGTTGCAGCTGAACTGTGTCTGGAGGGCTACAGTAAGTATCGCTTCCTGTCCAATGGCAACGTCACCATCCCAGGCCAGCAAGACAAAGATATGTTCACTGACACCATGGAGGCCATGCGCATCATGGGCTTCTCTCAGGAGGAGCAGATTGGTAAGCGTCACTGATCTTTATTAAGCTTTTTGCTATATCTGAGTTATTTGTATACAGTGAGGGGAACAAGTATTAAGATACTTTTGCTCAATTTTGTTCTTTAATATAATCCAGTGCATATATCCACTTAAATTTCACACACTGTAAAATATATGTATGTGTAGATTTTTAAAGTTCTGCATATGTAGCAAAAAATGTAGTAAAATGCAACTGCTGCCACTGCAACAAGTAGCAATCGTGGTGAAGGAGCTTCCTAAAGGGCAACAATTTTAAACAACACTTAGAAACAACAAGTGTAAAAAGCTACAGAGCCCTGGCCAAGACCTTGAATATCCCTGTCAGTACAATTGGTTCAGTAATGTGCATTTGGAAAGTTCATCAAAGTTTATGGTCAGGTGCAAGATTTCTCTCAGACTAATGACAAGGAAGGTAAGAGAGAAGCCAGCAGTCACTTTGTTGCAGGATGACCTGAAAGCAACAGGAGCATCAGTTATGTGGAGAATAAGAAGCAATAACTTTGTGTATTTCTTTGTTTTTCTGAGTGCTTGCGTAGGACATAGGACAATCTAATTTGAACTTAAACTTCAGAAATGGTATTATGCTTGTGCATATTTTTATATGTTCGTGTGTGTCCTTGCAGGTTTGCTGCGGGTGGTGTCCTCAGTACTGCAGCTGGGCAACATGAGCTTTAAGAAGGAGCGTCACTCTGACCAGGCCTCTATGCCTGATGACACGGGTAAGCTATCCCAAAATTCCTTTCACCTCTTCAGCTGTGTACTGCTGTAATAGTAAGCTTCTTTGGCTTCTTGAAAAGCGTCCAGGCTTGTCGGTTCCGGTTTCAGCCAGGAATTTTTGTTTCAGCACATGGCTATTATTAATTAAAGTGCTTTCTTCTTTTATGGTGCAGTGAAATAATAGAAGCCATAGAAGCCTCATGTAGTGTTGACTCTCTGTATTATATAAACATTATAGAGCATTATGGAGACCCCCCTAAATGGTTAACATTGTCAATGACTATTCAACTTTATTGACTAATTATTTCTACATTAAGGTCTGGAGGCTCTTCAGAGTTGACTTTTCTGCTAGGTTTTTTTACAACACTAATCCAGCCCCCCCCCACCCTCCCTTTAATCGTTGTCTCTAGCGGCACAGAAAGTGTGTCACCTGATGGGCATGAACGTGACCGACTTCACTCGGGCCATCCTGTCTCCGCGCATCAAGGTGGGTCGAGACTACGTTCAGAAGGCCCAGACGCAGGAGCAGGCTGAGTTTGCAGTGGAGGCTCTGGCCAAGGCCACCTATGAGAGAATGTTCCGCTGGCTTGTCATGCGCATCAACAAAGCTCTGGACAAGACCAAGCGTCAGGGGGCCTCCTTCATCGGCATCCTGGATATTGCCGGCTTCGAGATCTTTGAGGTGAAGTCAAGTTTTTGAGAGAGAAAAAGTGCTTTAAAAAAAGTATAAATCTGGCAATTGAGTGTTGCTCTGCAGTATAAAGTCATGTGCTTGTTGATTGTAACTTTCTAGTTAATGTATGAAGCTTATTCTATTATAATAACACATGACACATAATGATGTAATATACCATGCGATGCCCAGTGGAATTAATAGGGGCTGTGAGGCTTTTAAAATGAACTTTTATGTGGTTAACAGTCAGTATGATTTATAACTTTGGTGGAAAGTAAATTGTAGTGATTTGTGTTTTTGTTCTTCATTATATTCAAAGCCTTCATTTTACTGGACATTAAAACATATTTTACAACTTTTATGTCGTTTCTTCTTTGTTCCTTCAGCTGAACTCATTCGAGCAGCTGTGCATCAACTACACCAACGAGAAGCTGCAGCAGCTGTTCAACCACACCATGTTCATCCTGGAGCAGGAGGAGTACCAACGCGAAGGCATCGAGTGGAGCTTCATCGACTTCGGCCTGGATCTGCAGCCCTGCATTGACCTCATCGAGAAACCTGTGAGTGTGCATGAGAAATACATACACCTGCTCTGTGTGCAGGCTGAAGAGAGAGGCATATTTCACACAGCAACATTCTTCAGTTAAGCTGGATTACATAGATGATTGGAGAATTGAGCCCAAAGTGAGCATTACCCAAATGATGACCTGACCTCATGATACCTGACAAACTGATAAATCCCTGTTGTTGCTCATTGTTGAACTGTTTTAAAAAGTCTTAAGTCTAAAAATACATTTAAAAATGTTTTAGATATTTTAGAGATGCATTTAGAATATAAAAAATGTTTGTTTTTTTTTGTTTTTTTTTTTTTAGATTATTTTAGATGTACATTTAAAATATAAAACCTTGTAGAAAATACTCTCGCTGCATTTTTCACTTGCACTTGCAACCGACTGAAAATGAAACTATCGCAGAAACATTCTGCTTTAACAGCCACGCTGCATCAAGTTTAAAACCTCTGCTAGCAGAAACAGTGCATTCAAACTGAGAGAAAGGGGCAGCTACTGTGTGCCTTACAGCAATATGAAATCATAGTGAACTCGCATCATAAAATGGTTATTTCACACAAGCACTCCAGAAAAACAGATATCATTTCAGAGTGTACCACTATACGCCTATCAAAGATTTTACTGCATATTACTGGTAGTCACAGCATCAGGGTGGTCAATAATACTACCTCATAAGTAAGTATGTAAGCCAAAAATCTTTGTCACATTATGCACATACTAAAAATAAAGTAATTTTACTATTCATTGGCAGTCTAGTGTATCTTAAGTTGTGCAGCTGTATTATCTAGGGAAACATTTTTCCAGGAGAAAATTGAAATAATGGAGGGATGAATCATGACATCCCTAAATAAATTCTAGGATGGTTCCTAAATTGTATGTATTAAACTAGTTCAGAACGGTCTGCCTACGAAAACTACTCATCTGTCAGCAGTCCTGTGGTCAGAAACTGAGCACGGAGGAGAGCTAGAGGACCACAAAACTGATAGTCAAACACGCCTTGACAGTCATGCAGTAACAAAGCATATATCCATGCTTTTTCAACTAATCGGTTTAAATAAAATAGACGTTTGAGCTTGTTCGCTCTGTTGTGCACTTCAAATGGTATTATTTTTGCTTTGTTGAGATCTTAAAGGTACTAAAAAGCATTGAATTTGCTTTTAAAATTGTGCAGCCACTCTGTTAGTGAGGTCAGGCGGTGTATATGAATGTCGCCTAATGGTCAGTTTTGATGTCTCTCATTTCCAGGCGAGTCCCCCTGGTATCCTGGCTCTGCTGGACGAGGAGTGCTGGTTCCCCAAAGCCACAGACAAGAGCTTTGTGGAGAAGGTCTTGCAGGAGCAGGGCACACATCCCAAATTCTTCAAACCCAAAAAACTGAAGGACGAGGCTGACTTCTGCATCATCCACTACGCTGGCAAAGTAAACACTTAACCGATTCTGCAACTAATATGATTTTAAATCAATATTTACGGTTCAGTCACTACTCTTCACTAGAATATTCTAGTATGATGCTAGTAAATGAGAAATAAGTGATTTTAAGTGTGTCTATTCCTGCAGGTGTGTTAAAAGCAGCACAACATCAAGAATAAAGTTATAGTAAAATTAATATTCAGGATACATAGTCTTCAAAAACTGATGATCAAACCTTGAGATGGAGAACTATAATATTTATACTTATATTTATCATGGGTTATTTATCATTTAATTACTTCTTGTTCCCCCAAAAAACTAAATATTGAGTTAAACGTCTAAAAAACCTTTAGGTGTGGAGTAATATTTAAGCCTAAATTTACAAGCATTTGAATGTGGTATTTGTTCTTCGAAGAAACCTTTATGCTCATTTTGACCAAACCCCCCCCCCCCAGGTGGACTACAAAGCTGATGAATGGCTGATGAAGAACATGGACCCCCTGAACGATAATGTGGCGACACTGCTCAACCAGTCCACTGATAAGTTTGTGTCCGAGCTGTGGAAGGACGGTGAGTAGAGCCAGCAGCTTCACCAGTGTCAGAACACAATGAGGAGAGAAAGAGTTCTGATCAAAGCCCTTTAAAGCGATAGTTCGGTGAAGGTCTTCAGTCAGTCAGCCAAGGCACGTTTGATATCCAACGTCCTTCTGTAGTTTTGCACTGGAGCTATGTAGCTGGGAAGCTGTGGAAGCTTGCACGCCACCAATTAGCAATGTTGCTAAATCATCACACACTTTTTGATGGGGTTGAGTTGTTAAGCAAGTATATTTGAGATTATTTATGTGGTTTCTGAAACTGTATGACACACGTCTCAAAGCCTGATTTTTTTTTTCTATATTTTTTTCTGTTTTATTGGTAAAATTGTGTCAGTACTGCCAGCAGCATATATACAACAAACATGTCGTGGCTGATTGACTATATTTGCGAGGGAAATTCAGTCAATTCAAATTTTTTTTCTGAATTTTTGCTGAACTTTGTCAGACATTGAGGGAAAAGTAGCATGTTGTTCCTTCTATGCTTTAGCAGAAGTTTGGGTTAAGAGTTGAGGAGGAACAAGCTATTTTTAGAGAATATTTGGAGAATCTTTGAGAGGCTCTTATTTATTATGTTTTGTTTACTGTCCTGGGGTTTGGGGAATGTTGGGTATTAGCCAGCGGTCCTTGTTGCAGGAGCAGTGATGACATGGTTTGTTTTCCATGTTGAGTTTTCATGTTTCTCTTTTCGTTTGCTGGACCTCTGTTCTGCCCTTCCTCCGTCTATCCCTTCTTCTCACTCCTTCCGTGGACCTCTGTACCTGCCCTGTGCTCTTGTTTGTCCCCCCACCTTCTCTTCTCTTCTCTTCTCTTCTCTTGTTTCTCTTGTTTCTCTCAATCTCTCGCTTTTCTGTTTTCTTTTTCTTTCTTTCATTTTCTTTTCCGTTGGCTCTCAGAGATGCAGAGTTGTCAGAGAGCTTATTTTTATCAGCGCTTTCCTTTCCTTCATTTTGAGCCAGGTGACATCTTTCTGTTTTCACTCCTTTTTTGTTCTTTCCATCCTACATTTCACTCTCTTCCCTTCGTACCTTGACCCTGCTGCGCTCCTCTGGTTGTGCGGAGTGAGTGGAGTGACGCGTGTGTGCGTAAGTGAGCGTGTGCTTGTTTTCTCTGCTGGTGCTCATCTCTCTTCCTCTCTCCCTCTCTGTGTAATAGTGTGGTTGGGGCCCCCTGCTGTTGGTCTTTGGTACTGCAAAAATGGGTATAAACTGCATGGGTTTGGTTCTGTTATCACTCCAGATGTACACTAGATGCACAAAACACCTTAGCAACTTCACAAAACTGTACATACACACCTTACACACTTACACAACAGTAATTACATATAATTATTAATTAATGCAATTAGATCGTCAGGAGATGGACAGTTCACCTGCAGAATTGGCGTCGCTCTCTCTGGCCCTCCCTCTCCTCCATCGCTCAGCACAGCCAAGGCGGGTGTCTGTTAGCTGACATAACAGAACTGGCAATTAGAGTTCTTCAGCAAGTTGTGAGTCAAGGGACAAGCCAGTCAACATGTGAGTCAGTTTAGGGCGAGGCTAAGTCAAATGGCAAGCCAGTTAAGGGCAAGTCAGAATTGAGTTGCAAGCCAGTTAAGGGTGAGGCTGAGTCAAGTTAAAGGTCAGAGTTAATTTGCGAGTCAGATAAGGAAGAGCCAGACTCAAGACTTAGTTAGGTCTTAGTTAGGGTGAGCCTGAGTCAAGTGGCGAATCTGAGTCACAAGTCAGTTAAGGGCGAATCAGAGTCTAGTTGCAAGTCAGTTAAGGGTGAGTCCATGTCATGTGGCAAGCCATATAAGGTCGAGTCTGAGTAGAGTCAGAGTTCTGTCAGTTTAGGTAAAGTCAGAGTGAAGTTGCAAGCCAGTTAAGAGCGAGTCTGATGTATACGGCAAGTCTGTTAAGGGTGAGTCTGAGTTGAGTAGCGAGTCAGATAAGGGAGAGTCTCAGTCAAGTGGCAAGTCAGATATGGGTGAGTCTGACTGGCCAGGTAAGGGTGAGTCCAAGGCAAGTCCATGTCGAGTCGGTTGAGGCTGAGTTTGAGTTGAATCCAAGTTGCTGACTCAAATCTCCATCTCCGATAAATACACAATGAAATGTTTAAGAAAGCGATATTACATTCTGTAAATTCTGTATTATTAAATAACTGCATCTCATTATGAACATGAAAACACACACACACACGTTTGTCTTGCTATACATATGAGGACCTCCATAGGTTTCTATTGATTTTGTGTTACTGTAGCTAAATAATACTACACCTAAACCTAACCCTAAACCTAATCCAAAAGGCAATTTTTCTGCTCTTTTAGTTTTCAAATAAAAAAAGTCAATGTGGTGGAAAAAACAACACAAAAATTTCATATAATCTTATCATAGTGAGGACATGGGGTCCTCACAAGTATAGCACTACAAGAACACACACACACACTCATAAGTAATCAAGAATAAAGGAGAGCTGTTTTTTGTTTTACATACTATTCTGCCTACACATACGAAACCTGTCTTGCATATTGTGAGATTTGTATTTTTGAGTGTATATACACACACACACACACACACACACACACACACACACACACACACACACACAGTCACTGCATTGAATTGGTTCCGTTTTCTCATGTATGTCCCCTCCCTTACACACTTCACTGGCATCGTGTGACTGTCCTTTTGTTTTCTCAGACCCTCCCCTTCACCTCCGTTCACTGTGTGGTTGTGTGTTTTGTCACCAGTATTGATGAGTCTTTGTTGTTGTTTGTTGTAGCTGTTTCTAATCCCACAGGATTGTGGGTAAAAGTATGCTGCTTGTGAAGTCAGCCTGTGAGAAATCTACATAAACAGTTGTGTTCTTTTAAATGTCTCTATCTCTCTCCCTCTCAGTGGACCGTATCGTTGGGTTGGATAAGGTGGCCGGTATGTCGGAGTTGCCCGGCGCTTTTAAGACTCGTAAGGGAATGTTCAGGACTGTTGGTCAGCTCTATAAGGAGCAGCTGTCCAAACTGATGGCCACTCTCAGGAACACCAACCCCAACTTTGTGCGCTGTATCATCCCCAACCATGAGAAGAAGGTACCATAACCCTCCTTACCAGCACCAGACTTTAACACTTGCTTGCCTTTTTATATTAAATAAAAAAATAAAGGTCAGCCTTACTGCTCAGTAACTAAGAGCCTGTGAAGGTGCATTTTTCATGTTTAGCTGCTGCGGCTTATTATAGAAGCCATTGGGTTTTTTTTCTGAGTTCCATAAACATTTAAAATGTGTGGCTGTCTTATTATAGATGGGCTGATAAAAAATAGGGTTTAAAACACTTGTGCATCATCATGGAATGGACTGTATTACTGTATTACCTATTGCACTGAAATGTGTTTTTTGTCTCTCACTCTCAGGCCGGCAAGTTGGACCCTCACCTGGTTCTGGATCAGCTCAGGTGTAATGGTGTCCTGGAGGGAATCCGTATCTGCAGACAGGGCTTCCCCAACCGCATTGTCTTCCAGGAGTTCAGACAGAGGTATCTACACTAAACCTGCACCACTTCTTGTGGCCTTTTGTGACTTTTTAACGACACTTCATTTCTGGACAGCACTGCACAAATGTGCGTTTTCCCTCTCCAGTAGTTCTTTTGACTGGTGGAGGATAAACAAGGGCTAGATTTAAAACTAATTTGTCTTTGGATGTTCTGAGTTATGCATTACGATTTTTTTAATTGAATCCATGCAGCTGAAGTATCTTTCCTTTTGCTGTTTCTCAGGTACGAGATCCTCACTCCTAATGCCATCCCTAAAGGCTTCATGGATGGCAAACAGGCCTGTGTGTTGATGGTAAGAATCTAATTGTAAACTCAGACTTTTTTCTGCTCTAGGCCTTACATTAGCCATGAACACAGAGAGAGGTAGTCTAGGTTTTTCCACCCTGTTCCTAAACTTGGGATTAGACTGTTGGGTGCTCTGAGTAATTAGTCCAATTTTTAATGTTTAACATTTATTTTCAACATATTAACATTTCTGTGAAAAAAAATATATATTTTAACTGTGTTACTTTAAAAGGGGCACTGTATATCAAACCTCAAACTTGTGCTTATTATTGGCTGACACAATGATGAACCTCATGGGGTTAATAAACATGTACTCTAACAAATTTAAAAACTAATTTTCATATTCACCCACTCTCTTTCCATCAGATCAAAGCTCTGGAGCTGGACCCTAACCTGTACCGGATCGGACAGAGTAAAGTGTTCTTCCGGGCTGGAGTTCTTGCCCACCTGGAGGAGGAGCGAGACATGAAGATTACTGACGTCATCATCAGCTTCCAGGCCTGGTGCCGTGGCTACGTTGCACGCAAGTGAGTGCAATGACTTCATCATTCGTGCCAATGAAAACACAGAATGCGATTCCCAGACAGTTATGATGGTGCTTAAAGCTTTGAGGTCTACAGTTATTACTGTCACTTTGCTGTAGTATTTAATTAATGGTATAGTTATATAACAAATCTTTTGCAGAAGTCTGCACTTCTGATTATTTCCTGTGTGGCTCAGTGACAAAAATGACAAAGCAAAAATGTAACGAATGGCTTTTCTTTTCCAGAAAACAAGATTCTGCTTACAATATGCTTTGTATTTCTAAAATATTTTCATTTCTGTTTGTAAGCACAAATGTGGTATGGATTTAGAACTGATTTCAGCAGAACTTCGCTTATTTTAGTAAGCTAAGAGTGGCATAATTAAACAAAATGCAAGAATGTACATGCCATGGAGTCCTAAAAGGTTAGGTCGCGTTCTTATTCATGTTCATGTGCAATTTTTTTTTCAATTATTTATGTAATAATGAAATTCCTTTGATGTATTTTTTACTTATATTAACATTGTTTTTTTTGTCTACTCGAATTACAAAGTCTAGTTACACAATTTAATCAAAGTAAATGTTCGGCTGTACTACAGTCTGTTTGCGCCTACATTGCGCTTATGTTTTTCAAACATACCTACACACCTCCATTCGCATAGACACACCCTGCTGCACATCTCTGACTCTGTGTGTGATTATGTGCTGTCAGGGCGTTCGCTAAGAGGCAGCAGCAGCTGACGGCCATGAAGGTGATCCAGAGGAACTGCGCCGCTTATCTCAAACTCAGAAATTGGCAGTGGTGGAGACTCTTTACAAAGGTGAAGACACCAATGCACTCACTCACAGCACTCCCTCACTAGCCTAAAGAAGAATAAGCACTGACACATGCAGCCGTATAAACAGTTATTGCTGTTATTTGGCTAATTAATGCAGCTGGTTACAGATTCTTTAGCTTTGAGAAACTCAGCTGAAGTACAGTTTTGTCTCATGTTGGCAACTAAAGTTGTCTCTCTCATATATAAACTATATACATATAAAATATAATGCTTTTGCTTGGCCCCTGATGACTGTGTTTCGTCCACCTGCAGGTGAAGCCTCTGCTCCAGGTGAGCCGGCAGGAGGAGGAGATGCAGGCCAAAGAGGACGAGCTCAACAAAGTCAAAGAGAAGCAGGTGCAGGCTGAGAAACAGCTGGAAGATATGGAGGTCAAACAGCAGCAGGTAAATAGTGTACACGGTATGAGGCAAATTAAAACAGTTCAACAGACGCAACACACACACGGCATGAGAAAAGGAGACATAATCCAAACAATTCAAAGCATAAATCTCAAAGAGGAATTAAAACATGTCACACAAGCTACACAGAATTGCATTCAAAACTTGCAGGTCACCCAATGATGAAAATTATTTGATATTTGAAGCACCTGCAATGCATGTAGCAAGTCAGAGTGCTTTACAGTCAAGACAAAAAACAGAAAAAATAAATAACAGAAATGAACATGAAAAGACAAATATGTAGAACAACGTAGTACTTTAGCATAACCATATATGCACATCTACACTCCATCTTAACTGACCGGCAGCCAAACCCTGACTTCCCCTTAACTGACTCATGACTCACACGTCCACTGGTGCTCTGTGTGCAGCTGATGGCGGAGAAGCTGGCGCTGCAGGAGCAGCTGCAGGCTGAGATGGACTTGTGTGCCGAGGCAGACGAGATGAGGAACCGACTGGTGGCGAAAAAGCAGGAGCTAGAGGAGATCCTGCACGACCTTGAGGCTCGAGTGGAGGAAGAGGAGGAGAGAGCCAATCACCTTCAAACAGAGAAGAAGAAGATGCAGCAGAATATCACGGTACAGCCTGCTGTGCTCTGTACACTACAGAACAGAGAGGGGGTTATTCAGCATATCATTGTACTAGATGTAGTTTAAGTCTCCCAACTGAATAATAATAATAAAACCAGAAACTTTTTTTTTGACCGAACACACCTTTCACCCTTTTCATTTCGTCCAATAGGATCTGGAGCAGCAGCTGGATGAGGAAGAAGCAGCCCGTCAGAAGCTGCAGCTGGAGCGCGTCACTCTGGAGGCCAAACTGAAGAAGGTGGAGGAGGACGTCATGGTGCTGGATGACCAAAACAACAAACTGGCTAAGGTCAGTCATGGTGTGGTCTAACAGAACTGACAGTGTCATGGAGAACTTTAAAATGCATTTGCATAGGCATGCAGAGGCAAATATGTAAAATGGACTTTGTTTTGCGTTTAACAGGAGAAGAAGCTTTTGGAAGAAAGAGTTGCCGAGTTCACAACCAACCTGGCAGAGGAGGAGGAGAAATCCAAGAGTCTACAGAAGCTGAAGAACAAACATGAAGCCATGATCACAGATCTAGAGGGTAGGTCTCTACGGTTAGGGACCAGTACTTATTGACATCCTCATCGTTTAAGAGCTGATCTGGGTCCAGTGTTTGCCTCAGGAGATGGAATGTAATTACATACAGAATTGTTTAGAAGTCTTAGGCACATGTGTTGTTTGCTCAACCAGTATTACTATTAGAATAAAAACAAATAATATATATTGGTTTTATGTATGCAATTGTTTTTGTTTAGCCATTTCCAAACCTCTCCCTGAGAAAGCCCAGTATTGTTTGTAGTAGGTATTATCCAGTACCTAATTTGGCTAAATTAATACTTCATCAAATTAACCTCTTTCTGCAGGCTCCACTTGAGCTTGAAGAATGGCTATCAGCTCAGCTATTTAACATTAATACAATCAAATAAAAAATGTTTCCACTGTAATTCTGTTATCAGATTAACTAGGACACTGTAGTCACTCTGTATGAAATGTTGTGACTCTGAGTTGAGCTGCTAGCAATGAGGGATGACAGAGGAGGTATAAGAACCTCCTGCTGTGAAAACAACTCGCACCCTTCCACAAAGACGGCCATACCAAGATAGAACAGACAGCACCACTGTAGCTTTCTAGATATCAAAAAATTCTGCCACAATAAAATTAGCATCTAAATACAATTTAAACACAACGCTTACTGTTGTCTAAATTTAAATGTTCCATTAATGTTATAGAAGAAAAATTGCCTAGTAACTCTGGCACCTCCTCCAAAGGTGAAAATTACAGTTAATGGCTTCTCTGAAATCAGGAGTGCTGGTGATTTAGGCCAGTCACGATCGTGAAATTTTAGCTGATTAGTTTTATGAATAATTGCAATTAACAATTTTCTTTATGCAGCTACTAAGTTACAAGTCTAGAGCAGCATTTTTAACATATGGTAAAGTAAAAGTACAGATCATTACTACATCATTCACAGTCTGACATTAGATTCTTAGCTAGGTTACTTCTGTGTCTAGTTAAATGAATTGACCTCTGTGTTTGCGCACCAGACCGTCTGCGGCGGGAGGAGAAGCTGCGCCAGGAGTTGGAGAAGAACCGCAGGAAGCTGGAGGGTGACTCCACAGAGCTTCACGATCAGATCGCTGAGCTGCAGGCCCAAATCGCTGAGCTCCGTGCTCAGCTGGCCAAGAAGGAGGAGGAGCTCCAGGAGGCGCTGGCCAGGTCTGGATCACAGTTACCAAAACATCTCCATGTTAAAAGATTAGCTTGTCAGAAATGCTGAAGTAAACGCAGGAACCAATTAGCATCTTCTCAGTGGTTTTTCCTCTTGCACATTCTTTATTAATGAGGAGTATTTTCTATTATTGATCTTTGATGTTTCAATCATTCAATCTGTAATGATTGAAACCTCAGTGAGATTTTTAATGATGTCAAAAATGTTATTCATCATCTGTATTATTATACTAGGTAGATCATTTCTGCTAAGAAAAAATTACAAATGGAAAATGACTCTTTTATACTTTTTGACCTCTTTCTGACATCTATTTGTGCAGGATTGAGGAGGAAGCAGCGCAGAAGAATCTGGCCCAGAAGAAGATCCGTGAGCTGGAGGCTCAGTTGAGTGAGCTGCAGGAGGATTTGGAGCTGGAGCGGGCTGCTCGCACTAAAGCAGAGAAACACAGGCGTGACCTGGGAGAGGAGCTGGAAGCACTGAAGACTGAGCTGGAGGACACACTGGACTCCACCGCCGCCCAGCAAGAACTCAGGTAATTCAGTAGAACTGAAAAGGTGACCTGCTTGCACTGGGTTACAGCTCATTTTATTGTCCTATGTAAAAGTTTGGGCGCCCCTAAAATTAGAGTTGATTGTGTCCGTGTTTCAGGGCAAAGCGTGAGACAGAGGTGGCTCAGCTGAAGAAGACTCTGGATGAGGAAGCTAAAGTGCATGAGCAGGTGGTGCTGGAGATGAGGCAGAAACACAGTCAGGCATTCGATGAGCTCAATGAGCAACTGGAACAGGCTAAGAGGGTAAGACATACATCCATGCCTATTGGTCATTTACTGAAACAGATGAACCTTTTCCATTTATTGTAACTAACACACACATGTCCATTAATATATGCACTATTGTACCTACTTCTCGTTTGTTTGTTTGTCCTTTACTCACTCATGCTTATGCACATGTTCACAGTAGCTCTGACCCAAGTGCACTGTCTGTCCCTACAGAATAAGGTGTCTGTGGACAAGGCCAAGCAAGCTCTGGAGTCAGAGCGCAATGAGTTGCAGATCGAATTGCAGACACTGATGCAGGGGAAAGGCGAGTCTGAGCACCGCAGGAAGAAAGCTGAGGCTCAGGTGCAGGAGCTGCAGGTCAAACATGCCGAGAGTGAGAAGCAGAGAGCTGAACTGGCCGAAAAAGTGACCAAGTTGCAGGTGCGTAACTCCAGCCAACACATGCACATTCTTTTGAAGAGTCTGGTTAGTACAGACATGGATTAAGACGTCATCAGGCATAGAGCCCTGTAACACACAGGTTCATGTCCACAGGTTGTGGATGTGACTTGAACTGATGTTTTGGTTGATTTTGCTGCAGGCAGAGCTGGATAACGTGAACAGCTTGCTCAGCGAAGTAGAGGGGAAGTCCATCAAAGCAACCAAAGACTGCTCTGCCGTGGAATCACAGCTGCAGGACGTCCAGGTAGGGTCACAACAGTAAATCCAGCAGTTTTTTCTCAAATGCTTATGGTGCATGAAAGCTTGTACTGCCTGCTTGCTTTAGTGTTGTAATGGGAGAAAGATTTCAGATCATGTTTTAGTAATAATCATTTTGTCTGGTTTAATTAGTTCCGGTGAGGCTTGTTGCTGTAAGTTTCTCTCTCTGTGGTCCCGTGTAGGAGCTGCTCCAGGAGGAGACCCGTCAGAAGTTGTCTTTGGGCACGCGACTGCGGCAGCTGGAGGACGAGCAGAACAGCCTGAAAGAACAGCTGGAGGAAGAGGAGGAGGCCAAGAGGAACGTAGAGAAACAGCTGCAGGCTGCGCAGGCCCAGGTATATACATGTAACCACACACATTCACACGTGTAGATTGTTTTTATTTTACATAAGACTTCAACTTATATTACCAAAAAGGCAGTTCAGTGGTTTAATTCTGTATTTTAAGTATTTTGATAATAAAAAGAAGTGATAAAATAATAAATAATATACTGTAATTGTCTAACTTGCCTTGAGACCCTAACCTCTCTCTGTCTTTCTAGCTGGGTGAGCTGCGTAAGAAGATGGAGGCAGAGGCAGGCTGTTTGGAGAACGCAGAAGAAGGTAAGAAGCGTCTTCAGCGTGACCTGGAGGCAGTCAGTCAGCGGCTGGAGGAAAGAAACCTGGGCTACGACAAGCTGGACAAGACCAAGACCCGTTTGCAGCAGGAGCTGGACGACCTGCTGGTTGATCAGGACCACCTGCGCCAGATCGTATCCAACCTAGAGAAGAAACAGAAGAAGTTCGACCAGGTTTGTGTGATTCTGTGTGAGAACCCAAATCCTAATCCCAATTTAATTCCCAGTTTGTGCAGAAATTTCCATAAAAATTGTGTCAAAATGTAATTTCCAAAAAAATTGATTAAAGAAAATGTACAGAAATTAAAGAACAGACATGAAGCATTTCCGGGCATATACACTACGGTGGACATAGGAGGGTTAAAGTAGCTTCATGTTTTCTCTCTGTGTGAGTGTAGATGTTGGCGGAGGAGAAGTCTGTCTCAGCTCGTTATGCAGAGGAGCGTGACCGTGCCGAGGCTGAGGCTCGAGAGAAGGAGACACGGGCTCTGGCTCTGGCCCGCGAACTCGAGACCATCTCTGACATGAAGGATGAACTTGACCGAGCAAACAAGCTGCTCCGGGCTGAGATGGAGGACCTGGTCTCCTCCAAGGATGATGTTGGAAAGAGCGTAAGACTATTTTCTATGATGCCAAACATGCCTTGGCTGATTTGACTGCATTTGGGATAAGGGGAAGATGGCATGAATATGACTGTTATCTATCAGTTTGTCACTTTAACTGTTGCTTCAATTCAAAGGGTTTGAAATATCTCTCCTTTTTTTCTTCTCCCGTGTCTTTACTGTGCTCATTCCCTCCTTTATACTCTCGTTATTTTACTGCCCACTCTCTCAGGTGCATGAGCTGGAGAAGTCGAAGCGTGGGATGGAGCAGCAGCTGGAGGAGATGCGCACACAGCTGGAGGAGCTGGAGGACGAGCTACAAGCCACGGAGGACGCCAAGCTGAGGCTGGAAGTCAACATGCAGGCCATGAAGGCACAGTATGAGCGCGACCTGGCAGGAAGGGATGAGATGGGAGAGGAGAAGAAGAGGCAGCTTGTCAAACAGGTACACAGCCGCGGAAAAGCGTAGAAACCTCCAAGTAGGATCAGTGACTTCTCATTTTGGTAAATAAACTTCAAATAGACTAGGTATTTAACACGTTTGAAAGAAGGAGGTTTTGATCAAAGTGCAGCAGATGAATACAGTGTTTTATAGGCTGCTGGAGCTGTGTGCAATGCATTGTGGGTAAAGTAGTCTCTGCTCTCAGGTACGGGAGATGGAGATGGAGCTGGAGGACGAGAGGAAGCAGCGCTCTGTTGCCGTGGCAGCCCGTAAGAAGATGGAGCTGGACCTGAAGGAGCTGGAGGCAGCCATCGACCAGGCCAACAAGAACCGCGACGAGGCCCTCAAACAGCTCAAGAAACTTCAGGTGCTCTTTTAAGACATAATGCTGCACACCTGTCTCAGTTCTCTCAGTCAGAGCAATCCATGTAAATGGCTGGTGTGTGTGTGTGTGTGTGTGTGTGTGTGTGTGTGTGTGTGTGTGTGTTATGGTGTGTAGGCTCAGATGAAGGACCTGCTGCGGGAGCTGGACGAGACACGTCTCTCCAGGGAGGAGATTCTGGCCCAGAGCAAAGAGAACGAGAAGAAGGTCAAGAGCATGGAGGCAGAAATGATCCAAATGCAGGAGGTACTCAATTTCTTTATACGCACAAATACTCACATACTTGCACACTCACATTTTTCTCTCTCTCTCTCTCTCTCTCTCTCTCTCTCTCTTTACCTGTATATCTTATTGTCTCTCTGTTGCTATCTCTTTTCCCTTTGCCTCAATTTATCTTTAGCTTTCTCTTTATCCCAAATTTTCTCTCTTTCTCTCACTCCCTATCCCAAATTTTCTCTTTCTTTCTTTTTCTGTCTCTTTGTCTCTAACTTTGTCTTTCTTCTCTCTACTATTTCTTTCTCTCTCTGCTTCTTTTTACTTTATCTTTGTTTATTTCTCTCTCTAACTTTGTCTTTCTTCTATGCTTCTTTCTCTTTTCTATCCGTCTTCTACCTTCTCTCTCTCTATTTATCTTGATCTTTTCTGTTTGTCTTTCACCCTCTCTCTGTCTCTCTCTCTGCCTCTCTCACATCCTCTCTTTTCTTCTCTTCTCCTCTCTCTCTCTCTCTCTCTCTCTCTCTCTCTCTCTCTCTCTCTCTCTCTCTCTCCCTCCCTCCCTCCCTCCCCACCTCTCACCTCCTCTTTGTTACTCTGTTTCTCTCTCTCTCTCTTACTCATTTTACATAAGTTACACATCACTGTGTGTGCGTGCAGGAACTGGCTGCAGCAGAGCGTATGAAAAGACAGGCTCAGCAGGAAAGAGACGAACTGCAGGACGAGATCAACAACCAGGCCAGCAAGACGTAAGAACACACATATACAACAAATATAGCCCCACTGATAACCCTAACACCCCCTTGCACACACAAAGAAGCATTAGGAAGTAACGGGACAAAAGAGCCCCCCGTTATTTAAAATGCAGAGCCACAAAGGGGGGGGGCACCTGCATGAAAGTGAGTGTTTTCAGCAGCTAACTAGCCAGATAGCATTAGTGATATGACTGACCTTAACATCTGTGATGTATTTACTTTCTCAAAACAGCAAACTTTATGGTCAATTTTAAAGATTTAACCAGCCTCCATGTCTGTATTTTGGTTGATCTAAAGCAAATTCTACTATAATCTCATTCAAAAGCGTATAGCATTTGTGTGAAGTAGAGGTGTTGACTGTGAGAGCATCTATGAGGATATGACTTTGACGCTGAACTTTGGTCAGAAGTTCCAAGTTAGGTTTTTTTTTTAATCACACATCTCTTTTTCTTTCCTTATAGTGCTCTAGCCGTGGAGGAGAAACGTCGACTGGAGGCGAGAATCGCACAGTTGGAGGAGGAGCTGGAGGAGGAGCAGGGCAACACAGAGCTCCTGAACGACCGTCTGAAGAGATCTCTGCTGCAGGTGAGCACATCACTCATCCACACTGCTCTCTCATTCTTATCATCTCCATGATAGTCTTTCTGATGATTGAAGTAGTTACATTTTAAATTGTGGTGAATTTTAAATAGTTGTTTTTTTTTCCTCTCTCTTTGCTTTCCTTTTACCTTAAAATGTGAGGCAGTTGGTTTGTTTCTTGGTTTTGGTATGTTTGCAGATTCATAATTGTCTCTGTACTTCTGTCTCTCTCAGGTGGATCAGGTCAATGTGGAGCTCACTGCAGAGCGCAGCACCTCCCAGCGTTTGGAGGGTGCGCGGTCACAGTTTGAGCGCCAGAACAAGGAGCTGAAACTCAAACTGACAGAGATGGAGGGTACAGTGAAGAGCAAATACAAGGCCACTATCGCCGCTCTGGAGGCCAAAATCGCACAGCTCGAAGAGCAGCTGGATGTTGAGACCAGGTCAGATCGCATGAAAAACACTGAATAACTGAAAGATAGATAACTAACATTGCCCAAACTAATTCTATTTGCTTCCTCTAGTAACATTAGTGATTTTTGGACACATTTTGGATGAAGTTGTTTTGTATATTTGGGTCATCACCATTTAAAAAAATGTTTTGGTGGAAAACAGAAAAGAAAAAAAGTCATTAGCCCATTATAGCCTTTGGCATGATGCAGTTTGCATAAGTCATGAACATGTTCATGATGGAATGAAATAAGACTGGTGGTGCAACAACTCAAGGCTAGTATTTACAGAACCACACAGTAAAAGTAAAAAACAATGAATTAGAGTATAATGCAGATATACACAGAGTGCAACTAGAGGCTCAAGGCCAGATGTGTGTGTTGTGTTTAGAGAGAGGCAGTCGGCCACCAAATTGGTGCGTCGTACGGAGAAGAAGTTAAAGGAGGTCGTTCTGCAGGTGGACGATGAGAGACGCAACTCTGAACAGTACAAAGACCAGGTGAGTGCCTGTACATTACAATATACTACTAATTCAGAATAAAAACCAGGTCAGAGGCAGATTAGAGACAGTACCAATTACCACTCCTGAATTTTGTCATTTTTGATGTAACTGATTGGCCATCTAGTGTCACGCCTGACTCTTTACGAGCTAGATGAGGTGTGTTAGGGTAGGCAAAACTGTGCAGAGCAGTGGGTACCCAGGACTAAAGTTGAGAATCCTGTTTTATCGCATTGTTTAAATTAACTACCAGTGATTACAAAATACAGTACTTTACAGTAAGCTTGAGTGCTGGAGTGCAAAAAGTGCCGCACTTCAGTAAAACCAAACCATAAAAGCCCAAGACCCCAATACATTACTATTACAGTGAGCAGACCAGGTCAGAGCCTGTACATCACTGATTCTGGTGTGCGTGTTTGGCCCTGCAGGCAGAGAAACTGAACAGCCGTATGAAGCAGCTGAAGAGGCAGCTGGAGGAGGCTGAGGAGGAGGCGCAGAGAGCTAATGCTAACCGCAGAAAACTGCAGCGTGAGCTGGAGGACGCCACCGAGTCAGCCGACGCCATGAACCGTGAGGTGTCCTCACTCAAGAGCAAACTCAGGTAATGCAGGCACAAATACACACTTCACTTTTACCTGCTACACCCCGCTCCCTAAAGAGTCAGGTACCAAACACTGCACCCTAAAGCCCCGCACCCTAAAGCCCTGCACCCTAAAGCCCTGCACCCTGCTCAATCAAGAGCAAAACTCGTCTGCTTTACTGCAGCACTTCTAACAAAGGCACCTCAGCTCTGCTACATTGATACTGGTTACTAGTTACCAGAATACTAAACACGATCTCAAATTCCAGACACCTAAATTGACATAGCCACTTTTGTGGAATCAACCCCATCTTTAAACAGAAAGGACGGTTCTGAAAAGACAAGATTCAAACAAAATTTATGCCATTTGCTATAAATTGAACAAATCTGACTTTAATTTCCAGGTAAAACTGATAATCTTGGGACAAACCCTCAGGCGTTTGTGTAGATGGAAATTTCTGCTGACATTCTTCAGAATAGAACTTGATGGGAGCCACTGTCTGGACTTGGCAGATGCCAGGAGAACACTACCTACCAGAAGGCATAACAGCAGGGGGCACTGTTAGTACGCAAGCTGCTTTAGTGTTCGTCATTTAAGGAGAAGCAGCGGCCATTAAACCTCAGCGAGATGTGCACGTACAACGAATACACGTATTTGCAATAACAACAAAGTTTAGTACCAAAAATACAGTTACTCAGTGTTATTTATGATGTCCAGAATTTCATTTGGACAGTTAAAGCTAAAAAGCATGCAAGTTAAAGATAGTATAGAGTGCTGCTGCAGTGGCCTGTGAGTGTTTCACTGTTGATCTGCTGCTGCTCAACCTGTTTGAATGCATTCTGCAGGAGAGTGAAGGGGACAAACAGCGTTATCATCATTCAAATTATTTGTTAAGTGTTAGATTTTAACTCTTTATTGTAGACCTGTTTGGGCCAATATTGTCTTTTTTTGATTGCTGAAATTCAAGTGTGTCCCTAGTAATAGCATATTAGTATTTAGTTTATAATTGAGTTGCATCACTCATGTGATTAGGGCACATCCATCCTAATCCTCTGTGGTTTGTGTTTTCTTCAGGCGTGGCGATTTGCCCTTCACCATGCGCCGCGTTGTCAGCCGCGGAGGTGTGGAGAGTGACGAAGAGAGCGAGGCCAAGAGCGAAACCCCTGAACCCAAACCAGAGTGAACAAACTCTTACAGTGCCACCTGCTGGCTGCAGTGCTGAACTGCAGCTGTGTTTTTCTTACATGCACACATGTACACACACCTTTGGACATCGCTGTCCACTGGAACTCAGAGATACACACATGATTTGTTAGTGCCATAGCAAATTCTCTCTCTCAAAAACACACACACACATACACGTTCCGTTGACAATCAACACTTCCAACACAGTTATTCGTCACTCAGCCAAGGACCAAATTTTGTCTTGTCGTGTTTGTTCTCTGGGATTTAAAAGATAATGAACGATATTTTTGTAAGGAGACATTCCAGTTCTCGTAGGCTCGTTTTCGGATCTATTTTTCTAATTGAAGTAACGGAAGCGCAGAAGTGTGTGAAAGATTGAACCAGTCGTTAAAAGTGAAGAACACAAACTGTTGGAAGGGGACCAAAATGGCGAGGCTCTCTACAGAAGTGTATTTTATTCTGACGTTTTATAAAAGGCACAAGGATGAAAGTATACTACCCAGTTATGATAACTGCTGCATCCTCTGTCTCTCTTTCTCTCTCTCCTTCTCCTTATCTATCTCTCTCGCCTGTGTTGGTAAATTAGAGGCACTTGTACTGTATAAAAGTAGCATCTTCCACTTTTTGCGCTTTTTGGGCTTGATGAAACTGTAACCCGTACTTCATTTAACTCGAACGTGCACCAAAAATATTAGCAGTGTGCACTGTAACATGATTAGGATTACATATGTCTTCACACTGAGCAATACAACAGATCTAATTGGAACGAATGGAAGGAAAAGTCGGGCGATGCACAAGCTCATAGACACAGCACTATGCACTATAGCCTTAAAGTCAGATGCATTCTACTATTATGACTTTTTCCGATCCTCAAATTTTTTTTTATGTAATTTTGGACGTTTCCTACAGTCTCTTTACTGATGTGCAGGGAAAAGCCGGGTGGTGGGGTAGATTTATTCTCTCACAGCACACTGTAATCCGCTTTTCTTGCTCACACTGCTGGGAAGTGAGAGGAGTTTATTCTAATGTTGACGTATGAATAGCTAACGAGTACTCTCCATACATACATAACGACACAAAAAAGAGAATGCAAAATCTTAATTTTGTACTATTGTTTTTTTTCTGCAACTCTAAAATGATATCCAGAGAGAGGAGTTGCAAACTGTTGGTATTATGCAAATAAACATGGCTTTCTAAAACGGCTACAGCAAACTTGGTCTTTTTGTTTTTCAGTCTCCCATTTATTGTGTCCTTTTGGTCATTTCTAGTCTAAATCTTTAACTCATCCAGTTGTTTTCACAGTCTGTAACATTCTGGTTTGTATGAGAAGCTTTAAAAAGCATGTAGTTTGCTTTTGGTATGTAATAGACTGGAGAAAAGAAGAAGAGTTTTATTGAAAGCGGTCACATTTTAACCCTTAAACGTCTACGGTCATTTTGCAATGCAGTTAAAATCTAACTACAGAGCTCATGACAGTTATGTCATGGAATTATATTTGCATTTGATTTACTTGCTGTATCTACAGCTTCAAATCTGAACTTTTGTTTTAATGTCATGAAAGGGCAAATATGTGAAGGAAAAATTTGTATTACACACATTTCTTCAAATCATAATAAAATATCACCTGCAAAATGTACCAACACAAATGTGGAATGGATTGAAAGATCTGCATTTGCACTTTCCACAGAATTTCTCAGCTTGTTTCAAAAAGGTATGAGTAAAAATTTGTAAATATTTTGACAAAATTTTATCACTGGTTTAGTCAAGAGGTGACTAGAAGGGTGGCCAGCCCAGTCAGCCATTATCAATAAAGGATCAATTATGGTGAAAATCTGCCATCAGTATAGTTAGTAGTCATAAGACTTGATCTGTAGCGAAGGCAGCCTGTATTAGTAACTTCTCTGTCCATATGAAATGTTTTTCTTAATGTTACGCACTGAAAAAAGATATTCAATTTACTTGATTCAAATACACCATTTCCTCATGAATGACCAAAATATATTTATAATCAGTTTACTTTCAGCAATAATTGTACTGATGTACTGTTATATTCATGTGGAAATGATGTAGAGATTTAATTAGGTACAGAGTAAAGACCTCGCTTATGTAATTTTAATACAGTGATGCTATTTCATTTAGTTTTTTCCAAGCAGTGTGCCACTCCAATAAGATCTGTGGGTCTTACCTGGCCACCCTATTCTGAAAGTTCTAGCTGCGCCCCTGCCAGTGATAACTACGGAGCCCTGCTGGTGACATACCATATAAATAAAAATACTGTGTGGCCAAGCCTTATTAACACGTGGGAACAAGATCCTATTGCGTGGCCACAACTAAGTGAGGCGTGGGAATGAGATAATTAAGTCGTGGCTACGGCTTAGTATGGCATTGACTCTAATTTCTTTACAGTGGTGGTGATAGGAACCAGGGGTCCCGCTGTGTACATCACAAAAAAGGCATTTTATTTAGTTTCCAAAACCACCAGTGAGCCTATATGTGTCTTAGAAGTTTTTAGATGTCATGTGGAGGAAGGTAAAACAGTGGTACATGTGAAAAAATACGTTTTCATTGGGGACTATTTTGCCTTAGAACACCCTTCTTGTGTCCTTCCACCATGACTAGATTAAAATAAGATGATTAAAATACATTTTAGACCAAAAACCATATCACAAAGCTACTGTAAAACAATTTCTCACACATCAGGCAGTGTATTTATAACCATTTCATGAAATAACTTTCTGTGAGGGAGCTGTTAGAGGCATTAAACCCCTCAGACGTCCGGTTCCTATCACCACCACTGTGAACAGCTCTGACTCAGCAAGTTTCTATAGAACGAAGAAATTCACACCAAACCTCAAAGGTTTTGTTTGCATTTAATTATGCAGAAATTTTGAAATATGGGTGGAGTTCCCTTTAAGTTATCTGGTAAACAGAGAAATCGCAGGTGTGAATGTGCAGCATTTAAATGCATGATGTACACATTATTTCACTAAATGATGTTGCTTATATAAAGTTAGACGTACTACCGGTATTATTACACTGCCCATCATTTGGCACCCAACACAAAAGGACGACAAATTACTGTCACTGTATAAAGACAGAGCTGTGCATGTTTTATCGCTACTGCTACTTTTGCACTGTACTGTGTATCTTTAGCAGTATTATATGTAATTCAGGCAAATACAGCCCAGTTAACTGAACCCTGCCGTAACTCGGTTTCGCCGCCAGATGGCGCATTGTTGGCTCTTAACAGGACTGGATCGGTTCAAACCGGTTCGGAGCGGATCTGCGGGCTGTGCGTGTCTCATCTTCACTACCTGAAATCTCAGCTTGGTGTTAGATGTCATTTTCTGATAGTTAGACGCCACTTTAACCCTCAGACTGATTAAATAAACGCCTAATGCGCTTCACAGCTGTACAGAGTTTGTCAGAGTGCTGTAGTTCGAAAAGCGTCTGACAGGATTGGAGAAACTTCTTTTTTTCTTTATGTATAAAAGTGTGAACCTGAAGACGGATATATTATATTTCATTTTAATGTTTGAGATATAAAAATGCTAACAACTTTTCCTTAAAACCCAGTTCGTTTTCTTTCAGATGCATATTAGTCGCCTGACAGACACAAGAGGCACATTCACGCATCTGCCTTTCACAGAGCCAATCAGATCGCGTGGAAGCCGACCAAGATGAGCGTCAGCCAATCAGAATCCGCCTCGGTCTATCTGAGTCTACGTCCACGCTTTTAAAGCAGGGAGAGCGGAGAGGAGGCTGAAGGTGCTGCTGTCCCGAAACTGGAGATTTGACCGCTTCCTCCTGTGAATCACTTCTACTAGAAGGTCATAGAGAAGCATAAACAGCTCACAGTTCAGAAAAACGGTGCTGGAGCGCCGGCTTTTCTCTTTGATTTTCATCCTCAGAGAGGTGAGTGTCCAGCATCACAGTGCTGCAACACTTTAGATTGGACTAGTTGAAAAATAATGTGCATTGGTCATCCACAGATATAGATATCCTGAGTCAGACTTCATTAAAATGTGTTTTTTAAGATTTAACTGATCAACTTAGCCTGAGCTTAGACTGAAAAGATTCTCAGTGATCAGTCATCATTAGTAATGCAGTTTAGTCCATGTGCAGCTTAATCTGTATACCACAGATCTGGTGAGGGTCAGTCCAGTGTTCCTCAGTCTCACTGCACATTTTATTGTTTTCCTGCTCCAACACACCATCAGCTCATCACCTCATTAACAAGCACTTTATGACTGTGTAGACCAAGGACAGTGTGCACTGCAAGGCTGCTGCAGGAGCACGATTGAGAAACACTGAAATCCATATCAAAGTGGTTAAGCAACTGAAAATGTAACAGCTGCCCAGAGTAGAAACTTTCTCAGTAATCGGTTCACTAGAGGAGTATTTCTCAACTCCAGTGCTGTAGTCCAACCTGCCTTGAGCCTTAATGTGACGTTCTCACAAGCCTGCTTTAAACCATGCCTGTATATATTTGTCATAATCATGCAGATTAGAAATCATATGATATAGTAGATCAGTTGGAGCTCTATGGGACAGAAAATGTTAAAGCTACACTATGTAAGTAGCATTACTGAGTCAAGAGGGAAAAAAACACACTAACATATGGTGAGCGTGCGCTGCTGAGAGTCACCCTGTAAAGCCTGAAATAATCATTTAAAAGTCAGAGGCATCAGATCGGATTTTGCGGGATTTTTTCAAACCATGCATACGGCTTTATGTATTAAAGTCACACGTACAAACTCAAAAGGAAGGTACAGCTCGATGTTTAGATTTCAAATGCGAAATCAGCTGATGAAGATCAGATGTCAGTAGTTAATTCACTTACATTTTTGGAAAACACAACCTTCACCAAGTTTTGACTGAATTCTCTTTAAACAGTCGTTCAGTGATGTCGCAATAATCAGATACCTTCCACTTGGAGAAGGGGACCGAAGAACAACTAACTTTACAAACTGTTTTTCTGCACGTTGTGGGCAATGACACATTTCCACCAGAGAGGGTGCCAAAAACCCCAAACTTACATAGTGTAGCTTTAAAGGATTCTTTTCAGGTTTTTTTGGCACATAGCCCAGTTTTCTTTGCTACAGTTAAATCCACATCTGCTTCTTATTACCAATATGTATACTTTTTTTGCATTTTACATTTTTAAAAAGGAGTTTGTATTACTTTTAACTGTTAAATCTCTTTTTTGGATAAAATTGCAAAATCCTATAGTTTGTGTAACATTTGATTTAGTAATTACAGTTAAAATACTTAGTCTGACACTGTATACAAATTATACAAATTAATTTTACTTTATTTTTAGGTCATGAAATCATTTAGGTTCATGTTTGATTATTCCATCAGGCTCTTGTACTTTTTGAATGGAATAAAGGTGTCAGTTCCTTTATTTTGTTCTTCAGATTTAGTTTTTAAAGGGCCCATATCGTAGAAAACTGAGGTTTCCTAGCTTTTTAAAAAAAAAAAAAAAACTTTGATGTAGTTTGTAAACATTGTCAAAGTTTTGAAACGTGCTGTTTACTGCCCAGTCCATAAATGTAAACAGCCTGTTTGTATTTGTTTTTGTGATGTCACACAAACCAACTCATTTACATATTTCAGCATACAACAGTTAAGCCCTGCCCATTCACACTGAAGTTGTAAGAAGTGTTTCAGCCAAGACTGCTTATTGAATGTGGTACAATACAGGACAGCTAATCAGAACTGAGGCATATATCAGTCTTAAAGACACAGTAACAAAAACAGCCAGTTTAATACTAATGGTCATGAAAAGATTAAATGTTTTTGGTTTTGGTTTCTCACACTTTATACTTTGGCACTTTAGACCAAAATGACCCCAAAAAGTGTCAAATGGACGTTAGTTTCTATCACAATAGAGGCTACATTTACTAAGGCGTAGCTACTTTTACTTCGATCATCTTTATTTCATTGCAGCATTTGCACTAATTAAATGCACACGCATGGTCAGCTGGTCAGCACTCGTGTGCTAAATTGTTATCACACCAGTCAGTTGTATGCTAGTTGTTTATAGTAATTCTGAATGAGCAGAGTCACGTTCACTGATTTGTTAATTGGGAGCAGCGTGTACTGCGCTGTATGTCATTCAGTTGCGAGGAGCACGTGCTGCTCCTGCTCTCAGTAACGTGACCTCACATAGTATTTTAGGCGCATGCATTAATCTGCTGCATCTCTATTTCCTTTGCCTAGGAGCACCAGACTCAATCAGGAGGGGAAAGACTGCACTCTCTGCACACAGAGTTATCAGCCTGCAGCTTCTTCAACCCCACAGCACAGTCATGGAGTTTTCTCTGGTAAGTGCCCAGCTCAGCTCTTTCAGCACAGACCTGTCTAAAGGTTTGTTTAGGCTTCTGCAAGACGGAGTGTTACTGCATTACGGCAGATCTGCTTATATCTCACAGTTGCCCAGATGCTTTATATAACACAATTTCAGAACTCACTGTGAAGTTTCTGTCAGGTTTAGTGGATGATGTAATATGAATAGAGAAGGCTGAACTCCTAGTAACCTTTTCCCCACTCTGTGCTCTAAGCTTCCTTTTCCTTTACATGTTAGATGTGTAAGACTTTGTGATTCAAGTGGTTTGAAAGTATGACCCTCGGACTTGGTATGGTGTGGTCAGGTTGCAACAGCTTGACCTGTATGCAAAAGTTTAGGCGCCCCTGGGCAAATTACAAAATTTCTTGATTTTCTATGTGAAATTGATTTTTAATAACATTAGCACAAATACTCTTTATTTGCTGAATATAACACAAAACATAAAATGAAGCCTGTGCCAAAGTTAGGGCACATTTTATATTTTATGTTTAAATTTTTTTCAATATGTTAACTCAGCAAATAAATAGAAATTGTGCAGAAAATGCCATACTTAAGTTTGTTCTCTGTAGGGGATGTTATTTTCACTTAGAAAATAAACAAAACTTGAAATTCTGGGGTGCCCAAACTTTTGCATACAGCTGAATCTAGAGCAATTACTAAGCTACTAACCAAGCAAAGGTTCATCTGAGCTAGAGATCTGCCACCTGATCTGAGTCTGACAGGGCTTGGCAAAACATCAGGCTCGGGTCAGGCTTGCTTTTTTTCGAATGAGCAGGTTTTGGAATGTTAAAATAAATTATAAGTGATGAATGGTATTTTGTAAAGTATTCATTTTTGGCCAAAGTAAAATTCTCTATTTTCAAACCTACAAATACTAAAATAAAATTGATTTATTGTTTTTATTGTCTATATTCCACTATTTATTCAGTCAAGTTTGTTTATTAATTGTTTTTTTTTAAATCTGAATTGATTATCGTTAAACTAATAGAATTGAACTGAGATTTAAGGATACCTTGAATTGTTTTCTGTAGGATCATAATTGAACTGAAACATTGTAAGGTCACACATTCACACTCATATCACCAAATGCTCTACTACTGCTAAAGGCCGTGCTGTTTCCAGATTAGTATGAAGGCTCTTCTCCTGACTACGTTGACAGTCATTGAGGATTCATTTTTAAGCCCTGATTGAGCTTCTTCTGTGTTCAGGAGACCCATGAGTTAGTAAAGCTTTAGCTAAAGTGACTCAACTCCTCAATGCTCCCATGCATGCAGAGTAGTCCTGTTGCAGTTTCTTTGCAAAGCCTGACTCGAGCAAGTTCCAGAAGATTGTTTTTGTTTTTGGTTTTGATTACTTTCGGTTTTAAGTGTTAACACCAATCAGAGCTGCCGTACGAGAGAATTGGGTCAGTTTCCTTAGTAAATGTGTATGAAATGGGCAAAGCTGTGCCAAGCCTCCAGTTTCCAGGCTCCTCATTGGTTCAGGCATAGCTGGAAGCTCTGAAAGCAAGCGTTGCCACAACAGAGGAGACAAAAAGGCAGGCAGACCAACACAGAAAGACACAGAGACAGGTGGGCATTCGCACGAGTAGAAAGACAGGCAGTCAAAGGCCGAAACCATGTGCAGTTAGAGTGAGTTAAGGCAATGGCCCAAAAATCAAATTTACTCAATTATCTGCTCACCACAAATGTAGTCAATCAGTCAAGACGTTATTTAGTGTCCAATCTTTGCTTCTTGACTATTTTTTTATAGATAACTATGAAAAAGAAGAAAAGATTTTGAATGCACCCCATAAATCATTCAAAATGGTTTGCTGCAAGTGCGTAAAGCAAAAAATCGAAATCAAGATCAACTGAAGAAATGTTGCCCACACACTGCAAAGAGGATGAGACAAAGTCCAGCCAGAAAAGTGCTTTTTTATGAGCATTGATGATAGCAAGAAGATGAAACATCTGCTCAGTCTGTGTCTGGCTTGTTTTTTGCCCTTGGCTTAAAGCTGTACTATGCAAGACTTTTAGTTGAAACTGAAAGAAGTAGCATTAATGAGTCAGGAGGAAAAAAACAGGCTGATATATGGTGTCTGTGTGGTGCTGTGAGTCTCCCTACGGAGCCCTGCTGGTGACACCCTGTATAAATAAAAATAATGTGTAGGATGTCACCAGCAGGGCTCCGTATTTCCCTGTAAATCCTGAAAATAATTTATAAGTCAGAGGTTTTGGTTTGGATTTCACAAGAGTTTTTCAGACCATGTCATACATCTTTGTGTATTAACGTCACATGCACAGGCTCTAAAAGAAGGTCCAGCTTGATGTTTAGATCGTAAATGTTAAATAATCATTATACTGCTAAAGATATGGTAACAATAGTAGATCATCTACTTACATCCTCAGAAGACACGTCATTTAGCTAGTTTTGACTGAATTATCTTGAATACTCCTTTAACGCACTCACAATCATCAGATTCGACCACTGGTGGGGGTCCGTAGTACAACCTACATTACAAAATGTTCTTCTGCATGTTTTGTGCAGTTACACATTTCCACCAGAGAGGTCACCAAACCCCTGAAACTTACCTAGTGTAGCTTTAATGTAATTTAAAAAAGCACTTTTTTGCCAGACTTTGTCTCATCTTTTTTGCAGTGTGCGGGCAACATTTCTTTAGTTAATCTTGCTATAGATTTGTCAAACAGTGTCAGAAACAACAAAAACAAGTCAAGCTAAGATTACTTAACTACACAACACTGTTTCAGGCAGGATGATTTAGGCATGTTGTTTGCACAATCCTGAAGCTTTCATAGCTTTTCAGCCTCATAGCTCCTGCACAAAACCTAACTTCAGACACTAGTTGTTACTTGGCTGATTGATTACATTTTGAAGATTTGAATTTTGGCCAAACTATCACTGTAAACAGGGCTCTTATAACCCACAGTGAACTCTATTAGTATGTGTGTCAGACTGTTTCCCGTTCAAAGGGTGATGTTTAGTTGGTCTTGTGACAGAACCCCCTGCTCCTTATGTGACTGTTTGTTTGTTTATGTGTTAGTACTAATGTGTGTACGCACGCGCAGTGTGTGAGGAAGATGTCGTGGTTGTAGTATGTTTGTTTGAACACGTTGTGCCTGTGCGTCACCCTTTGCTCACACAGGAGAGTAAACCTTGTTCTATTGGGCCAGCTTTCTCAGCCCCCTCCCCTTTATCTCCGAAATCACTGAATGTTTAACCCTGATTACTGACTCGTAACCAGCACACTGCGACTCCTTACCCGAAACCTGACTCACACCTCTCACACACTATACACATCCTAATATTTTGCAGACAATTCTTTTGTAAACACTTGTCCTTGTATAACGTCTCTGTCTAAAGTTAGTAACCAATGGCTGCCCAAAGTGTGGCTGGTTTGATTCGGCCTGCCAGAAAGTAACCCAAACCCCACTCACCCACTAAGAGAGAGAACATATTTTTATACTATAAATAACTTATTCAATTCTTAGTTTCCTTTTAAAATTGTTCTGTGTAATGTTATAAAATACATTTTTAAACATTATTTGTGAATGGTTTTATCTTTTTGGTCCTAAGCCCACCACAAGCACAATACCTTTTCTCAGTGGCCATGAAATGCAATTTTAGCCCATTTTGGAGGTTTCAGCCTTGAATTTTAATATTATTAACTGAATGTTAACCTAATGAAATAATTTAATTTTTAAAATTAAATTATTTCATTTGACTATAATCATTAAACTATCCATTGTGTTAATTTCCATTCGGCCGGCAGAATGGCCACTAGGAGGCATGTAGAAAGGGGTTGAACCAGTTTTTACAGTCCTATACATTATATAATATGAACTATACCTGCACTAGCAGTACTTCTGCTTTATGATTATAGGCTCCGCAGCTCTCCATACTCATTTGACACTCACATGCTACATTGTTTTCACGAGCATGTCACTAGTACACTTATGTTGTTTTTCCACTGACCAATGTGAGTACAGTATGGTTACAAATTTGTGATCACGCATTTTCCACTACCAAGTGAACTGTACCGGACTCATACCCGTGCAGAACTTGACTGCTCTTCTTGCTGGGGTGCAACGCATACAGAACTGGGATGTATAGGTGGAGCTAGAAGTAATACTTACCACTGGTTGGTCACTATTTCCACAAAAAATAGCCAGCAATCCGATAACTGTAGGAGATCAGATTTTCTCAGTAATCCGATCAAGGCGTTTACATGCACTTATAAGGGGAAACTCCGGGTCTACCTGAGTCATGAGTAATTGGATTTCTGTTTTGCACCCGGTCAATAAACTCACAGAAGAAGACGTGACGTAAATGTAATGTAAAACCTCATGCCGCAGCTTTTCTTTAAACATCACGCCACTTTACCTGAAACATCATGCATCATTTAGAAGATGATGAATATTTAAATCCTTCATTTCGTCTAGCGTTTGGTTGGTTTTTGCAACACTCCAAAAGTGTTTTGCTGCCATCTTGCGTCTGTTCGTCTGTTTTTCACACATGCACAGACTGAGAAATCTGAAAGAAATCAGAGTCAGAGTTTACATGCCCTGAGAAATCTGATTACTGAGCTGAAACCCACCTCACTTTATCAGATTTCTTAATTGGATTTCTAGACCTTATTGTACATCTAAGAAATCGGAGTATGCTGTTTACAAGATGAACAGATAACTGCACATATCTGACTATGATTGGATAATTGTGTACATGTAAACTCACTATTTGTGACACATAAAACCAAATTCTGTGTAAAACGTCATTCAAAACGTGAAGCTCCTCCATTGTTGCTTCTGTTGTTTGATAACACTAGATTTGCATTAGAAATCACATCATCACCACATAACCTTTGGATAATCTGGTTCTGTTATGCGAAGAAAGGTGGACCCAGGTACTCAACCAGAGTATGGATAGCTCTGTTTGATAACTGTACCATACCATGCTACTGTACCATACTGTCCAGTGGAAAAGCCTTTACTAGCTTCTTTTTTTTTTAATTATTAATGTATTTATTTTTGTCTCTGTGAAAAATGACTGTATCAAGATGTTCTCTGTTCTGTATGTGTGTGTGATTGATACAGGCTCACCCTGCTATTAAAGCCTTCATGTGTGGCTCTCTGAGTGGAACCTGCTCCACTCTGCTCTTCCAGCCTCTGGACCTGGTCAAGACCCGCCTGCAGACTCTACAGAACAGCATGCACCCTGGGTAAGAACTACACACACACCAGATACACACACACACTACAATATTAAGACCACACATGAGGACTGCAGGATATAGAGAATGCTTGTATTTGTTGCGAAATTAACAACAAATTGGTTTGTAATAAATAATATTACCTATTTAAAGGACAGTCTGCATTATTTTGACCAAAATAAATTATATTTCTTGTCTTACATAAATATTTTGATTCATCTGATTCAACACCCACAGAAACACTCATCCTGAACTATGATTGGCTCTTATAAGACAAACATGCCTCACATACCCCACAGTTTATTGTAAAGGATGATTGACAGGTGTTTAGAGGGACTAAGTCATTTAGATTGTGACTGGTTTATTTCTCTGTGTCAGTTCAGGAAGGGTTGGCATGGTAACAGTGTTCCTCAGTGTTGTGAGGACAGAGAAGCTGCTTGGACTGTGGAAGGGAGTCTCTCCAGTAAGTGTTACACTCACACCCACATGAACACATTTGTGTCATCTTTAAAGGGTTAACAGTCTAATTTTCTTCTTCTTGTCATAACCCCCACCCCCTACACCCCCTCTTCTGCTGCAGTCGTTTGTGCGCTGTATTCCCGGAGTGGGGATCTACTTCAGCACCTACTTCAGCCTGAAGCAGCATTTTTTCAGCGACAGGGCTCCAGGCCCCATGGAGGCCGTGCTGCTGGGGGCCGGAGCCCGCAGCGTGGCAGGAGTGTGTATGCTGCCAGTCACTGTCATCAAGACACGCTTTGAGGTGTGTATGAGTATAGATGTGATAGAATGTGTGTTTGGCCTCTTTTCCACTGTAGAGCCAAATCATTATCAAGGCCAGTGTGTGCCATTCTGCACTGGTGCGGACTCCTGAGACCGGTTACGGTTTCTTGTTTTATGTGCTGTGCTGTTAAATCAAAACCAGGAAATATTGAAGAAAATTATATTTATATTCATGTGTTTGCATGTTAGTATGTAAGACAAACTAAATAAAAAAATCCGCTTTGTTCGATCACAATATTTATACATTAAATAAATGCAACAGCTGCACTGAGAATTTCTGTTGTTATTATTAACACAAGAACAGATTAATTGGCAGAAATAGCCACAGCCTTAAAGGATTAACTGAATATCTGTTTATTTTATTTAAAAATTAGAATTGAATAAAAATCAGCACATTCATTTTTGCTTCAGCACAATTAATAATACATTTTCGACCAGATTCCAAATAAATAATGAGCATGTATCACATGCACAAGCTTGCAGTCCACTGTGCTATAAGTACATTAAGAAACACATGAATACAGAAAAACAGTTTGGCTGCGTTGATGCATATAGTGTACAATATTTTTGCAATTTCTGGTGAACGTAGATCAGTAGTTTTTATTTGTGCATGTGTCTTGCAGAGTGGGCGCTATAACTATGGCAGCGTGGCGGGGGCTTTGCGGAGTGTGTGTCAGACCGAAGGTCCGAGGGGGCTCTTCTCTGGCCTCACAGCCACCCTGCTGCGGGACGCCCCATTCTCCGGCATCTACGTCATGTTCTACAGTCAGGCCAAGAGCACACTGCCCAATGGTCAGTATGCCACTGTGCTTATGTGCACATATGGATTTTCTCAATTGTATGAATTGTACTGCATATTGAATGTTATACTGGCATCAAGTGTGGATGAGCCCAATGTGCAGTATGATTATAGTTCATTTCCTGGGTTGGTGTTATACGTGCATTTGCTGGTCCATAGCACGTTCTGTCAGACAGGCTCTATCCGGTTTAGTTTAGGGCTTAGCTCACATAAAGTTATGGATTACGTAAGGCGTACTTGGCTCGTCTGCAACCTTTGCAATTCTGTTTGCTCACTTTGCAAGTCTGTTGGTTTCCGCCTATGACGTCTAACTTTTTCTTTCTCCATGTCTCTACAGAGATAAGCCAGTCAGCCTATGCACCCTTGGCTAACTTTAGCTGTGGGGTTGTGGCCGGTGTGCTGGCCTCTCTGATCACTCAGCCTGCAGACGTGGTTAAAACTCACGTCCAAGTGAGCCCCCATCTCTTCAAGAGGACCACTGATGCAATCCACTACATCTACATGGTAATTCACTTCAACTACAACATTGGTTTTGCTGCAGAGCTCTTCTCAACCCCACCCTACTGATCTGCCTTATCTCTCTTCAGCACACTGTCAGCTGACAATATGATCACCAAGCACCAGTTTTTTTACATACCTATAGTAGCTGTCACTATTTGATTATATTAGTAATCGAGTAATTGAGGAAAAAAACAACAGTATGTGGTTAAAAATGCATTTAATTTAGTGTAAATCAAGCTGTTTCTTGCTGCAATGCACAGCTGTGGAAAATGTGCATTATTCATCATGGAAATTGCCAGCAAATATTTACCAATACATTGAGAAGGTATATTTTAATCTAGGACTTTTAAATAAGCAAGTGAGTGAACTTTACAGAGCAATCAAGACAGCCCTAACCTGTACATCAGGGATACTCAGCTCCAGTCCTGGAGGGCCAGCACAGTTTAGTGATTTACATCTGTTTTCTCAGGCGACTTCCATCTGCTAATTGTCATGTTTAGTAGGTGCTTTTGAGCAGGGAATCACCAAACTGTGCTGGTCCCTCCAGGACCAAAATGCCCTTGCTATACCTTCCACAACTATACAGTTTAGGCTTCTAAGCTGTCAGTTCAAACAAACCTTAGTTTAAACCACCAGATCATCTTTATCTTTAATGTGGATGGTCAGCTGTATATGCTTTGTAGATGCTGAGTGTATCTTTAAATAACATTTGACTAAATATCTATTAAACGCAACTAAACTTTAAGTTGCATGTTAAAGATTCTATTAAATCTGTCCCTAAACCCTAAACCTAACCCTAACCCTAACCTCAAGACAAAAACTACACCTGCTCTTAAACCTAACCATAACCATAATCTTGTTGATAATCAACTGGGTATCACCAGAAAGTTTGCTAATGATTAAAGTATCTGTAGGTCATCTATAAGGGACCATCAAAATAAAGTGTGACTGATATCTATATACATTAATGTCCAATCAGGGATCACTGCAAGTGAGTTTTCCCCACCCACTAAGAATTAAATATAATGATTCCATGTGGTCTCTGTAAACTGGGCATACCCAGTGAATCAGGATTTGAATCAGGATTTCTCACAATTGAAAGTGCATGTCAACTGCACGTTTTGAACGAGTTTGAACTTGAACTGAGTTTTTTTTTTTTTACATTTGACAACTGTTAGTTTAGTAAACCCAAAAATATAAGTCAAGCCAGGTTACTCAAGTTTTTTCAGATCGTAATTTTTGCAGTGCAGAAGTGCGATTGGTGTGTGTCATCTGTACAGATCTTGTCTCAAGACCATTCTGCTCCTCCTTCAGGGTTACTTTAGCACACCACCAGGCAATGGTTGATGTATTAATGCTCCCTTTGACATTCTGTACTCCTGCATTAGTTTTTCCATCTTCCTCATCACATCTTTCAGTTTGGTTTTAAGGAGAGGATCTCATCAAAGTTCTTGTTCAGCGCTGATGGAAAATGAATGAAACTTAAATGAATACTTAATGAATCGCTGTGTCTCTGTGTTATGTGTTAATTTGTGTGTGTATTTGTGTGTTTCAGGAGCATGGTCTGGTGGGGTTTTTCCGCGGTGCTGTGCCGCGCTCTCTTCGGAGAACGATGATGGCGGCAATGGCCTGGACCGTGTATGAGCAGCTCATGGCTCGGATGGGCCTCAAATCCTGAGAGAGATGAAGAGAGAGAGAGAAGGATTGAAGAACTAACAGATAAAAGGGAAGAAGATGAAGGATGAGACTAGCAAAAAGAGACTGATGGCCTCAGAAAGTGTAAGGAGGGCGGTAAAGAGAGATTTTGCACAGAGACTTTGGGTCTGCTGTTTCAGAGCCAGTGGACTTGTGGATCCGGTCTAGATGCTTCTGCTTCAGAGAGTTCGTGTTTACACTGGAGAAAGAGAATCAGATCAAACAGTCTTATTTGCTTTCAGCACTGGGTTATCCAGTCGTACAGCTGAGCACAAATTCAGATGTTAATTACCACTGGATTCACCCCAGAACTGGGACATTTGATTCAGTTTGAGAATGTTTACACTGCTGACATTTAATTCAGATTGAACGTTATAAGTTGTAATAAACAAGAAATACAAGCATTTTTCATGTAAATGTTAAGCTTTTAAGATTTACTTTCCTGCATGGCCAAACAACACTGATCATGTCTATGACACAAGCTGATCATTCTTGAAGAAAATCAATGATGTATGTGTTTTCTCAGTATGAGCAGAGCCTGCTGTGGGCATTCCTGAAAGAGACTCTAGAAACTTTAAAAGACAATGTTGCACTAAGTGCTATGAGATTCATTGCATTTTTCTATTGAAAAAACATTGTTAATGATGACCGTCTGTGGTGTTTTGTTCCGTAACTAAACTGTGGGTGTTCTAGAAATATGTATGTTTCTAACACCTGATTCACTTGAGTTTTGTACTATTAATGAAGCACAGCTTTTTAACAGTGTTATTATTTCTGTTGTCTATATAATTATGGAAATGGTGTACATAATACTATATGTTCATGTTTTTAATACCTGCAGCCATGACTGACATGCTAACTTGATCTTTTTGAGAAAAAAAATTAAATTAATTTATTGTTTCTGTAAGATCATGTTGTATATGAATTTCCAAAATTGATCCATACTTTTCAAAAGGCCGATAGAATCTACACAGCAGCTGACAAGCAGGCTACAGATACAGATGCAGCAGGCAGCACTTTCTCTGACTGCAGATCTAAAATTACAGGTAGTATATTCTGTATCAGTTAATTCACCAGCAGAAATCAATGTAACAGCTTGGAAAAACTTGCAAACTTGATTACAATAATATGTTAGTAACATTGCTCTGTCACTGAAATAAGACACATGTAATCAGAATTAACGTGTCCAGAAACATCAGATGCCCAAGTAAATCCAAGTAAATGCAAATGGCAGCAGTGCCGAACCGAGGTTAAAGCCTGTAAACGATGGAAAAGCAACGCATCTCACCTTTTTTACCTTCGTCTCGCTCTAATAAGTAGCAGTTGAGAGCTGTTCAGAGCTAATTATCTTTGCAGCAAATGCTTGTTGTTTGTTGTTCATGACGCACTTGACTCATTCACGTGATGTTACTGATTAGGATGTGTGCATGCGGGTCATTTCAGGATGCTGAGTCATTCACACTAATGACAGATTTGAGTCCCTTACCTAAACGAGTGTGAACAATCATGATATTCTGGGATCAGACTACACAAACTCAGTCCGATTTTGCCACAGTGTTGTTGCCAAAATTGTCGGAAATTTCAAGCGGCGGGTCTAGAGATGATCAGGAACAATTAACGGGTGTTGTAGTGTGACATATTCGAAGAACAGCGATAACACCCCGCAGAAAGTTTAGCATGTCAGTGGGCGATATAACGATTAATCCTGTGTACTGGCTAACATTTTTTTTAAGGTATTAGTTTTGTTATTACCATTATACCGGTACGCAAATGAATACAGATAATGCAACATACCAACAGTGCACAACGCGCTGATTCCCTCAGCTTTCGTGTAGTGAATTGCAGCCTGAGGGGTTGGACAAAAGAAAAGCCAGTCTCTTGGGGTTAGAAGTTAGCCATTAGTCTACCATTTGGACTAGTCGGCTACAAGCTGAGAGGATCCACAGCTTCTCGGCTAAGACTGATAGAGTGAACGGCTTGTAATGTTTACTAAATTCCAGCAGGGTCAAAGTTTGACTGTAAGAGACGCACATATGAGGCAAATGACTTGAGACATTCAGCATTGTTTTTCTTAGGCTCAAGTCTGCTTCTTATTTGCCAGCTTTTTTTAATTTCCCCTTGATATTTCACATTAAATGATGCAGTAGTTACATTCTGGTGCATAAAATAACTGCTGCGCCATTTAAAGTGGAACATCAAAATTCCAATAAGAAGCTGATTTCAGCTTCATACCATTTTTGACACACTCAGAGAATTCGACATAATTCAGCTTTTGAGATGGTAAACAAAGTCATTCAGAGAGATTTGGTGCAAAATAGATCATTGTAGAGAAACCAACTCCGACTGTTTTACAGTAGTCGTGATAGGAACCAATGCAATGTCTACAACACAAATATAGCCATTTTACTTACTATCCAAAATCACCTGTGAATCTACACATCTTTTGAGTTGTTATAGGTAAAGTTAATAATGGTAAAATAGTGGTAAACGTAAAGTTTTCTTTGCAGTATTATTTTGCCTTACAACACACTGCATGTAAAAAAAATGTTTTGGGCCAAAACCTTATCTCAAACCAAATTCAGACGTCACAAGCATCAGACAGTGTATTTGTATTTCATGTAACATTGAATGCTAGTTCCTATCACTAGTGCTGTGAACAAATCTGACTCTGTATGTTTATCTAAAATTCACCATTTTACACCAAACCACTCTAAATTACTCTTGTTACTACTTTAATTGTGCAGAAAATTTGAGACACTGGTGGAATTCTCCTTTCATTTTTAAAATGAATGTTCTTATTATACAGAAGTCATAACCTGGAAGCAGTTACTGTTTAGAAGACATTCTAATACAGGATGTATTTCCTGAAGCCAGCATGACCCAAGTTCCTCTGTCTGACACTTGGCACAGAAGGAGGCCGAGTCCTTATCTTGAGTTCAGGGCTTTTATAAATGATGATAAGAGAGGAGTGGGGAGCGCAGTCTCTGATATAACTTGGTATGTGCTAGAAAACCAGTGCCAAGAATTCTACTGACATTATGAACGTCCAAGAATGTCCAGCCTGATGACCGCTGCTCTGCTATATTACCCTCATGTAACAAATTAGTAAGGCTGTACAGCTTCAAAGTTCAATTTGAATGTTCAATTGAAATGATAATGAAATGAAAATGTGACAATGACCCACAGGTAAAATTCACTCCAAAGGGGATTTGATTGAGTCAATTTGAGAACTTTTACACTGTTTACATTGGATTCAGGACAACACTGAAGTAAAAGTAAGAAATATAAGTATTTAGTAAACACTGAGCTTTCAAGATGTACTTTTCAGGCAGTGCTCAGTTACCTGATGTCCTCCTGGCTGACCATCTTTGAGGCAGAAGCTTATCATTCACAATAATTCAAAATGTGGACAAAAATTCAATAAAACATGTTAAAGTGTTTTTTTACTTATGAAGCCCATTCCTGCCAGGAAATGAAGAAAAAACATCCCCTTTGTTATTGTTTTCTTCTCTGTTTCTAGCAGCAATGTATGCCAAATTTTTGACTTAGCATCTCAAAAATGACTTGGTTTCTCAAAGATTTGACCTATAAATTAGTTAATTTCTCTATGTCTTCAATGTTTTACTATCCCAACATAATTTCTTATTGTTTGAAACTTAACTTATTCTTTTGACATTGTATGTCAAAATTAATCATCCTAATAACTCAAAATCTCAAAAAAAAAAACGTTTTGCAGTATTTTGAGACAGTAAGTCATTATTTTAAAATGCTGTCAATATTTTGAGAAGTTATTATGTAGAGATAATAAGTATAGTAATTATAATTATATAATATAATCATAATAATATCATTATTTCAAGAAAACATGTAAAAAAAAAACTAGCTTAGACCAGTACATGCTGTGTCTTGGTTGCTGGTATGCTGGTCATCCAACGCGACCATGCTGGGTGACCAGATAACCCAGCAACGGAGCACCACCAGACCAGCATAAAAAAATTATGTATATATATATATATATATATATATATATATAGCTTGTTTAGATGAGAATCCACTGATCAGTCTGGCAGCTGTAAATATCTGCTCAGTCGGTGTGGACGATCACAGACTGGTGATAAATGTATTTATCAGGGTTTTACCAAAGGCTGCCTGGAACAGCAGTTTATCTAAATGTTGTGTTCAGACCCTGTTTACCTGTTCTGTGTTGTGTCCCCAACACTAGCCTACTTAATCTGACCTGTGACCTTGACCCGTGGACGTGGACTGGCCCCAGCAGTGTCAGTCTGCCCTTATTCCCGCGCTCCGCTCTTTCTCTTCTCCCTCACCAACTTTCCTCATTCAGCTGTGAGCTACTTCACTCTCTCATCTCTGCCTAATTTCTCATGTTTAACATTAAAAAGTCATTTTTGGTGAAAGTGCTCTGTCACTCTGCACATATTAATGACAAACTCACCCAGAACATTCTGTCTGCTCGGCAAACAACAGTTGCGACAGAGTACACAATCTTTTACCCGAGAGTCAACGTCTCCCATTGTCTTAATATGGTCTCTGTCTTAATATGGACACTCCATCCCTTGTCTTAATATGGGCCGCCCGTCCGACAGCCCGCGAGGAGGGCACGAGCTCACACTAACAGCACGCACGCGCCATCTAGTGGGCAAATCCTCTGTGTAATAGCCACAATCAAACAGACCATTCAGATGGACACACAGCCCACTACACACAGATGAAGACGTAAGACCTGTCCAGTCAGGGATGTGCAGACACTCAAGTACTCGATTAACCGATCATGGTGTCAGTATTCGAATACCGAAATCACTGTTTGGGTTTCGTTTATTACCAAAATATGGGGAAAATAAACAGTTCAGCAAAACACTGATTTTATGATTTTATGCTTCAGAAGCTATTTATTCATAATAATTGAAAATGTGAGCAAAAATTCAATAAAAAGTTTTTGCTTCCTTCTCTGTTTCTGGCAGCAATATATACCATTGGTTTTTCAAACCTTTGACCTACACTATATGAACAAAAGTATTAGGACACCTACACATTACACCCGCAGGAGCTTTTATGACATTCCATTCTAAATACATAGGCATTAATATGGAGTTAATATGGAATTGGTCTTCCATTTCCAGCTATAACAGCTTCTACTCTTCTGGGAGGCTTTCTACAAGATTTTGGAGTGTGCCGGTGGGAATTTTAGCCCATTCAAAAGAGCATTTGTGAGGTCAGACACTAATGTTGGACAAGAGGGCCTGGCTTGCGATCTCCATTCTAGTTCATTCCAAAGGTGTTTGATGGTTGAGGTCAGGGCTCTGTGAGGGCCAGTCAAGGTCCTCCACACCAAACTCACCCAGTCATGCCTTTATGGACCTTGTTTTGTGCACTGGGGCTCAGTCATGCTGGAACAGTTTTTTCCCCAAACTGTTCACACAAAGTTGGAAGGGTGCAATTGTCCAAAATGTCTTGGTCTGCTGAAGCATTAAGATTTCCTGTTGCTGGAACTAAGGGTTCTAGGCCAACCCCTGAAAAACAACCGCTTATCGTTATCCCTCCTCCACCAAACTTTACAGTTGGCACAGTGCAGTCAGGCAGGTAACGTTCTCCTAGCATTTGCCAAAGCCAGACTTGTCCATCAGACTGTCAGACAGAGAAGCGTGATTTGTCACTCCACAGGATACGTTTCCACTGCTCCAGAGTCCAGTGGCCGTGTGCTTTAGACCACTTGTGCTTGGTGATGTAAGGCTTGCATGCAGCTGCTCTGTCATGGAAACCCATGCCATGAAGCCACAGTGCACAGTTTTTGTGCTGATGTTAATACCAGAGGATGTTTGAAACTCTGCAGTTATTGAGTCAGCAGAGCGTTGGTGACTTTTATGTTTTGGTAACTTTACGTGATCTGACACTTCATGGCTGAGTTGCTGTGGTTCCTAAACGCTTCCACTTTTCAATAATACCACTCACAGATGATCATGGAATATCTTGGTGGGAAGAAAACTTGTGAACTGACTTGTTGCAACGGTGGCATCCTATTACAGTCCCACGCTCGAATTCACTGAGATCTTTAGAACGACACATTCTTTCACAAATGTTTGTAAAGGCAGACTGCATGGTCAGGTGCTTGATTTTTTACACCTGTGGCAATGAGACTGAATGCAACACCTGAATACAGTGACTAAGAGCTGTGTCTCAATACTTTTGTCCATATAGTGTATAAATTAGTTAATTTCTCTTGAGAATGACTTACTATCACAACATATCTTCTTATTGTCTTAAAATGTATATGTCAGAATTAATATTCTTACTGACTTAAAATGTTAAGAACATAAGTCATTGTTTTGCAGTATTTTGAGAAAATAGGTCATTATTTAGAGATACTGTCAACATTTTGAGAAAATGGGCCATTGTTTAGAGATAGTAAGCCAGAATTTAAAGAAAATATCATTATTTTGAGAAAACATTTCAACAGAAAAAATAGCTTAGACCAGTACATGCTGTGTCTTGGGTGCTGGTCATCCAGCATGACCATGCTGGGTGACCAGATAACCCAGCAACAGAGCAGCACCAGACCAGCATAAACCAGCTTAGACCAGCATAGAATTCATGCTGCTCTAAGCTGTTTTTACAGCATGGATTTTAAAAAGTCATTATTTTGAGAAAATATTCATCAGTTTGAGAGACTGTCAACGTTTTGACACATTGCTGCCAGAAAAAAAAACATGTGATTGTTACACAATTTGGACCAGCAGCACCACATCTACAGCTGCTACTGACCTCATCTAATTTAGATTATTCTAAAGTTTATAGTTGAGATTATTGTCTGTTATATTATAGCTTGATTAGATGAAAATCCACTGTTCAGTCTGGCAGCTGTAAATATCTGCTCAGTCGGTGTGGACGATCACAGACTGGTGATAAATGTATTTATCAGGGTTTTACCAAAGGCTGCCTGGAACAACAGTTTATCTAAACGTTGTGTTCAGACCCTGTTTACCTGTCCCCAGCACTAGCCTACTTAATCTGACCTGTGACCTTGACCCGGGGACGTGGACTGACCCTAGCAGAGTCAGTCTGCTCTTATTCCCGCGCTCCGCTCTTTCTCTTCTCCCTCACCAACTTTCCTCATTCAGCTGTGAGCTACTTCACTCTCTCATCTCTGCCTAATTTCTCATATTTAACATTAAAAAGTCATTTTTGGTGAAAGTGCTCTGTCACTCTGCACATATTAATGACAAACTCACCCAGAACATTCTGTCTGCTCGGCAAACAACAGTTGCGACAGAGTACACAATCTTTTACCCGAGAGTCAACGTCTCCCATTGTCTTAATATGGTCTTTGTCTTAATATGGACACTCCATCCCGTGTCTTAATATGGGCCGCCTGTCCGACAGCCCGCGAGGAGGGCACGAGCTCACACTAACAGCACGCACGCGCCATCTAGTGGGCGAATCCTCTGTGTAAAAGGAACAGCCACAACTAAACAGAACAGAGACCACTCAGATGGACACACAGCCCACCACACACAGATAAAGACGTAAGACCTGTCCAGTCAGGGATGTGTAGATACTCCACTACTCGATTTTCCGATCATGGTGTCAGTATTCGAATACCGAAATCACTGTTTGGGTTTGGTTTCTATCACAGAAATATGGAGAAAATACACAAACAGTTAAGTGAAACGCTGATTTTATGATTTTATACTTTAGTACTATGAAACACAAGCGTCTTGAAGGAGAACGCCACCCATTTTTCAAAAGTTCCACATATTTAAATGGTTAAGATGTAGACAAAATCAGTCAGAGTGGTTTAAAGTGCTCTGTTCTAGATAAACTTACTGACTCTATTACTCACAGTGGTGGTGACAGGAACCAGACAGAAGAGCTCTAAGACCTCTCTCACAGAAAGTTATTACACAAGATGGTTATGAATACACTGCTTGATGCCTGAGACATTGTTTTACGATAGTTTTATGATAAAGTTTTGGCCTAAAACGTCTTGTTAATCCGTTTACTTTATTCCATTTATGGTGGAGGGGTACAGGGCGTTGTAAGGCAAAATAGTCCCTGAAGAAAACAGGCAGTGCTCAGTTACCTGGAATCCTCCTGGCTGACCACGTCTAAGGCAGAAGATTATCATTCACAATAATCAAAATGTGAGCAAAAATTCAATAAGAAGTGTTAAAGTGGTTTTCAGCTACAGTCTTAAAAGGCCTAGTTTTCACCTATGAAGCCCATTCCTGCCAGAAAATGGGAAAAAGAAACATCTGTTTTTGCTTCCTTTTCTGTTTCTGGTGGCAATATATACCAAAATTCTGACTTAGTATCTCAAAAAAATGACTTGGTTAATCAGATTTTTGACTTATAAATGTGTTTATTTCTCCAAACAATGACTTACTATACCAACATAACTTCTAATTCAACATATCTTCTCATTTTTTTGACATAGTATGTCGAAATTTATCATTTAAATAACTCAAAAACTCAATTTTTTAAGAAAATAAGTCATTATTTAGCAATGCCATGTCAATATTTTGAGAAAATAAGTCAGTAGACAGTAAGCCAATATTTAATAGTGTCATTATTACAAGAAAACATGTTAACAGAAAAACCAGCACACGTTGTGTCTTAAGTGTTGATATGCTGGTCATCAAGCACAACCCTGCTGGGTGACCAGATAACCCAGCAACAGAGCAGCACCAGACCAGCATAAACCAGTTTAGACCAGCAAAAACTTAATGCTGGTCTAAGCTGTCCAGGTCATTACTTTGAGAAAGCAGCCATCAGTTTGAGAGACTGTCAAAATTTTGACATTTTGCTGCCAGAAAAAAAGGATCATTACACAATTTGGACCAGCAGCACTACATCTACAACTGCTAATGACCTCATTTAATTTAGCTTGTTTAGATGAGAATCCACTGATCAGTCTGGCAGCTGTAAATATCTGCTCAGTCGATGTGGACGATCACAGAAGGGTGATAAATGTATTTATCAGGGTTTTACCAAAGGCTGCCTGGAACAGCAGTTTATCTAAATGTTGTGTTCAGACCCTGTTTACCTGTTCTGTGTTGTGTCCCCAACACTAGCCTACTTAATCTGACCTGTGACCTTGACCCGTGGACGTGGACTGGCCCCAGCAGTGTCAGTCTGCCCTTATTCCCGCGCTCCGCTCTTTCTCTTCTCCCTCACCGACTTTCCTCATTCAGCTGTGAGCTACTTCACTCTCTCATCTCTGCCTAATTTCTCATGTTTAACATTAAAATGTCATTTTTGGTGAAAGTGCTCTGTCACTCTGCACATATTAATGACAAACTCACCCAGAACATTCTGTCTGCTTGGCAAACAACAGTTGCGACAGAGTACACAATCTTTTACCCGAGAGTCAACGTCTCCCATTGTCTTAATATGGTCTTTGTCTTAATATGGACACTCCATCCCTTGTCTTAATATGGGCCGCCTGTCCGACAGCCCGCGAGGAGGGCACGAGCTCACACGAGCTCATGCATGCGCCATCTAGTGGGCGAAGTTGTCCACTACAATCGGCTGACATCTAAACATCCTGCTCTTCCAGAGTACATTAAATAAGTCATCAATGATCAGTTCATCATATTGCTCAAATCTAATCATCCATCCACACACACACATCTTCTAAGCCACTTATCCTACTGGGTTGTGGGGGGAGCTATCATCTGTCCAATGCTGATCAATTTTTAAAAACGGTTATCTCCCGATACCCATATGATTCTGATATCATGATGCATCCCTACTTGATTACTAATATAATCAATATTAGTGAGTCCTAACAGTATGTTATCCAATAATGTCCATTTCTGAGTCTATCATAAGGATCAGCACTTTTAGAACACTGAACAACTGCTGAGTTTCATGAAGACTGATTTAAACCAAAGAAAGCCTGTAAACAACCAGCGTATAGTAAAAACATAAACTGACTGGATGTCAGCCCATTATGACTTATTTATTCATTTATTTATGACAATCATTTGTTTTATTATGCCATTATAGAATGTCTGCAAAGAAAGCACACAGTGAGCTACGTATAATGCATTGAAATTCACGTCCACATAAAAGTATGAAATAGCCCATACATTAAAGATACAATCACATCTAATTTGAAAATATTGAAAAAAGGTATTTTTGTCTTGGTGTGGATATACAGCGCCCATGCAGGGGGAAAGCTGGGGCACACCTAGCCTTTCAAAATGTATTCAACACAAATTAACATGTTTTCTTTGTCATTTTCCAATTACTTAATATATTACATATTTTAAGTAATTGAAAAGTATAACGACCGGGGTATTGTTCAAAATGTTTTACTACTAGTACCGACAGCTTGACTTCAATACTGTGTCCTGAACCATGCTTGAACCAGAAGTGAGAGAGGTGCTGGAAGTGGGTATATTCAATTGCAGTGCAGCGTAATCAAGAAGCGCTGATGTTAATAACATTGTTTAGACAGCCAATCAGCATCCTGGATTTTGGAATGGGCATTTGAATGGCTTACAAGTGCTTATAAGACTGAGTACTTAGATATAGAGCTCTGAAGTTATGTATAATGCCTATATTAGCAACATTTTTTTTAAATTGCTGCCATTGCATCATGTGATAAACAAAAGTGTTCCAAACCTGATACATTTTGACTCGTGTACATCTCCCTCACTGAATCACAAGGGCCTTTAGCACTCAAAGTAATGCTACGTACATGCCATGACCAAGCTAACACTCTTGAGCACTGAAACGGCGTTAAAACAACATTGTATGAAAGTCTATTATTTAACTATAACACTGTTATAATGCTGTTATAACAGCAACTACTCAAACTGTGGGCCATTACTGCCATTGCACGTAGCTCTGTATTTCGTCTCCTTACTGACCTCGTAATTCAAATGATCCAGTGACATTTGGATGTCGGTACTGTCAGATTTGGAACTCTTTGACGACACGACTACAGAGGTCTATAGAAATGTTATTATATGACATGAAACTTTTTGATTTCAGGTGCTTAAATAACTTTTGGGCCAATATGTGCTTTTAACAGTAGTTTGGAAAAGGAAACTGTCCAATCACTATTTACACAGAACCTGCTCTGCTCGGAGTCATGTAGCAAAATATACCCAAAGTATTAGCAAGTAGCTGTTTGATGTCAACAAAACCTTTGTAGTTTTCATTTCTTACATAAATGAAATAGTGGGAAAATTCAAATTGCAATAAAAGGCGAGGTGTCTCCCAGCTTTTGATGGGCAGTGTATACACTAAAGAACTTGGATCTTATCGCTACAGAAAAGCTAGTGAATGCCCTGAAGACCAAAATGTTCAAGAGACCTGTCTACAACACAAGAGAACTGTCCTCAAACAACAGCAGAGTCAAGCTTTTGATTACAACAGAAAGCTCCAGTTAGGTTCATCTTCAGTGCTGACAGAGGTGTTGCTTGATTAACAGAGAGAAAGAAAAAAAACAAACAAAAACAAAAAAACATCCCCAAGCCAATGACAGGCTGTCATTTAAAGCTAAAGCCCCGAATGGCTTTCAGTGTAATCCAGCAGTTATCAGAGACTGGCATTATTACTAGCCACTGAATGTATTCCTTGTGAGAGTAGTACTAGAGAGTAGAGTAGCTTTTCTTTTTCTTTTACTGAGACTATTTTTATTATGTTTTATTTAATGTTTAAATTATGTTTAATAAAATGAAAGATGGCAGAACGAAATGGTTAATAGTCCACGTGAGGCTCATCTGAAAGTCTTGCAGTACCACAAATGTCCTCCAGTAATGAGTAGCCTGCATCCCTTTTTGTCAAATTATGTCCTCCATAGCTGAGCTCTTCCTAGAGTTTAAGTCCAGTCAAAAGGAGATGAGCAGAAAAACGTCCAAATATCTGTGAGCCGTGTGTGCGTGTAAGCGTGTGAGGGCGTGGACGTCCTTTTAGCTCTCTGGCTGGAGTCTCTGCAGTGTGGATCTCAGGCTGTCCCGAGCGCTGATGCACGTCTCCAACGATTTGTTTGGTCTAGTGAGAATAAATACACACAGACACACAAACACACAGAATAAGAAAATTCCTTGAGGAATTTAACCTTCTTGATGAACTGATAGTGAATAGTTGGCAATTTGCATGATACTAATACATTTTTAAAATTCCCCTTCTGCTCCCTTTTCATTGAAAATAGCCTTCGTAAAACAAATAGTTCTGGTCCTTTTTGCATTACCAGTGCTTTCTTATATCACTGCCGCTGGAACAAAACCTTGTATCTCCAAAATGGTAACTTTACAGGAGAAGAACAAAACCTACTTTACTGTTATTGTAAGTAAGTGTAACCAGGCTTTTTCCAAGTAATTTAGGCCATTTCTTTAATCCATTCATCATGAAATTTACACACAATGTAAAGGGCATCATGTACTATCAAATTATGTCAAAAACTGGAAAATGATGAAAATGGAGGTACAAGGTTTTGTTCCAACAGCAGCGACATGTTGATTATTATATCAACATCTGTCTGAAAAGACGGCAATATACACTGATGGGCGACTGAACATTCTTGCCCTCCTTCAAGTATCCATTGCCACTTGACAACAAAAACATACTCTGTTTCGCATTGTGCCTAATAACATCCCTGTAATAAAATCACTGTAACACACAGCCTCTCATGGCTTACTGCTTTGAATTACATGACCACTTATTTACGTTTTTTTGCCAAATAGTGTTTTTTTTTCTATTCTAGTCTTTTTCTAGTAAAGTATTTCAGAATTTTTAAAATAGGTTCATTTTTATTGTTGAATCTTTCTTAAACTCCACCCAATTAATCTGCAAAATAATCAGTAAATTACTTGATTACTTAAGTAATAGACAGTGACAGCCCTGTCAGTATGTTATCATTATTCATAAAAACAAGTTTTTGGGGTTTCATTAGCACCATCAGTAGAACACTAAACAAAATCACAAAGAAAAACAACTATAGAGTGAGATTATCATAAAGTTCTATTATATTGCACATTAATTTTTTTAACAATCTGTTTGATTTTTCCTCCTGATCTTTCTTAAATGGTGTATTTTTGCAAATACTGACTAAAAAAGTTTTTCAGACTTTTTTTTAATGCAGCACTACTGTTTTGTTGGTGCATTTTGTCTATTTCCATGTATTCACAAACTTCAGAAAAAGTAAATATTGTGATAAATGTTGTGCATCTAAAAATAGGGGGTAAAATTATAGCCAATTGCTGTAATTCATTACAGGAGTAACAAAGTAACTAAACCCCCTGCAATGTTTATTAATTCCTAAAACTATTTTTATTTTTAGCATCAGCTGGTAGACAAAACCCTCTTTCTCAGAACTTGTTCATTTCAAACTAGGAGACTTAACAGGGTAAAGCAGACCAATAGGAGTGTAATGAGTGAGTTTGTACCTGGCCATAAATGCATGCAGTACAGCGATGTGCTCTCGGGGGAAATAGTCCTGCTTCACTGCGTGCTCCAAACACTGCAGATGTCCTGCTACTACTGCCACCGGCTTCACTTTATCCTCACTCTAAACACACACATAGGAGGAGAGCGCGAGAAAGAAATAGAGAGAGAGAAAAGAGAGAGAGATTAGAGAAAAATAAAAGGTGAAATATTAAAAAAAAGTTCATATTATTTATGTTTTTAAAAGAACAATAAAATAGTAAACGAACTAAAAGGTGAACAGAAAGGTGTATACATCTGTGAATTAGGGCTGCAATAAATAGTTATTGACTTTGATGATTATAGAATAAAGTTGTTCACACACAGTTTCCTACAAACCCATTTCTGAAAAAGTTGAGACAGTAGGACAAATATAAATAAAAGCAGACAACAATAATTTGCAAATCCTTTTTTCATCCATATTCAGTATCCTAATCTTCATTGTAAACTATTTTGGCTAATTTCACACATATAGAGCACAGGGGTCTGTGCCTTGCAGCCATCTGACATGTTTGTTTTGATCTGAAGTCACATCTGTTTATGTGAAAGTGTGAGTGACGTCAGATTCTGAGAGACAGGACTGTTCACTGGGCCGCTCTGTGAGCATAATCTGAAAGCGGTGTTTTGTTCTGGTCAAATCATGTAATGTGGGGGGGCTTTGATGACTGAAAAACGGCTAAAGACAAAAACATCAGTGGAATCTATCACTGTGTGTGAGATCTTTCATGTTTTAACAATGGCTAGAATGTAGAACATCCTGCAATCCTGTGTGTGCTAAGCGCCATAGAGATGTTCCTCATGGGAACATCATGTGTGTGTGTGTGTGTGTGTGTGTGTGTGTGTGTGTGTGTTTACCTTTAATAACCCAAGCATCACCAGTAATGAGGAGATAAAGCTGAAGGTCTGGGCTGAGGGCAAGGAGAACATTTTCCTCAAAACAGCATCTGGAAAGAACCAACACAGTTTTCTTTAGCACTACATTTTCAAAAAGTCTCCTCTCAGCACAGGAGCGTTTGATAGCAATGATGGAGGATGAACAGAGAACAGACCTCAGTATAGAACACTGTGTGTCTGTGTATAAAGGGTGCGTGATGTTTTACGGCAAAGGTCTTCGAATCCAGACCTTAAATCCAGTTCTGGTCCCGGATTTTGTAATCATTTGTTGGGATGATATGAGCTGATCAATTATTTACATTACAGTTCAGTAAACTACCAATTATTATAAACTCCAAGACTCAAAACTGGACAGAAAACACTGTTGTTTTAAATACATGAGGTAAAGAGATTTGGCTTTGGAACTCATTTATGTATAGCAGTCTGACGTTTTCAGCAAGGAGGCACCATTAGTGCACAAGTCAGTGCACTGTGTGCATCATTTGAAGAAAAACAACCAAGAACCCACACCAGCAGGAGCTCATTCTCAGAACAAGAGGTGAAATAATTCTACCAATATACAGTTTAATTACTCAGTATTATACATTCAAAATGTGATTTCATTCAAGATTTTCATTAAATCAGTGAAGGATAAAAAGGCATGTAAGCTAAAGACAGCATATAAAGTAGGTAAAAACTGCAGCGGATCATGTGTATGTGTGTTTGCAGGGGCTGATGGAAAGAGATGATATAATGAATGATCTTGAAGAGCACAATACCTGTGCTAATTATTTTTAGACCTATTGTGTAGATGTTTTGAGGTGATTCATCAAGTGTCTGTAAAGACGTGTTAAGAGTGTTGGAGCTTACCAATGCTCTCAAGCACTGCCGTTTTCACCTCAGGATCATCTTCCTTATACACAGACGAAATCTTCAGGAAAGCTTCTACGGTCTTCCCCACATCCGCCACATCCACCTATACATGCACAGACACAAACCTTTGGCTCTTTGGGGAAAAACTGTCTCACTCAATAATTATTTAGATTATTCTACATGCAGTGACACTTCAGTGCAAAGGTTTCTAAAAGGCGCCATGAAAGTAAGTTTGAAAACTTATCTTCAAAGCACTGAGTAAAAATAACACATCAGAAAATCTGCTTCCTCCTTCAGGCCTTACCTGCTGCTGGATGAGTTCAGCTCTCTTGTTGCCAAGACGGAGCAGTTTGTCTGGAGACGGAAAACAGAGGAAGGACGAAACATCCGGAGGCCGAGAGGCTGAAGGAGGAGTTGACATCTGCACACACAGAAGAACACAGGTCTCAGATCAGTCCCCTCTGTTAGTACTGGGCAGGTCTGCTTCAGTGAACTAACTAGGACTACAATGATTAGTCATCATGAAAGTCTATTATGAAAAAAGTAGATCAACACTTCATTTACTTCATTTACTTAACAAAAGTAGTCTAAAGTGTTACAGCTGGAATATCAGAGACTGTAATACATTTCTTAACAAGCGATTGCAGAGGTTTTAGGCATTTCACAGCCTGTGGTGACATAACATCATCAAAAGATTCAGGGAATCTGGAGACATCTGTGCGTGAAGGGCAAGGCCATCTGAACACCCATAAATGCCGGTGATCTTTGATCCTTCAGAAAGAACATCATTAAAAACCAGCACACTTTAACAAAGCATAGTCAACAAACACTGTTTGTCACTGCATCCACAAATGCAGGTTGAGACTGTACTATGCACAGCAGTAGCCATATATCAACAATGTCCAGAAATGTGGCTGACTTCTTTTGGCTAGAACTCATCTGAAATGGACTGATGCACAGTGGGAACACGTATTGTGATCTAAGAAGTCAACTTTTATGGGAAAAAATGGACGTTATGTTCTCAATCCAGGACAATCCAGACTGTTACCAGCTAAAAAAATGTCAGGATCTGTCACAGTTTGAGGGTGTATTAGTGTCCACTGCTTAGGTAACTTGCACATTTGTGAAGGCACCATTAACGCTGAAGAATATACACACATTTTGGAGCAATGTGTTGCCTTCTAGACGGGTTTTACAGGGACGTCCATGCTCATTTCAACATGACAATGCCAAGCAACATTCTGCACTTTACAACAGCATAGCTGTGTAATCGGAAAGTGCCGTTGCTAGCCTGCCTGCAGTCCAGACCTGTCCCTTATTAAAAATGGACAATACAGGCCTGTACATTTGCCCAGTTGTACAGTTTCTTCAAAAGACTTTGAAAAATGGCACAAAAAATAATTTTTCAAGTTGGTATCTTCAGCCTGCAGACAAATATTAAGTGTTATAAAGGAAAGTGTTATAACACAGTGGTAAACATGCTCTTGGTATCAAATTTGGAATGAGTGTATATTTATTAAAACAGGTCAAACAGGATTCACTGATTTACTATTTACTTGTCTGGTAAATGAGCGTACAAGTGACTGGCTTTTAACATGTTTTGGCGTAACCGCTCCTATTCTGATGGTTAGGCAGCATTTAACTATAAGAACACTGACCTGACTGGGTTTGCTGGGCTCATCTTCCCCCTCTTCCTCATTTTCTTCTTCTTCTTCATCATCAATGTCTTCCTCTTCTTCTTCCTCCTCATCTTCCTCCTCCTCCTCTTCTTCATCGTCTTCTTCATCCTCCTCATCATCTTCATCTTCATCTGGCTCTCCTTCATCATCACTGTAAGTGGTATAAGAGAGAGAAGAAAGGGCTGTTAGAATTGGAGTTGCATAGAAAATCATGTTTCAATCATGTAATTCAACTAAAGTAGATTATTTTGAGGGCCAAATTCTATTCATGTCACATTATTGGTTCACCGCACTGCTAATATATTGCAAGGAATGTCACAATTGCAAGTTATAAAGAGTGTTCAGTACCTCAGAGACCCCAGCATGTCTTCCATGTTCATATTCTGCATCAGCTCCCGAAGGTTCTGACACCCCTCCTCACCTAAATAGTTACCTACACACACACACACACACACACACACACACACACACACACACACGATATCTGAATTCTTAAAAATGAATTGCAAAAACTGTAAAAATGTACTGGAAAAAATGTATCAATTCATAAATATTGAAATTTTAGAAGAGATTCTAAAACCATTGAACAAAATATGAAAATAACTGTATCTTTATGACTTTATATCTAAGCTTTTTTTTTTGTATTTCACTACTGTGTACATAGTATATTTTTGTATTCTGTGTATTTTTAATGATTTAAAATCATCCAAAAATAATCAAATTGAATGAAATTGTGTTGAAATATGACATTTATTGATGCACTGAATCATCTACATCCATATTGGTGAATTTATTCTACAAAGTATATTCAGCTTCAAAGTTATATGCTTTGGCAACACTGTACTTGAGACAGTCATGCCAATAAAGCTAGTTTAAGATGAACTGAGAGAGAGAAAGAGAACGAGAGAGAGAGAGAGAGAGAGAGAGAGAGAGAGAGAGAGAGAGAGAGAGAGAGAGAGATGTGTATGTGAATGAAGTACCATTAAGGTCGAGTTTCTCGAGCTGATCTTTGTGTTCAACAGCTTTTGCAACCGCCAGAGCCGCCTCCTCTGCGATCTCTCCAAATGACAGATTCAACTCCTAAGAAAAAGTAAGACACAAAGACAAAACAGCATTTTAATATATTCTCTATCTGGGCTCTCAGGTTATGGTCGGTGACTTCAAAAGCATGTTGTAGTTTTATATTAATTCTCATCTGTAGCTCATTAAAGCAAGTGGAGAAATTCTGTTGGAAGTGCAGGCTCTAAACTTTCAATCCATTCCACATTTGTGTAGAAGAGCAGAAGAGGAGATAATTTATTATGATCCAAATTTGATAAGAAGTTACTGTGGTACAATGTTGTTTTGCAGAAAGAAAACTTGGCCTTATTTTTCCATGTTTATGATTTTTTTTAACTTTAAAACATGTGTGAAGTGCAGACTTGAATCTCAGATCTCAGTCTAAAATTTAGCATTCTGTACCTTGAGAATTGGAAGTCCCTCTGTTAGAGCCTCGGCTATAGCGATGGCTCCCTCAGACCGAACCAGGCAGTCCCCGAAGTTTATGACCTGCACACTGCGTAGGTGCTTCAGAGCCTGAGGGACAGACAGACTACACTGCTTACATCTCGTTTAGTTACAGTGACTCTGTTCCAGTCAGTCTTTCCGTTCCTTAAGTGTTGGGCAATGAATTGTCTGTACTGGTACACTGGTATTGGTTCACACAACAACATTGATTTTTAATTATAGCTGTATTGAAGAAAGAACATCAGTTAAGTGTTATCTGTGCAACTTCATATTGCTGTTTACTTCATATTATTTTGAAAGAAAATAAAACACATAAAAAATATAACTTTCCTTTCCAAAAATATGGTTTGTGTTAATGTTTAAGAGATAAAATAAGAACAAAACACAAAACAGTCAAAACAAAACAAGCTGTCTTCTAACTCAGAAAAATAAATAAATTGTACTTAATGGCTGTTTTTACTGGAAATTAAATAAAAGACAAAGTGGTCTGACATTTGTACAGTACTGTAGGTGAAGCATGTAGCATGTAGCAGAAATAGCATACCTGGGCCATGGCGATAGCTCCCTTCTTAGTGAAGGTGTTGTCGTTGAGGTTGAGCACCCTGAGCTGGAGGTTGTGCTGCACAGCGCTGGCCAAAGCCGTCACTCCGGGATGGTTGATGCCGTTCTGAGGCATGTGGATTTCCTCCAGACTGCCCATTAACTAGAGGAATGAAAGCAGCATAACTCTAGCCGTAGTAGACAATGTTAAAATACTCTCATTTCTTCACAGAAATGGAAGAAATGCTCTTATGTAGCACGATAAACTACATATATACAAATACTTAAATGATATGGACAATGTACGATATATGGACGAATGCGTTAATTAATCTGTCATTTTACACTTTATAAGGTAATGAAAACAAATTCAAGGACGTGAACAACATTTTAAAACAAGCTCTGCTCCAACGGCTTTGTTTTCTGCCATTTTCACTGTGCTGTATTTTTTTTACTTTGCGTTGTTCGCCCGCGAAGAACTGTGGGTAACCAAAGGCCGGGAAGGATACATCTGTTGTGGCCTTGAAATCGCTCAGAACATAGGCTGCATTTCTAGGCTGTATACGAAGGATGCTTCACTTTGGAACGGCCTTCTATGATGTAGCGGCCGAGAAATGCAGCTTACCTCGGCTGCAGCCTAGGCTTTGGAGCACAGCTATTATTTCTGAAATAGTGAAGTGTATATGGGAGGGGTGACTGGGGGCAAATTTTTTTTTTTTTTTTAATGTAGGAAATTAGGCAGACATCTTCTTCAGAGACCCCTCATCAATAATTTATAAACAGAGGCCTTTCAAAAAAAGACTCTGCCTGACATTTGTGTTCTGCCAAAAGGCCTATACTATAGTGCTTGGACCCCAATGATCGCTACTTGTGATGTGATTTGTAGACTAACATTTAGCTAGTTACAACAGTCCACAGAAATCAATGTGTTCAACATCAATTTCAGACAAAAACGTAGCAGCTGTCTTAACTGCAAACGACAAGAATTTACGCATGTTAGTCTTTTTGCAGTCACCGTTCAAAAGCTACAGGAGAAAGAAATAAGGATATGCAGAAATTAAACCAATTTCACTGCTCATGAAACGTTGCACTCTTTATGAATGCAGACTAGGAAAAGGTGATGTTTTAAGACTAAGTGACAGGAGCTCTTAACAGATCAGTGCAGTGTGTATTTTTACCTGAAAGGCCTGTGCCAGTGCTGTGGCGCCATCATTCTCCAGCCTGTTCCTGCCTGCAACGAAGACCTTCAGGCTCAGGGGGGCACCAAGTTCGCTCGACTTCTTATGGCACTCTGTCAGTGCTGCTGCCAAGATCTAAAGTGTACGACATCAAAAAGGAATAATAAGATGCAGACTTCAGCTCACAAAACCAATGAGTCAGTCCCTTTTATATGACAGAGACCTGTAGCACAAATTTTACAGTAATAAAGGTCAGTGGTCCACACTAATCTGTTCAACTAAGCCTGTCTTTAACATCAAACCTTCCTCCTACCTTTCCTCCACCGATGCCCATGCCGCAGTTGTTGAGGCGCAGTTCCTGCAGTGTGTGACAAGCAGTGCTCTTCAGCAGCTTCTCAATGCCCTTCACACCATCAGGACCAAACGCGTTATCACTCAGATCCAGCACCTTCAGCTGAGCTCCAGCAGTTATTAGAGCTGCTCCTAGAGAGTTCTGAGTGAGAGTGAGAGAGAGAGAGAGAGAGAGAGAAAGAGAGAAAGAGAGAAAGAGAGAGAGAGAGAGAGAGAGAGAGAGAGAGAGAGAGAGAGAGAGAGAGAGAGAGAAAAAAGAGAGACAGGGAGAAAGAGAGAAAGAGTGACACGCAGAGAGAAAAGAGACAGGTAGACAGAGCAAGGCAGAGAGAAAAGAGAGACAAGTACAGAGAGAAATAGACAGATACACAGAGAAAAAAGACAAGAAAGACAAAGAGGGACAGAGAGATAGACAGAAAGAAAAGAAAGAGAGAGAGACACACAGAGGGAAGACAAAGAAACAGAGACAAGTATATAGAGAGAGAGATATGCAGAAAAAAGACAGAGAGAGAGACAAGTAGATAGACAGAGAGACATGCAGAGAAAAAAGAGGCACAGAGGGATAAGAAAGAGACAGAGAGCGAGAGAAGGAGACACAGAGAAAAGAGACAGGTAAAAAGAGAAAGAGAGCACAGAGCAAGCACAGAGAGAAAAAGAGACAGAGAAAAAGAGAGAGAGACCAACAGACAGAGAGAGAGAGAGAGAGAGAGAGAGAGAGGGGGAGAGAGAGAGAGAGAGCGAGCGAGCGAGAGAGAGAGAGAGAGAGAGAGAGAAGAGCAAGCATAGATAGAGCGGAGAGAGACAGAGAAAAAGAGAGACAGACAGAGCGACAGAGACAGGAAGAGTGAGAGAGAAAGAGAGAGGGAGAATAAATTAGAGAATTAAGAAAAAATGAGCAAACACTTGGAATGTAATATAGCTTACCATGGTTATACATCCTGTTTACTGTGTTAGTTTTCAGGAACATGTAATGATCACAAACAATGGACTTGCTTTAAAGCAGAGCCTTATTGTACTTCACTTTTTCCCCTTTTCTTTTCTCCCCCCACCCCCACCCCTTTCTTCTCTGCCCTTCCTCTCTCCTCATTTCTGCTGCAGAAGGTCTTACCAGTGCAGGAGGGATCTCAGAACGCAGGCGGCCAGTGAACATGTCACTCCAGTAGCAGCACTGAAATAAAAAGAGAAAAACATCCTCATATAAACACAGACAGCGTAATAAATACTCAACCCACTAGAACACGGGCATCAGTAGGGCTGAAAATCTGAAAACAACAGATGCATTATAAAGTCACCATGATTATATTATGTTGCTACGACGGAGAATTATTAATTTTTTTTTTTTCAACGTCAGTTTTCCTCATTTTGATCACTACAAAATAATGCTAACTTTCACTAGCATGGAATTGGCCGTGTTAGCCTGGCTTTACAAGGTGAAGCCTTCAAGCTACTTTTGTTGCTTAAAACCGACATGAAACTAAACTGCACTTGAGTTGCATAATAAAAAGCGTCTTGAAACTCAGCCGCAACAGTTGCAGGAAGCTCGATTTTGTAAAACAAGCCAATCAAAATGCCAGTAATGCATCATGCGATTATGCACATGATGCATCATGCTTTAAAACGAAAAACTTCACCAGATCACTAGACAAGAAAATAAAACCAAAGATGGTTGACTGGGTGGTTGAAAAGGAGACCCAACCACCCCCCCAGACTCAAGGTTTGTTTGGGATCCAAAGGATGGGAATTATTACAGATGCGGTCCGCAAAGAATGTTCTGTGCTTCTACAAACTTAAAAATGATGGTTCTTAGATGGTTCTTTACCAAGGAAAATGGTTCTATATACAACAATGGACACTCAAAGACCCCTATGCTTGATTAAAGGGTTATTTGCATCGTGAAAAGTTTCTTCAGATTGATGGAGAATATGCTACAGATGGTTCTATATACAACCTTTTTGAAAAGGGTTCTATATAGCACCAAAAATAGTTCTTCTACTCTAACAAGCTTAATATTCTTAGTGTTCTTTTGAGTGTTCATGGTTCTATATAGAACCATATTCTTTACTAAAGAACCATCTATTTTAAGTGTGTAGGACAGAATGACATCTAGCAGGCTATAAACATAACTGCTGCTAAAATATTTATTTACATTTATTTTCAAAAGCTTTATATACAAACAACAGATAAAAAGCACAATATACTATGAGGATATACAGGAACAGGAGGAAAAAATGAATAACAATGAAAGCTGGCAAAAATACATAAAGATAACAAACATTCTGGAAATACATAAATTAAACCTTACAGATGTCTTTACAGTGAGAATGATATGGCGTACCAAAATATACGAGCTGCTATGTAACTTGAATTGTTTTTGAACTGCTTTATGTAATTGTCAAGTTGCACAGAAACTATGTTGCAGGCAACTCACAACATGCAACTTCTCACATGAAAGCTTCACCGCTGTAAAGCCACTCTTATGATGGCACCAAGCTAACAACAGTCCCTGTTCCACTGGGTTTATTCCCACTGTGTTTAATCCCACTGCGTGTACCTGAAAGTCACTCTTGTCTTCCAGAGCTTTAGCAATGGCCTGGGCAGCCTCCACTCCTACAGTGTTCCCCTCCAACCGCAAAGCCTGCAAACCCTTAAACTCCCGGATATCCTTCACAATCTCCTCCACTACAGACAAACGGGAGAGAGAGAGAGAGAGAAAAATGGGTTAAAGGAGCTGACAGATTAGGAAGACTGAATAAACAGCAAGACTACACTTTGCAAAGGGCCACATCACATAACAAGATGTATGACAAGAGAAAACCTATGGTAGTTGCCCACTGACTCTCAGTAAGAACAGATGGTTATTTAGCTGAGCACAAATTACAATATATAGAGAGTAGAAAGGGAAAACCTGACCAAATCATGACCATTACTAACTGTTGGTTCTTGCCTTCAGATTTGAGTTGATAAGTCATTAGTTAAAGCTTTAGGGAAGTGTTTGATTGTAGGGGTGTGAAAAAGCATCATGATGCACCAAACTAATAGAGGCAATTGAGCTGTATAGATTTTGGAATGTTAGAATTATATGATTATAATTGATTATAATATTAGGTCAAAGTACATACAGTCTTTTTTGCCCATGGCACACTGTTGGTTTTTTATTGTCTATTTGCCACTCCTGTGTAAATATATTCTCTAGTTAAATACGTTAAGTATTTTTTTTATTCTAAATCATACCAAAACATACCAAACTGAACCGGAACAGTGACATTTGGCATTTCATGATTCATTGAATCGTGTCCTACAGAATCATAATTTAATTGAATCATTGCGATGTCAGAGATTTATAACACTATTTGATGTTGACTGCATTATAGGTGCTCACCAGACTGGGCGTTATTCAGTTTCAGACCCTGTCCTTTATAGCTGAGTTCACCCTCTCTGACCTGAGTCCTGGCCAGCGAATCAGCCAGCTGAGCAACATCATCCGACGCCATCTTCACACCTATAATGCACACACATACAACAACAAGGCAAATAAACAAGCTGAAGTCGTGTTTCCTGAAGCAGCCATGCCTGATGCTTTGATGTGAGCAGTCTCCATCTCTAAAGTCAGTGTAAAACCTGAAAATCAAACAGGGCTGAATTTCACAAAACCATCATAGCATAAAGATGATTCCTAAGTGGGAGAGCAAGCACCACACTAAACACCCTCTCTACAGGCTAAAGGGGAACTCCACCATAATTAAATGATTAAGATGTAAACAAAGTCATTCAGAGTGGGTTGGTGTGAAATGCTCCATTCTGGAGAAACTGAATTGTTCACAGTAGTGGCGATAGGAAACAGACGTCTGAAGAGTTTAACGCCTCTAAAAGCTCCCTCACAGAAAGTTATTACATGAAGTGGTTAGATATGTGCTGCCTGATGTCAGACACATTGTTTTATGATAGTTTTGTCAAAAAGTTTTGGCTTAAAATGTATTTTAGTATTTTAATCCATTTATTTTAATCCATTCATGGTGGAGAGGTACATGCAGGGTGTTGTAAGGCAAAATGGTCCCCAAAGAAAAATTTTTTACTTTACCATCATCAGCATTACATATAAAACTCAGAAGGTGTGTGTACATTCACTGGTGGTTTTGGATAATAAATCAAACAGCAATATTTGTGTTGTAGACATTGTGACCCCTGGTTCCTATCACCATTGTAAAGAAATTTGAGTTTGTAAGTTTCTCTACAATTAACCAATTCACATTAAACCACCCTGAATGACTGCTTACATCTTTACATTATACAGAAATGTTTAAAAATGGTATAACTCCCCTTTAAGACTTCTGAGCATTCTGAACTTTTATAATCTTTTGTATGTTTTTCTGTCTTTATTTCTGTCTTTCTCTCGTCTGTTTGTTAGGGTCAAACAATTTGGGGTAATATGTAATTACGATTTTTTCCCCGACAGATACTGTAAATGCAATTTAAATGAGATTGTTTTCTATAAATTAAGCACCAGGAGATTTTTTGCCAAGAGCACATGAGGTTTGAACACTGAACTATTGTGCCAGACTGCCAGTTCACAAGCTCTGTGCTATTAGTGAAATTTCCCCACTTAAAACAATACTGAATTATGTCACATATAACTAAAATAGCAGCTCTTGCAATTTAAATTGCACTCTTTCACACTGCAATATCAATATGACAATAAAATGGTTTTTATAATTATTTGTTCAGCTCTACTATCCATCCATCATTAATTGTATGCAAATGTTTGCGTGCCTCTGCTCAAATGATGTTTTGCTGATTTTCTATGTGAAAATAAGTACATCCTCTACAGAGAACACACTTCTGCACATTTTAATAAAAATAACTGTTTATTAGCTGAATTTAGCATATTAGAAAAAAAAAAACATAAAATGGGCACATTTCATATTTCAGATTATTTTTCCCCAGTATGCTAAACTCTGGGAACAAATAGAGAACGCGCACTAAAAATTGCAGAAACATGCCATATTTAAGTGTGTTCTCTGTAGAGGATGTGCTCACTTATCTTCACTTAGAAAATCAACAAAACATGCAACTCTACCAGGGGTGTTGAAACTTTTTTCATTTCGCTGTATCTAACTATCCATTTATCCATCTATCTTTTGGTCCACCCATCCATTTATTCATCCTTCCAGTCAGAGCAAAAGTAAAAATGTTAACATACAAGATTTGAACGCACAATTACTTTTTTATTTACTGAATTTAACATATTTTGTGGAAAGTAAAACATAAAATGTGGGCTGTGCATAAGTAATGGCACATTTTATACTTTATATAGTTTGACATCAGCGTTTAAACTTTTGCATAAGACTGTATCTGTCCATCCATCCATACTTCCATCTACCTATCTATCTATCCAGCCATCCATCCATCCATCATCTACCTACTGTTCCTATCTATTTCAACTTTATGTGGTCTATAGCAGAAACCTGCTGTTTTCTCTGTACATTCTGCTGTACAGAAATCTGTTTGTTTAATATTTTCAAAGACTGAGGGCAGATGGTAGCTCACAGCAATGGAACGCTCCCAACCGTGATGTGATAAGAGCACGGACAGTAATTGGATGCAGCCACCTGGTATCAGCTTAAGAAATATTTTCTCAGGCAGAAAATGTATCTTCTCTGTGGACTCTTATTGTCTAACCTTGAAAGGAGCTTTGTCATTACGTAGGAATGGGGGGCTCTCTTCTTCAACAAAAAAACATCTCAAAAAAGGCAGAGAGTGGGAGTGAGAGAGTCTTGTTTGGTCTCTTCACCTACCAGAGCTACAATATCAGTCCAAAAACACACAGACAGCCCTTCTAATCAGTGAATTCGGCCAATCCAAGGTGCTTCCATCGCTGACCCAGGCGTACAAATGGCTTGTGTTTTAATCTCCACAGAAAAGCATTCCCAATTGAATGGGATGGTCTGGAGTAGCCACACATAAGCCTAAGGTCACCATGTCTAAAGCCAAGCGTCAGCTAGAAGGACACAAAAAAGCCCCCCAGCATTGGGCTGTGGTGCAATGGAACAGTGTTCTCTGGAGTGATGGAGCGCCATCCAACCATCCAACATCAGTACCTGACCTCACTAATGCTTGTGAGCAGAAGAGTAGAGGCTGTTACTGCAGCAAAAGGGGGGGGCAAACAAAAAGCACAGAGCTGAAACACTCCTTAGAACTTCAGTACAAATAGGCAGAGTTACTGTAGTACTGTAGTAGCGGAGTACTGTAGGCTAAATAGAATATATGTAAATGAGTTCATTCTCATGACATCACAGAAACCGAATGGTTGTTTTTGCAGCAAAGTTTCAATATATGGACTATATGAACTGGGTAGTGAATGGTACTTCAACACTGTTACGTTCTACCTATCACGTCAAATTCCTTTATTCCAAACAAAGTGAGGGAAATTTGTTTTTCCATCAATGAGGCCTTTAATATGAAGAGGGATTCCAGACTTTTGACTGGTTGTGCACATTATTTTTCAAAACAATGCAAGCTAATATTTACTCATGTCATATCAAGGGGTCACCAGTATGTTTTAAAAGGATATACTGCAAGACATATAGCAATGATGTGTGTGCATATAATCATAATATAATCACAAATTACACATTCTGCACACTAGACCATACATTAGGCCAGTGGCTGTAAATAAATCTGAATATGCCATTTACATTTACATCAAAGTCAGTCACCTGTTACAGCTGTTTGACACAACAAAAAAGAAAAAAACAGGAGAAAGGTGTATAGTGACCCTAAATAAGAGCTACTGCACTTCCAGAGCTGAGATTATGAACTTGTCTCCTCATTTAACATTACTGTTTTTACTATAGTTGGTTTTGTGTTTAAACTAAGTAAAATATCGAAACAATATGTCAACAGCAAAGATGGGTAGAGAAGCCAAAAGCCACACTGAAGCAAATTATTGGTGCTGTAATAAAATAAGATGAATAGTGGCTACAAGACAAGTTGAGTAAAGACTTGTTAGGTACAAAGCCTCTCCAAATTCTGCGCTCCATGCAGTGGAACTTATTTGTACATCTAACTGAACAGGTTCGTTTGGCTTTATTCTTCTCTTTTGGGATAATTGTGGTCAAAGATTATACAGCAAAACAGTACAGGTGCTGATTCAACAGAACAGATTCAAATGAAACACGATAAAAGAAAACCAGAATTCATTATATACACACTTAAAGATGGTTCTTCAATGGTTCTTTAGTAAAGATAATGGTTCTATTTAGAATCATGAGTTCTATATAGCACCAAAAAGGGTTCTTCTGTTGTGATGGTATCAAGCTTGTAGAAGAACCCTAGAAGAACCCTTTTTAGTGCTATATAGAACCCTTTTCAAAAAGGTTGTATGTAGACCCATATACAACACATTCTCTATTAATCTGAAGAACTATTTCACCATGCAAAGAACCACTTATGCATAAAATGGTTCTATATAGAACCATAGTCTTTACTAAAGAACCCTTGAAGAACTATTTTAGGTGTAAATATAACGTTACCAGAGTACAGGTATAAGTTTATTATTTGAAAATAGTCAAATTAAATCTAAATTAAAATTGTACATGGAGTAATCGGGGCTAGTCACTACCCTCCTCTGGACAACAACATCAATGTATTTAATTACTGTTCGGCTAAAAATAAGTTAAGACAGAACATTATAAAGCGACAATAGTGAAACCACATTGAGATATTTGGCTCGCTGTCTATGGAGACGCAGCGACGCAGCATGCGGGCTTACAGGAGCTCGAATACCGCTCAGTCTGGCTGTTACCGACCAGTCCAGCCTCTCTAGGCACACCAGTTTATAAATATCATGAACATATTTACCTGTTCGACTATTTTCAACTCGATTTTCAAGGTTTGATGTAGGAACTTGTGTAGTGAGTCGCCGGGTTCCTCCCGCTCATCCAAATGACGTCGGTGCAGTTCAAAATCTTCGCGGTGGTTCATGGGATTTGTAGTCCATTTATCGCGGCGCAGCCCCAGCGCTAGTAATGCTAACAAGGCTAATCCAAGATCATTTCTTTGTATTATAAACAGCATACTACAATATCCTGACACTTTTTAAAATTAGAGTTCTTTTTAAATATTAGTTGCAGTTTATATTATACATGTATATATATATGTATATATATATATATATATATATATATATATATATATATATATATATATATATATATATATTATGCTATGTGTCGTTGTCTACTTAGAAGAGCTGAGCTTGGGACTGTGAAGGACTGATACAGTCAAACTCTCCAAACCATCACTTCCCAGGCTTGATATCTGCCCCAGGAGCATGGCAAGATCCACCATATGGGTGACCTGGGTGACTGCACCAAAAGGTTCCTCCAAAAAGCACATTTATATGATTTTAATGGTGTCATTATTTCATGTTTTGGAACATTCAGTTTACTTTAAATCAATAATCTATTCACACCACAACAATCTAATAATCCATCCTTAAAAAAACAGAAAGTATGATCATTGCGTAAGCTTGGTGGACAGTGACCTCTGCATAGGATATTTTATGATTTGGCATCTTTTTCATGACATTAGCGATCTTCAAAAGTAAGCTGATGCCATCTACGGAGCCCTGCTGGTGACATCCTGTATAAGTAAAAATAACGTGTGGCCACGACTTAGTAAGGCGTGGGAATGATATCATTAAATTGTGGCCACATAGGGGGCATTAGGGAATGAGATAATTAAGCCTTGACTACAGCTTAATGAGGCATTAAGCCTTGACCACAGCTTAATGAGGCATGATCTCATTGTCATGCCTTACTAAGTCGTGTCTATGACTTCATTATCTTGTGCCCACGTTAGTGGGAATCTACATTTAAACACACTATATAAAAGTAAACAGGCAAAGTTTTATTGTTACTAATAATAACTCATTTTACACTAATATGAGTTTGGTTAGATGTTGTAATAAAAACAAAAGGTAAAAATGCACAGCAGCTCGACTGACTGGCAAAAGAAAAAGAGAAAAATCTCATAACCTTTAAAATTAGCAATGAGTACTTTGAAAGCCTAAATGAAAACGTAGGGGCTAAATCATATATGTTTTCTCTTGGAATTGAGCAAAAGTACACAAATTCAATTGCAATAATACGTGAGTCTTCCAAAAATGATGCTAAAGGACCCATTTCCTGCATTATTCTTGAATCGTATTGTTTTCTATATTGTGAGGTCTACTTTTAAATTTGTGTGGTTTATGTATACCAAAAAAATCATTTCACTATGACTACTTTATCCCTTACAAATAAACAGGCTGTTTTCGTTACTGTGCATTTAAGACTGACATGTATAAATAAATTCTGTTCTGAATGGCCGTCCTGCCTCATTCAAACAACAGCCCGGACTGAAACACCCCTTATAACTTCAGCATGAATGGGCGGAGAGGCAGATGTATGTAAATATGATGGTTTCCTTGACACAAAAACACTGAATTCAAAGCAGGCTGTTTTTTGCGGTTTATTGTATGGGCTGTGGGAAAGTTCAGTTTTCCATGGGCCCTTTAGGTACGACCCTCAGTTATTTTATTCCCTTGCGATAGATCACAGCATGGGGACTGTTACTTGCCACAAAGCAATGCTGCTTGTTTCTTTCTCGAATCCGGCGGGCTCTAGGACCGAGCAGCCACGGCTCTCTGCGCAGAGGATCCACACATGTTCCGCATAGTTAGCACTCGGAGTGAAGCATAAAAACTCTCACTATTATAGAGAATTCAGTATTAAACATTAAAAGCAGCCGCACTTTAAAGTGCCTAACTTCACTAGAGCGTTTCTTTAGCACGGGTGAGTTCAGAGTCATGTTGTTTAATCCGTTAATCTCAGCTGAACCCCTCATATGCTAGCTTAGCTTGGAAGTTTTATTTTCGTTTCTTTGCCTCCAAACTGGCATTTATTTACTTGTTAAATGTTATTATTATATGTCTTATCCTTGTCTTTACTTGTAGCACACGTTCCATTAGTTGCCATATATTGCTTTATCTAGTTTAAGGATGGCCTCGTTCATTTTGTAGACCTAAACCGAAATGCTACTTTGATGAAGTGTTACTGTTTCTGTGAGCGAGTCTGTGACCCTGCTGCTGTTTTCACTCTTCCGGAGAGGAAATAAATACTTTGTCTCATCATTGGAGCTTGTGGAGCTTTAGCTGCTGTTCTGCTTCTGCAAACTAGTGGCTCTGCGAACTACTAATACTGACAAAAAGTGTTGAGAGTAAAGAGTTTGTACCCCTTTCATCGGGCAGCAGTGATTAGATTGAGATTTTGTTTCAGGTCACATTGTGTTTCAGGTAACGCATCATTACACTTTACATGCCCTGCCAGCTTGGCTAGGATCTGGGGGGTATTCCCCAAAGCTGGACTTCTCAGTTAGCCAGATAAGTTAAGCCCAAAGATGAGGACTGTCCAATAGGAATGTCCCTCAGCGCTTTTTGGACAAGCTTGACTTTGTATTTCAACTATATGGCTACACTGAGAAATCCTGCTTTGTGAAATACCCCAGATTGTGAAGAAGAAGAATATTTAAACATGACTTCCTTTTGTTTACTCTCTGGTCATATGGCCTTTGTATCCTTTCTGTAAGTGGGATTTCTTTCTTTTAATATGATTCATATGGTTTTTTTTTAGTATGGTAGTTTTCTAGTGTGGTGGCTTTTTTCTTTTAATATGTTTCCATTCTTTTGGTCTCTCAGGTTCTAACAGGAACCTGGCTTTTACCCTATGAGCTGCCATGAACATGGAGAGACAGAAGCGCAAGGAGGAGATACAGAGGGCCCTGGCCTTCATTCAGTAAGAGAGCCATCCGTTCTGCAGTTGGAGCGAGGCATAATTTTAAATACTACAGACTTTAATGGCTTTGGTGTGACATTTTGATATCACAATGCAAAAATGTGACCATGTCTGTCATGGAAATGAATGTATTAAGTATGGCATTAAATGCAGTTGCATTATTCGAGCACCAAAGTTCGCAAATAGCCAACACCAAACAACAACACACAACCTAGTAGTAATTGTCCAGCAACATGGATATAGTCATCATTTTTCTTTCTTTGAATTTTGTTCAGAATGTCGTGAGAATACCAAATCGTGGACCCAGTATTGAGAATTGAATCAAATTGTGGGCCGACTGTACTGTTATGCCTCTATGTAATGGCCTATCAGCAGTGTAACTGTTACCTTAGCTTTTGTGTGCACTTGTGTGATGGATAAAATCTCTTGTGTTCTGTTTTTTTCAGATCATCACTGCCTTTCCCTGACCCGGATGGCTATGAGGTAGAACTGCACTCCTGCACACATTGCTCATTCAGTCTCTCGAGCATCATTTATGCTTTTCTTGCAGCTTGTAATGTGACTGTGAGTCTATGACTATAGTAGTCTCACAGGGCCAGATGTTTTCTTGTAATGAGAATACACATCTAGGGACAGCTTGTTAAAACTTTGGCACTGGATTGTGTTAAAATCCATCGCAAGCAAGGGTACGTCCCCTTTTTTAGTACCAGCTTTCTTAGAGTTCAAAGCACAAATGATAATGCAAGTAGACTAGCTTGCAAAGTGCTATTGTTGGCTAACTGAACTGTTTTTCTCTTGCAAGGGGTAATGTTTAATTTTGCTCCACATGCAGTGTAATCTGCATGATTGATTTGAGGTTATTTGTACAGTCTTTACCGCCATGCTAACTTATGTTATGCCCATTGTCTAAGGTTGGGTTTGCTGTCCAATGGACATTGGGCCTCATTGTTCTTTGTCCTTGAGAAAAGTCGTATGAAAAAGTCTGAATTGTTCACATCTTGAATATGTGTAGATTCTGTTCTTACCTAAGAACAGATCCCAAATAAAAAAATATTGGTGAATGTCAGAAGCTTCATAAAAACTGAGTGAGTAGGTTTTAAGAAGAAATTTCTCTGTAAGAACGGTTGGTGAATAAGGCCCAATGTTGGCAAGTACAGCGTCGGCCCCAACTTTGAGCTCCGCCTTCGTTAGTGTGGATTGGTTTAGAAACTTCACTCTGTTCTCATCCTAATAAATGTACATTTCTAACCACGTTTAGCCCAGAATTTGTCATGTTTGTCCTCAGATGATCTTGTAACGAGATCATGTCTGGCCCTGCGAGACTCTGACTGGTAGTAGTAATAGTTATAAGTGACGAATATTTAATTGATTTTCTGAGTGAAAGTTAGCACATCCTCTACAAAGAACACGCTTACATAATTGCTGTTTATTTGCTGAATTTAACATATGGCAGAAAAAAAACATAAAATATAGTCTGTGCCAAAGTTATAGCATATTTTACATTCTTTGTTTTGTTTGATTAAAAATAGAAATTGTGCACTAAAGTTAAAAGTTTGTTCTCTGTAAAGGATTTGTTAACATATTTTCACTTAGAAGATCAACAAATAAACTAGTTACATCAACGAATTGACCTATCAAATTATAAAATTTTGTTGATTTCAGAACTTTGTTGAGTTCAAACTTTTTCTTTTTCATTCAACTGTATATAAAACAACCTATAACATTGTTGAGCATTCACAAATGCTTTCATTCATTTTAACACTGCAGCGATAGACTATCAGTCTCCTTGAATAGAAGGTTGCTCTGTTCCTCCTTTCGTCCATTCCTCACTCTTTTCTTCCTCCCACCTTTCAGGGCTTCTTGATGCAGCTGGTGTGCAACCTATTGGACGAGGGCAACGCAGCGTTTCGTGAGGGGGAGTGGACGCTGGCCCGCGGCCACTTCAGTGAGGGCATTAGCGTAGCACGCTACGCCCAGGCTGAGGGTCTGAAGGTTCCTGTGGCATTACTGGAGAGTCTTTATGTGAACAGAGCCGCAGCACTTCATAACATGGTGAGTAGATGGCTTGGGTGCTCTTGTGGTGGCTGCAAAACTTGAATTCTAAGTGGACTATATGCAAGTGAGTCTCAAGCTTTGGAAATGTTTTTCTATTTTGTCTCTGTTGACACAAGTAAGTAAGAATGTAATTATGAAGTATTGTTTAGGTTTGTAGTATTTAGGTATTTAGGTTAGATTGTCCAAATTCCTAAACAAATAGCTAGAATTATGATGGCTTTTGGTAATGACCAATTTATTCATATCCTTAATAATATAACTGATGTTGCCAGATTCTTACTTTAGCTGTTTATTTGGGTTTTTTTTATCTTTCTAACCTCAGTACACTGTTTCTGGTGTCCATGCTCTGCAGCACTGTAATGCACAAGTATGGACTAGCACCATACTTTGGATAAACATTGAGGCTTCACAATGTTAACATTTTTTTGTTTCGAGAGAATTAGGATTACAGAGTCAAGAAGAAAAAAACTAACATGCTAAAACATGATGAAGACATGATAGCATAGTGGATTATTCACTTAGATTCTCAGAAGACCCATCCTTCACCAAGTTGAGACTCATTTCTTTTTTGAATACTCTTTCATTGCACTCGCAAACATCAGATTCATCCGCTCTTGGAAGGGGTGAAAAGCACAACCAACGTTACAAAATGTTCTTCTGCACGTTGCAAGCAATTACACATTTCCTCCAGAGAAGTCTCCAAATGCTCATAACTTACATAGTATAGCCGTGAACTCTGTTCATGTTTTGGTTTTGAAATTGTTCCTTTTTTTCAGTTTGTTTGACCTGATTGTGTGTGGGTGTATGTGTGTGTGTATGTGTGTGTGTGTGTGTGTGTGTGTGTGTGTGTGTCTCAGGGTGAGTTTGAGTTGGGCGTGAGGGACTGTGACGGTGCGCTGAGTGTGTCTAAGGACAGTGGTAGGGCGTTATACAGAAAAGCAGTCTGTCTGAAGGAGCTGGGCAAATATAAGGAGGCTTACGAGTGCAGCACCACCTGCTTGCTCACTTCACCACAGGTAAACACATTCACAAGATACATATGGTCACAGAAACATTTAATAACATGTGAATAACACAAAACCTGATATCATATTAAAGGAACAGACTTCTGCTCGTTTTGCTAATATCTTTTCAAGATCAGCAGTGGAAAAACGCGAATTGCTTTGTCATAAGAAAACCTTGTATGTCAGAAACAGTGACTTATAGGGGAGGGGAGGAATGTTTTTAACAACTTCTTAAAGAGGAATTCTACGAATGTCTGCATAATTCAGTCATTCAGAGTGGTTTGATGTGAAATGGTTCATTGTAGAGAAACTCACCAATTCAGATTTCTTTACAGTGATGATGATAGGAACCACTACGATGATGTCAGCAATGCAAATTTTAAATAAAATAAGATGCTATTGTATTTACTATCCAAATGACTTTAGATCACTTTGCATGTACCACTCCACCATAAATGGATTTAGACAAAAGCCATATCAAAATTATAGTAAAACAATGTCTTGCAGAGTGTTTATAAGTATTTTGAGTAGTAAATGTCTGTCAAGTCAAGTCAAGAGGCTTTTATTGTCATTCCATCTATGTACAAGTACACAGTGGAGTGAAATTATGTTCCTCCAGGAACAACACGGTGCAACAAGGAACAAAAGTACAAAATTACAAAGTGCGAACGTGCAGACAGTGTGCAAACAAAAAATAAGCTAGAAACAATACAATAAATACGATAAATTAAACAGACATTAGACACAGTAAACAGACAGGACAGTGCAGCACCGACACAGCACAGATTTCTGGACATGAGGTAGTGGAATAAGGTGCAGACATATTAAACATGCTGTGATCTGTAAGTTATGTAGTCAGATAACATACATATACACAGCAGTTACTGAGGTAGTAAAACAGTGTAAACGCAGTTTTAGATAGTTGATAGAGCTTTTAGAGACATTAACCTCTAGACAGGTGGTTCCAATCACACTCCTCTGTGAGCAATCCTGACTTGGAAAGTTTCTTTAAAATGGAGCATTTTACATCAAACCACTTTAAATGACTTTGCTTACATCTTAATAATTTAATTATGCAAAAACGTAGAAAAATTGAATGGAAAAAATTGAAAATTGAATTGAGTGGAATTCGCCTTGAACGTTTGTTCATTTAAAAAGGCTTACAAGTACTCTTGGGCCATTTGTTAGCCATGCAATACTCATGCGATGAGCAGCTGCCAATGTGGGGTGGGGTAGCATACGAAAAAGTCAGTAGATTTTAGCATAGTTTATTCTAATGTTCTTACATTTCCAAACAGTTCATTGCTATATAATTCTGATGAATGTAACTGAAACTGTGTTCTTTCTGACCATGTGTGTTCATCAGGATAAGAAAGTGAGTGAACTTGCTCAGGAGCTGGCCAACAAACTGGACTTGAAAACCCGCAAAGCCTACGTCGGCCTGCAGGTCAGTGACGTTATTGTAACTGTAACGCACTGCACAAAACTTAAACAGGAGGCAGTGATATCCACTGCCAAGCCTGTTTTTGTTATAAGGGAGTTTGTTGCTTTTACTATAAGATAACAAGTTTGCTCTTCATATTAAATCGAATCATATTTGTATATTTAAAGAAGCTACAGGTAAACAAGTGCGGTCCATTTGAAGAGACCATATTCCGTTTACCAAGGCCCGATTCACACATACTGCGTCTGCGTGGCGTGAGCCACACGGAAAGTCTTGCTTTTCAATTCGGTGCCCATGTTAACTGGTCAGCGCTTTCACACCAGCTGCACGTGTGAAGCAGCAGAGCGTCCCGGACGTTGCACTGAAGTGGCGCAGTATTAAGAGAATAGACCCGGTGCTGATTTTTTTTCTGTGCTGCATCATGCAGCAAAATACACTGAAATAAGCCATGCAAATCAAGGAAATTCAACAGAGGACCGTATAAAAAAACGCTATTTTTATTATTTGATTTAATTCATGATGAAATACTAGTTAAAACATTCCGTGCTGAGACAGATTTCCCGTTCACATATTCAACAGTAGTGGTGATGGGAACCAAACGTCTGAATTTTTGTTTTACAATAATTTTAAGAAACATTTTTTTTATTAATTGATGGCAGAAACTGTGTAGGGTGTTGTAAAGCAAAATAGACCCCAAAGAAAAGTTCTATTTTGCCATTATTGTTTCCTATAAAAAAAAGATTCCCTGGTTGTTTTTGATAATAAATAAAATGGCTGTATTTGTTGCTTCAGTGCTTGAAATGTGTTGAGATGATTATAAAGTCAGTCAGAACTTTTAAATAAAAAATAAGCTGTTTTTTTTTTGGAGTGCCTCCCCAACAAGTAATTCCAGCAGCCACCCCAATAAGGGAGGGCAGGGCTTCTCTGAAGAATCTAAGGTGGAAGATATGTTCACTTAATTTAGTGACTGTAAAATTACATATAATATTTAATATAGTTTTAGTACCTTCACTGTTACTCTAAAATGTGGAAAACCGTTATGAGTAGGCTTGTTCAGAGGTTTGACTGGGGCCTTGGATGCCTCTCTGTATGTAATTTAGTGTAGTGTAGGATGTGCAGTCTGACCACTTCTTTCCTGTTGTGCTGCGCAGCCTGTTGCTGATGGCAGTGGGGACAGTCTACCTCCTCTAGAGCAGGTGAGGCTTTTTTTTTGTTTTTTTTTGTATGTATGTACATTTTCTTTTTACTTTTTACTTTTTTCCCTCTCTCACAGATGCCTAATGGGCTGGACAGCTTGTGTGATGTCGCAGGTGTGTAATTGTTTTTAGAAGTTTCGTTTCTTATTTAAAACATGGATAATTAGGACTATTGGAGATACAAATTAGCCCAGTTATGTAGTTTATTTGTTATTCATTCATTTTGTTTATTTGTTTCATGTTATGTTCTGTCCATTTGTTTTCTTGCCCTTTGTTTTTATGTCCTTTTGTAATTGTGAACTTGTGATTTTCTTTAGGATGTTGCCTCAATTCGCATTAACCCCAACTAGACTTGGTGGTAAAATATAGCTTATACTCTGACTGGGGATGCACCAATCATAATTCTTTTTATGGCCAATTCTGATTTCAGTTTCTTTACAGCCAAATTGGCCTATGGCTGATTCCTTCGTTCCTTCCTTCGTTCGTTCGTTCGTTCCTTCCTTCGTTCATTCCTTCATTCGTTCTTTCCTTCCTTCCTTCCTTCCTTCCAAAGGGGTAAATGTACACATGAAACACACTAGCTCATTTCTAGAACTTTTTACTAACCAAACTATTATATATTATATATTTATGTTCTATAAATATACACATTATTTGCTATATAATAACCCAGTCTGGCATTGAAATCTTTCAATTTTAAAGCAATTGCCGATTTAAATAACATGAATCAAAGTAAGTTCTACATTGAAAGTGGCTATTTAGTACAAAATGTCATGTATAATTATGCTGCAACAATTTGGTATAGGTGTAGCAGCAGCATTCAGTTACAGCACGAGTGTATTTGCCTGCCTCGGATTATTAGCATCATAAAATTACAGCACAGATTGGCCAAAATAAAAGGAAAGGTTTGAGGAAAAAATCTGCCAATTCTGATCTCAGCTGATTTATATTGTGTGTCACAAACTCTGACACAGATCTCACACTGTATTCTAATAGCAGCTGACAGAGTAACAGGCAGACAGTCATTTCCTATGGAAGTAGGTGGCTACAACTGAGCAACAAGCAACAAATCAATCTGAAGTATGAAATGGTGAACATTTTAAATGGTTTAGTACAGTACATTCCTCAAAGACACTGGTCGTTTGAGGTCCCTAGTGTCTACTATCTGTTTATTCCTACCACCATTTTGTTCCCTTTCCCTATTCATGCAAAACTTGAAACAGGTACTTTTAACCATATAATTTTGTCAACTGTTTGTATGGATGTTACAACATATCGTATCAAATTATATCACAATGTATTGTATTGTTGTGACAAGCATGTTAGCATGTGGCTAGAGAGCTTTTGTTTCAAATAATGTCTTCTCTCGGTGTGGAAAGCTGTAAAAAAACTGAAACCAAGCATTAACATGTTAACCTAAGACCACATTTTCAGCCTGTTCTTAAAGCCCTGTCACACATGCATTTGCTACCAATGGCATTAACTTCATTTCAGTGCAACAAGCGATTTCACGTTGCAGGCTTCCGGAGTTAATAAATGTAATAAATGTTGACTGTGAAACTTTGGTGACATTTGACAAATTTGCATCTTTGACCAATAGTACTACTGCTTTGCCAGTGTTGACATCTGGAAGAGGCAGCCTAGAACAGAGGAAATAATCACTGTCAAAGCACAAGCCTTTCACCGTCCCAAAACAGTGCTGAATATATGGTAACCTTTCTTGTCGGAAGCTGTACAGCCTACACACCCACATGCAGTAACATGAGTGGCCTCAAACAGAAGAGAAAACTTGGCTCCTGATGTGAGAGCAACCCCGTCTGTCATTTCTCACTTGCTGTGATTCCAGTGAGCTGGAGGTAGTTTTGTAAAATGATCCAAGACCTGCTTTTTGCTTACCAGCAGCCCCTCACTAATCATCGGATTAAAACATTTAACAGTGTTTTTTAAAACTGTCTCTCTTAGTTGGCCTGCCTGAGTGTGTATCCCCTGTCCTACCTGCTCCGGTTCCTGTGAGTGATGCCTCTGAGGATCCCCTGGTGTCCAGGGCAGCTGTGCTGGACCCCCTGGATGTGTCTCTTTCAGTTCCTGTTTCAGAACCACTAGGAGACTGTGAGCTGATGGGAGATGAGCTGGATACTCTGCTGGACTCATGCGTTTCCAAGCAGGAGGAGCTTCCACAGGTGAGTGAGTTTTGAAGTTTGTACACTTGCTCACCCAGCTTGGCTTGTGAATTTAGGAGGTTGAATTCAGAATCTGAATGTGGGATTGCTTTTGTTGTGGAAAATAACTAAATAAACCAGAAAACAGTGAAGTCTCAGAGTCACAGTTAATGCTCCAAAGTAATATATTTATTAAAACTCATAGCTGGGAAAAGCTCCTGGAAAGTACCAGAGATCTCCAAAGAAAGACCAAAGTTACAAAGGTTATATATCCCCCAAGTAAGGTGCTACTTGTCATTGGTTAACAGAGAACAAAGAAGATACAATCCATTGGTTACAACTAATTGCGATATGCATGAACATGAGTGTTAACATATATGCATAATAAATGAAAAGGAAGGAAGCTCTTATATGGTCAGAAAAGTCTTTAGCCACCTGGTCTCTTCTAGAAACTTTTGTGTCTGCACCCTCAAGGCCACTAAACAATAAATCACAGTAGCCCCTTGTCAGCTAGCTAGGCCTCAGGACAGATAACAGAAGCATAGAGCCTGGGAAACTGTAAGGAGTTGACCCCTTATCTAACTCTTGCAAAGAACGTCCACGCAAATGTTTAGGGTAACATAAACTCCTTCTACAGCTGAGAAAACTATAAAATAAATTCCTATATACCTCCTGTAAGCATACATAAATCATGGTTATGTAAGTCAAGCAACAGGCTGTACTGAAATCCGCTTAAATGGGTTTCACGCACACACATCTCTCAAAGATGAAACTTTGGTCATCAAAATGAAAACCCCACTTTATTTCACCATGTCTGTTAGGCTACGTTTATACAGCAGGTAAAAGTGGCCCAAATCCGATTTTTTTCTTCATATGTGACACAGATATGTATCTGTGTGTCAGTGTAAACAGCAAAAACGCATTGAATCTTACATTTTCAATTCCGATTTGAGACGCTTTCGTATGTGGTACTGAAATCCGATCCGTATCCGATCTGCGGTATTGTGACTCAGTCTGAACAGTCAGATCGAAATTTAGGCGGTTTTTACATCAATCCAACTCGACATTCGTCACAATTTCGCGCTACTGAGACCTCATGAACATTTGGGGTGATATTTCTGTACAAAAATTAGAAGAGACTCATCGCAACCACTGCAGGCTGCAGCGTCAAAGACCAGTTAAAGTCTGAAAGTTTAAAGAATCCGAGGACACAAACCAAAGAAGTGACCGCGCCCTTTTTACGGCGAGCTTGAACGCATTCTTGGTGATGAGCCCAGCTGTAAGTCAGTGAAGCTTCATAATCGCTCCTGTTATGCTGGCGAAGATGAAACTGAAAGCTCCGGGAGCGACTGGCGTTTGCTCATTTTTTACCTCTGGATGAGCCACGTGAAGCAACATGAAGCATTGTTCTTTTGCGCATATGGGTCAGTTCAGGAGCATGATCTGTTCAGACTGATGTTGCATACATGTCACATTTAAAAGATAATATGAACAGCCAAACAAAAAAAAATTGGATTTGGTAAGAAGATCAGATTTGGGCCACTTTTACCTGCTGTGTGAACATAACCTTACACATACAAGGAATTTGAATTGGTAAGTGCACACAGGTTTTACATGCTCAATGCTGTACAAAAAGCCACCTGTATGGTACAGTGCACATTTTATGACATACTCTGACTACAGTGCCAGGTTATAGACATCAGACAAAACAGCTTCAGGTTTGCGGAAAAACACCTCTGTAAAATAATGTCTCGGCTTTCATGCGTCAGGCAAAATGAGCCATTTCAAACAGCTTCAGAGAAGAAGACATCAGGCTAAGCCTGAATGGTAAACAGTCGCAACATTTGCAGTTCTGTTATTAATTACAAGATTAATTATAGTTTTGTGGCCAAATTAAAAATGATATTCTATAATCACAAGTTTCCCTAAAATGCACTTTTATTATGCTCTTTTATTTCACAAACATTAAGCTTCAGCTCACACACTATGGCTGTATGTCCTCTTGTGTCCGCTTTAGTATAGATTGTCTCAAAATGAACAAATGTAAAAGTGATGTTGTTGTTGTTGTTGTTGTTATTACTATTATACTTCTTTCTACTTTTTTGTTTCTATTGTTAGCGCTATTATTATTGCTAGACATGCATCTTAACCTTTTGTGGAGAAAAAAAGTAGAGGAAAAGGTTAAACAAAAACCCATAACTAAAGTCCATGTCAGTCCAACCTCTCCAACCCCCACAGACACACTGTGGTTGCAGTGCCATGTACTGTCTACAATTTTTTTTCTTCAAGGTTTACAGATTACTGATAATGCCGTTTTCACTCTCACTCTCTTTCTCTCTTTTTCTCTTTCTATCTCTTTCTCTCTGTCAGACTTCCTCTAAAGGCAGCGTAGTTCCCACTCACGTTCCTGCAGGTGGTGTGATGGGTTTGGGTCCGTCCTTCCCTCCTCTCCTCCCTGCGCCCTCTCCCCATCTTCCTCCTGCATTTTTTCCGTCTGCTGTAAATCAGCTGAACACTCTCGACACTTTCTCTGAGCCAAACCGTGACCCTGCCCCTCCCAGCAGGCCACTTGATGCACTGGACTCGTTTTCCCCATTGGAGGCCCCCCAGCAGGGCTCTGTGGCTCAGCGGTCCCCTCTAGTGGTGGGAGGAGAGGGGCTGGACTCGCTCTCTGAATTCACCCTGCCAGGTGAGTGTTTAGAACTGTTCAGTGTTTCTGGGGGTTTTTCATGAACAAGGAATTCCAGGTTAACCAGCTAAAAGTCAAGTCTGTCCAATAATAAGATCTATAGTAGTGCCACAGTAGTTGCAACCGTGAGAGTTTCCTCTTAAAAGTGTAAAAACCCACTTCTGTTATATCTTGAAGGCAGGAGAAACTTGCGTTTTGGGGTATTGTAGTACTTAAATACTGGGAAATTGTATGGTAAAAAATACAACTGTTTTAGCTAGCTTCAGTGATAGAACACTGACTGCAGTTGGTTGTTAAACTTACTTCTTTGTTAAAGGAATAATTCAGAAGCAAGAAAGAATTAAAAATAAAAAAATAAATCAAACAGCCTGGCCCCAAGTATCAACACCAAAGCAGTTCACAATTTACTTTTATCTTCAGGAGGCATTAGAATGGTGTTTTTTTTCCAAGAGCTTTTTAACCAGAAGGTCTTGCTTTTGAGATGAGGTGGCATGTTTACAGTGGATGTAACTTTTTTTGTTTATTTTGGCTGGAGTGGCCATTTAAATTATCGTGCTTTGTGACACAACCTCCTGGTCTTGGAGAATTACATAACTGCATAGAGTGTACTGGCAGTCGGTTGTCAAAACAGTGCTATTGTTAAAAGTTTTGTTTGTCCAAAGTCTGTGTAGACTAGAGCCAGTGTGGAACCCAGTATGGAAACCCCACATTCCTGCTTGCAGAAATCAGCATTATCATTGCAGGTGTTTTTTGGTGAAGAGGGGCTGTTAATAAAGTAAAGGTTTTTCCACATTAAGCACTTTATACAATGACTGATGTGGCACGTACATAATGATTATATGATACAGCATATTATGTTATCATGGTTTTTCATGTTGGTACAGTACAGGTATTAGTAGCATGTTCCATACTGTATTTTATGCTGGAGCAGTTTCACAGCTCTTGGTAAAGGTCAGTGCTCCATGGCAGGGTTCTCAACTCTAGCATCATTATGTATACAACTTTTTACTTTAGTTTTAATTATTTTTTATTGTATATACTACACACACATCCTGCTATTTAAAAAAAAAAAGATATTTAGAACATTTCTTTATGACATTCGTAACATTTATTTATTTTTTAATACAACATTGTACACATTTGCCTGCACTCAAATTATGTATTAAAGCACCATAGTTTCTCCATTTTGTAAGAGCTGTAAGCCACTCAAGGTTGTTACAGGAATTTCACCCTGCTTCGCGTTGTCAAAACCACGTTAACGCAGAGATTCTAGACGCATTGCTGCAAGTTGTGGATAATGTCTGTTCAGAGCTCAAAAATGTATAGGCCCATATATAAGTACTTGAATTATATCAGACTTAACATGGTAGATACCGATCCCTTAAAATATGCCTTGATCGGCTCTGATCTCTCATTTGACTGATTGCCATCTTTACGTTTCGGTTCAGCACACTTGGTACCGGTACAGGTACTCAAGAACAGTACGACTTGGCTATTGAAGTGATGACAAAATGCGTGATAATATTTTTTTTTAACCGTATCATACCATACTGCACTGCACTGCCTGCTGGCTATGCCCCAGAATGCTTTGCCCAACACCCCCACCCCTCCATTACATATGGACCTGGATGTTAGTAGTGTCATTTGTAGTACGTAATCAAACTTTCTTCTCTTTTCTTTCTCTCTTTCGTCCTTTTCTCTCCGCTGCTCAGGTGGTAAAGTCTCTCACAGTTTTTTTCCTCCAGTAAAGATTAAAAGCTCAACAGATTGCATCAACTCTACAGTGAGTCCTGTTCTTTCCTCTTTTAAGTCAAATGATGCTGTGCTGTGTGTATTATTGTGTAACTTCACTGTTGTGCTCTTCAGATAAGAATCGATTTTATTTATATATTTATTTCCTTTTTTTCTCCATCTGAACATGTGCACATGTTTGTTTTTGTGCCTGTGTTTGTTTCAGCAGAATGGCCGGGTGGCATCCACTCTGTCTCAGCTGTCCAAAAATCCTCTTGAACACACACATGACTTTGCCCAAGCTTGTTCTGCCTGTTTTACACGAATAGGTAAACTACACACACTCCCGTGCACGCCCCATTGTTTTATTCTTTGTGATATGTTTAGGGTTGTAACAAATATATTCCATAAAATAATTAAAATATTATAAAATGGAAAAGCAGTTCGAATAACCAGGCCTTTCACACATTTTTTGAAAGCACATGCATCCCCATATATATATATATATATATATGTGTGTATATACAACCCCATTTTCAAAAAAGTTGGGACGCTGTGCAAAATGTAAATAGAAACAAAATGCAATGATGTGCAAATCATTTAAACCCTATATTTCACTGAAAATATTACAAAGACAACTCATCAAATGTTGAAACTGAGAAGTTTTATTGTTTTTGAAAAATATTTGCCCATTTTGAGTTTGATGCCAACAACACATTCCAAAAAAGTTGGAGGCCGGGCAACAAAAGACTGGTCAAGTTGTGTAATGCTAAAAGAAACACCTGGTGGTTAATTGGCAACAGGTCAGTAACATGATTGGGTATAAAAAGAACATCTGAGAGAGGTTGAGTCTTTTAGAAGTAAAGATGGGGAGGGGTTCACCACTCTGTGAAAGGCTACACAGGCAAATATTCAAGAATTTAAGAATAACGTTTCTCAATGTAAAATAGCAAAGAACTTGAGGATTTCATCATCTACGGTACATAATATCATTAAAGGTTTAGAAAATCCAGAGAAATCTCTGTATGCAAGGGAAAAGGCCGAAAGCCAATACTGGCTGGCCATGATCTTTGGGCCCTCAGGCAGCACTGAATTAAAAACAGACACGATTCTGTAGTGGAAATCACTGCATGGGCTCAGGAACACTTCTGAAAAACACTGTCTGTGAAAACAGTTCATTGCTGCATCCACAAATGCAAGTTAAGCCTCTAAAACTCAAAGAAGAAACCATATATAAACAGGATCTAGAAATGCTGCCACGTTCTCTGGGCCTGAGCTCATTTAAAATGGACTGCGGTGAAGTGGAAAAGTGTCCTGTGGTCTGACAAAGCAACGTTTAAAATTCTTTTTGGAAATCATGGACGCTGTGTCCTCCGGGCTAAAAACCACTCAGCTTGTTATCAGTGCACAGTTCAAAAGCCAGTATTCATGATGGTGTAGGGGTGCATTAGTGCACATGGCATGGGTGACATGCACATCTGTGAAGGCACCATTAATGCTAAACAATAGATACAGGTTTTGGCAACATATGCTGCCATCCGGATGACGTCTTTTTCAGAGAAGGCCTTGATTATTTCGATGCAAGACAATGCCAAACCACATTCTGCATGTATTACATCAGCATGGCTCTGTATTAAAAGCCTCCAGTTGCTAATCTGGCCTGCCTGCAGTCCAGACTGGTCACCACTGATAACATTTGGAGCATTCTGAAATGAAAAATACAACAAAGGAGACCCTGAAATGTTGAGCAGCTGAAATCCCATATCAAGCAAGAATGGAAAAACATTTCACTTTCAAAACGACAGCAGTGTCTCCTCAGTTCCTAAACGCTTACAAAGTGTTGTTAAAAGAAGAGGTGATGAAACACCGTGGTAAACACACCCCCATCCCAACTTTTTTGCAACGTGTTGTTGGCATCAAATTCAAAATAGGCATATATTTTTCAAAAAAACAATAAAATTTCACAGTTTCAACATTTGATATGTTGTCTTTGTAGTATTTTCCTTTAAAAATATGGTTTACATGATTTGCATATCACTGCATCTTATTTTTACTTACATTCTGCACAGGGTCACAACTTTTTTGAAAATAGGGTTGTATATAAATATGTTTTCGTGTAAGTCACACGAAAACAGCAGTTTATGGTTAGCCTTTTTTTGTAAGTCAGTCAAATGGTCCTTTCCTTTCAAAGTTACAATAATATCTTTGGCGGTAGTTCATTCCTAAATGCCTGACATATCGGTTATAGTCGGTTTTAGGGGATGGATACAGTCCAAATGCTTTGTATTACTGCTCTAGATAGCATGTTGTCCGCTGTATTTATCTCAGAGAGTAAATAAGGGAGTGCTGATTGGCAAGCTGTTCATCTGGAACAAAAGAGACAGACTGCACCTCCGTTGAGCTGAAAAAAAAAAGCTGTTCTCAGTTTTTAAGAGTTTGGTTAGAAAGACATGGTTTGCTCTGCTCACCTGCACTGCTTATCACTGACACATTCACAGAGTCTCAGCAACCTGGTCAAGGTTGCCAGATTAGGCAAGACTCCACAGAGTAGCGTTTTATGTTACTTGCTAGGACAGTAATTGATCAGACTGTGATTGAGAGCTCAGCGGTAGCACTGCTTCACCACTAACCAGTCTAGCTACTCTAGCTGATGTTTGCTAGAATAGAGGTAGGCAATACAGCTTAACAGTTCAAGACATTTTCACAGTACACAGTATGCATCACAATATTAAGTTTTTCTGACGCTTCGTAAATTGGAACAAGCAAAAAACAGCATATTGCACTGCACTAAATACCATTATGCAGGGCTGATTATTAGTGGTTCCAAATCATTCAAAACTTTTGAGCAAAATGAATCAGTTGCTCCAATTTGATTTGACTTTTCAAATCCCAGATTTCACATGTGATCAGATGTCATGTAAGCCAATCGATCAGGAATATTTATATATTCAGTGTGAACTGACAGCTCAGTTGAAAGCAAAATGCGCTCAGTTTGATTCGTGAACACTACATACATACATATGTGCATAGTATAAAGTCCTTCATAAGATTGTTGTGTGGATTCATGCTGGAGTAAAAATAATCTACTGAGCATGGTCTGTTTATTCATGTCAATTAGCTGCTGCTGAGAATTCATCCAAAAAACAAAACAACAGTGGAGTTAAGGCCTAAAAAGGCTCATATTGCAAAAAACTCTAACAAGCAATGGCAAACCTAGAGCCTATGTGAATTTCAATTGAATTCCATTGTTTGTTTTGTTTTGTTTTGTTTTGTTTTTTCTTCCTCATTCTTTGTGGTTAACCAACAAGCCATTTCATCACTCCTCTTACAGATATTTACATAAACTCAGAATGCACTTCCTGGCTTTTAATTCTACCTCATTGCATTCCGCATTACAATATTGAGCTTGTTTGAACTCTTAACTCATTGTGATCTTCATGTTGTAATGGTTTGGGGCAACATGCCCAAATCTATCTGTAAGAAGTGAAAATTAGCCGTTTGGCAAATCTGGTGCATTTGCATCATAAAACCATGAAATTATCTCATTTCATATTGTCTCTTCCACTCAGGTCCAGGAGTCCTGGATTGCGAGTACAAGGTTGATTTGGGTCATTGCTGTAAGAAAGACATTCTGCTGTGCAGAAGAAAAGGAGCGAATCCCTGGAGACGGGTTCGACCACGCCCAACTCGAAATAACTTCTTGGGTTCCTATGTGCTGTGCAAAGGTAAACTTTCAGCTCTGTCACAGCAGTGAAGTGGTTAAGTGACTTACTTTCAAATTAAATCTCAAACCAAGAGCTTTAGAATTCAAATCAAGCCCAAAGACCTGTTGAAAGTGGGTTAGTTTGGGGGAATACTGTAACTAAAAAGGCTTTTAATCCAATGTGAAAGTGCATTGTGTGTGTGTGTGTGTGTGTGTGTGTGTGTGTGTGTGTAGTTTTCAGTCTGACTAATAATTGTGGAGGGGTTCTAATCCAGTATTAATCTGCAGTGTGTGCGCGTGTGCACATGTGTGCCTGTGCGTGTGGTTTTACAGTTTTACCGTGATAATTGTGGAGTGACTTCTAATCCAGTGTGAATCCTCATTGTGTAGTTTTCACAGTCTGAAATTAATAATTATGGTAATCTGATGGTAATTATTGAGCAGTGATTTTAATCCTGTATGAATCCTCAGCATGGGTAGTTTTTACAGTCTGACTAATAATTGTGGAGTGATTTTAATCCAGTATGAATATACAATATGTGTAGTTTTTACACGTAGACAGTGATAATTGTGGAGTGATTTTAATCAAATATGAATCTGCAGTGTATGTTGGTTTTTGTAGTTATTGTGGAGTCATTTTAATCCAGTTTGAACTCTCAGCATGTAGTTTTTACAGTCTGCAAGTAAAAATGGTGGAGTGATTTTAATTCAGTATGAATCTGCAGTGTGTTGAGTGTGTCCTGTGGTCTTAACACTGACATGAACATCCGTGCCTTTGCCTTTCAATCTGGGTTATCTCTGAGATGTTAAGTCATTTGAAGTAATTGGTTAGTTGAATTAGGGATGGGTGATATGGCAAAAATGTAATATCACGATTTTTTTTTCAATATTTCACATACTGGACTGCACTAAATCCAGTTAAACAGGACTAATTATGATCTCTCTGACCTTGTTCAGGCTGCCAGCCCTAATCTGATTTTTGGCAAATTCCAGATTGTATCCAGATTATTTTTTGATAATCTGGACAGCAAAAAAACACATGAAATGTAATTTTTGCAAAACGCATCCCAACCACATTTGGATAACGATACTCTTTGACATATTGCCCAGCCCTAAGCCAGATCTAACTGATTGACTCAGCCAATGGTCAAATCTTACAAATCACAGTACAGCTCCTCTTGGTAAAACTAAATAAGATCAAATAATGCTTAAGTGCAAAAACCTAATCTAGTTCTTATAGCTTTAACCAAAGCGATCATTGAGTTTTGTGTAGTTCATATGTATCTCATGTTGTAGATTATGATGTTCTGACTCTGTTTTGGTGTTTGTAGAGGTTCTAGAACGCCAGGACTGTAAATATGGTGAAGCCTGCACATTCGCCTACTGTCAGGAAGAGATTGATGTGTGGACACAGGAGAGACGGGGCTTACTGACCAGAGAGCTGCTCTTTAACCCACTCTCCACCAATCAGAGGCAGGCACTTAGTGTCCTCAGACTGCTCAATTCACACAAGGGCATGTTCATGTTCCTCTGTGAGGTATGTGTGATTACACACATGCACGCATACATCTTTATTCCTTATGCATTGCCTCTAAACTACTATACACTGACTTCCACTCTCCTTTCTCTCTCTCACTCACTTATGCATCTTTGCTCCTTATAGATGGTAGTAAAATACAAACTCTAATTCCAAAAAAGTTGGCACAGTGAAATGCACATAAACACAGTAAACAGTGACTTGTAAATCCACTTTGACCTGCATTTAAACAGAAACAGTCCAAAGAAAAGATGTAGATTTAGATTTTATGTTTTACCCTAAAACACCATTGTTTTTTTTTTTGTAAGTGTAAGCTCATTCTGAAATTGATATATATGATCATATTCCAAAAAAGATCGGACATGAGCAGTTTAAGACTAAGAACATTTATTTATCCAGGGAAGAGTGTTTTTGAGCAAAGATGGGTTGAGACTCACCAAGGTGAATAATCCAGCAGTTTAAAAACAAGATTCCTCAATGAGTGATTGCAAGAATTTTTGGTATTTCACCCTCTCCGGTGCATATAATCTTCAGAAGATTCAGGGAAACCGGAGAAATCTTTGTGCATGTAAGGCAATGCCAGAAACCACAACTGAATGCTTGTGAACTTTAATCCCTCAGAAGGCGCTGCATTAAAAACGGATGACTTCTGTGATAGAGATCACCATATGGACTAAGAAACACAAACTGACAAGCTATTTGTCTCTGCACTCACAAATGCAAGTTTAGGCTATGACTTGCTATGAACTACGGAAGATATATGCCAACAAGCAGAAACGCTGCTGACTTCTCTGGGCTAAGATCATCCGAAACTGACCAATGCACAGTGGAACTGTGTACTGTGGTCTTACAAGTCAATCTTTCAGATTGTTTCTGAAAACAATGTTCTTTACTTGAATTTAACTAACGCCATGTGTTCTCTGCCCTTGTGTGTGTGTTTGTGTGTGTGGGTGTGGGTGTGGGTGTGGGTGTGAAGGAGTGTTTTGACTGTAAGCCGAAGATCATCAGTAAGCGCTATAAGGAGAGTCCGACCTTATGCTCCAATGTGGTCTCGCACCATCAGTTTGACAAAAACAAGTTGGTCTCTTTTTTTTTTTCTTTTTTGTCAGTGCAGTTAAAACTTTTTCATGCTCGCAGTATTTTCCTATTTCATATTTTGTATACCGACTCATGAAGCACATGTGCCTAAACTACAACAAAGTTACAACAGCTTTATTTAATTATTACTTGATCTTTGTTTTCTTTCTTGTTCTTCTCTCTCCTCAGGTGTCTGGTTCATGTGGTGAAGAGCAGCAGTAACTGTTACAATAAGATCAGGCCACTGAACTATCATTGTCAGTTTGATGTTTGTCCTCAGCGTCACTCCTGCCCACTTGAGAACAGCTGCTCTTTGGCGCACTCCATCATTGAGTTGGAGTGCTGGATACTGCAGAAAGACAGAGGTACACACATACGTGTTCACTCTCTCAAACTGTCTCACACATGCATTACCATTTAAAACAACGATTTAATTAAATTAAATGTTAAATTACATATTTCATTTATTTGTAGATATTTCATTTTTATGTAGTTTGGGAACAACAATATGTTATTATCCAATAAGCCTACATGATAAACAAGCCATTCGGGTGCAATATATTTCCAACAGTCTTTGTGTGTTTGTGTGTGTGCAGGCACCACTCATGAGGAAATCGTGCAGGAGTCTAAGAAGTATTGGCACAAACAGAGAGTGAGTTTCTCCTTTGACGGATCACCATCTGCTCCACAGGCTCAGTCACATTGCTACAGAGCCTTCAGTACTGTTGCTTGAAGATGTGGATATGGATTATGTGCATGCCCATATAGCATTTATATAACATATATAACAATTATATCATGATAATCACCGAACCTTAAGCATGGTTTTCAATATTATCACAATGTTGTATTAAATAAATAAAACTGAGCCTTAGCTTTAGGGCAGAGCTGTCCAGTCTTACCCACACAGGGCTGGCAGGGCTGCAGGTGTTTGTTCCAAACAAGCTGGAGCACATCTGATTCCACTTGTTTAATCAGTTGATCGAAGCCTTTTACGCAAAATCCTGCTAGTGATGGTCCATGTGTGGGTTTAATCTCTTTTAGAGAAGCGCTATAAAATGCAAAATGCTGCTTGAGTGCTAATAGCACCTCCTTGTGGGGATTGTGAATTATTATAGAGAAAATTAATTTTGTATATTTCACAAAATGAACATTAAAATTTAAAATACTTCTTCCAACAAATGTACTGGTACATGATATACTCAGATAAGTGTAGTGTGACATTATGTATCATGATACTGATAACATATTTTCATATATCCTGCCCTTATTCTATTAATGTAATATTGATACACTTACACTGCACTTCAGCAACTGACTGTAGCGTTTATATTGCTTATATTGATGATTAGCAAAGACATCACTAACATGATATTTTTTTAAGCTAGTAGAATTAGCATTTTCTTTAATGTCCTGCAATATTTAATATAAAGCACAAAATAAATAAAATGCTGTTTCTCTCTCTTTCTCTCTCCCCATCTCTCCCTCAGCCAGGGAACCTGCTCTCTTCTCAAACCGATGGCGCTGTAGCCAAAGGCGAGGGAGCGGGTAAAGGGGCGGAGATGAACGGAAAACTGGGAGGTGTTCAGTCCAGCGGAACCGTTGCCGCTGGAGCAGGAAACGTGTTAGCGGTAAAGGACCTGCGGCTAATGATGAAGTTTGTCTGTGGTCAGTGCTGGAAGGATGGGCTAATGAGCGAACCGGACAAAACACAGAAATACTGCAGTGCTAAAGCAAGACACAGGTACGTGTACAGTGTACCTACAATTGCTTGTAGCCTTGATGCATATTAAAGAGTAAGTATTTGATGTGTGGCCAAAGCAATGGGAATATTGTGGTTTGTTTTTTGTTCTCTCTTATCACAAACATATTCATTCTCTCTCTCTCTCTCTCTCTCTCTCTCTCTCTCTCTCTAGCTGGACTAAAGAACGGAAGGTGCTTTTGGTGAAGTCACAGGACAGGGAAAAGTGGGTGGCCATACGACCTTTGCCCTTTGCAAAGACCTACCCCCAGCAGTACGATGTGAGTATCATAACAGCCCATTATTTACGCACTTTAGCACTTTAAGAAATGTAAAACTAGGGCTGTAGTGCTTATTCAGCTACAGTCACAATGTCAAAAAATAGGGCTGCATGACTAATTATATTATGGATATGGATGGATTTCTGTTCAGTTACACAGAAAAGGAGTATTTGTATTTGCTGCACACTCAGAATCAATGATGCACTATTTCTGTACTATAATATATATAGTTCTCATGTTGTCTTTACAACATTCAACATTGCATTTTATGTCCATATTGTGCAGCAATACTTAGTAATGCTGTGTTAGGTTTGTATGATACACGCTGTCATTCTGATGGATTGCATTACATTGCAGGAAGCATAGGGGGCGATATGGTATCTGTTGTTTATTTGCACCATAAAAGTTGTTTGCAATTGAGATGGAACTTTGAATGATGCTGGCAGCAAATGGAGACAAACTGAAGAGGGCGTAATATTTAAATTAGTCAGATAGTCAATATAATAATAAGTTAATTGATTATATTTAGTAGTTGTAGCGCTATATAAATCACATTCTCCCTATAACTAGCCCTCTGAACTGTTAGAGCCTGTGAGTACATATTTTTAATAATGTTTTTTTTTAATGTTCTGGTAACTCTAAGGATGAAATGTTTGTGTCCTGCAGATTTGTGTGCATGTGTTGAAGCAGAAAAGGTGCCACTACATTGGGAACTGTTCTTTTGCACACAGCCATGAAGAGAGGGAGCTGTGGACCTACATGAAGAATACAGGCTGTGAGATTTAACATATATTTACACATGTATTTTCTACTTATGTAATGTGTTTATCACTTGCATTAACTTGTAAAGTCTATCTGTACCACTAGAATTTTAGTAGCATTAAACATCATCTGTAATATATTTTATTACTGTAGGGTGCCTATTAAATAAAAACAGAAGCTGGTCATAAACATGACTAATGTTTTAGCTGTGTATTTCAAGTCAGTAAGACATTGTCATTAGAGAGCTGATATACAGTACATTGCAATATTTCTTATATTAAGAATTATATATATAAAATTCTTATGGCTAGATTGACCACAGCACAGTCAAGGGAGGCATTTCTGAGGTTATAAATATTGCTGCCTAAAAAATAACTTGAAAAATGGGAATGATCTGTTTTGTAGTGCGGGACTTGCAGCAGGTCTATGACGTTTGGCTGTCAACAGCCAATCCGAACAAGCGAATTGAGGGTGCTCCACTGTCTCAGTCAGTAGAGGAGAAACAGATCACCATGCCTACAGACTTCGCTGAACCTATAGTGAGTATTGTTACATTTTTGAAAATATCCTGAATTGTTGTAACACCATGAAAACTATCCTGACAAACTGTCCTGACAGTGTAAAGTGCCTTTACAAAAGCTGAAATGACAAGAACAGGTGTGGGTTAGGCTTAAAAAGTCTTGGTACATGTAGGACATTATTAATGTATAATTCATATGGCCAAAAAGTAGGTGTGTGCTGCCCCCCCCCCCAATTATTGACTTAAAGTGTTTGTGTAACTGAATTGATTTCAATGCAAGTGCTTAGCCATGCAATCTCTATAGACAAACATTGGCACTAGAATTTCATAGAATAACATGAAACTGCCACTTTTGCTGTGAGTGAGTTCTGTTATTACCATGCTAGATCTACCCCAATCAACTGTAAGTTCCACAGAGTTGCTATAGAGCAACTACAGGTCAGCCACAAAGCTGTAGACCATGCTCACAGAGCGGGGCTGCCAAGTGCTAAAGCACATAGCATGTAAAGAAAACTGTCTTCTGTTGCATTAGAGCTGGGCCTTGATTTTGGGCCATAGATGTCAAAACTCAGTCAGAGGAAAAATCCACATCAGCAATTATGCTAATTTCTGCTAGCACTTCTATTGGATTTTGTGTAGTATGTTAGCATTAAGCTAGCACCTGTGCATTTTGTGTAAAATTGTTCTGGCTGTTCCGGATAAAAACAGACCTTTGCAGTTTTTAAAAGACATTCCATGTTTTATTAGAAGTTTGTAACAAACATATTGACATTAAGATATTTTACTTCATATGTTGCAGTTTTACAGTGACTCGTTTGGTAAAGAGCCCTGGCTACTGTTTTTAATTTCTGACTGAATGCTTTGACAGAAGGCGTAGAGTGACTTTTTTTCTAACAATGTTGGTCCCACCAATTGTAAATTAAACCATGATTGGTTGATTCTACTGACGGATCCTAATTGTGTTATTGGGTTAATTTAATGTGCAAGTGTCTCAGTTCAGCTCTGAAAGGCTTAACCAATGAGAGATCCTGCTTTTCTGTATCTAACTAGACACCACAGAGAACACAATTCTGTTTGGATAATTTTCCGTTGGACAGTTCAATCAAAACAATGTAAGGGTATTGCTACAAACTTGCAAAGCTTGTGAGACATAAACTTGTTAGAATACATATTCCACCCTTGTTTTTGAATTATGTCATTATGCTTGTGCCCAGCCACAGTATCTGAGTACCTTCTGGGCTCAACTTTTGTTCTATTGCAGCATCCAGCACACACAACTCAGGGTTGGATACCACTCATCTGACCTACTTTATCTGTACATATGCCTCACATTTGCATTCTGTCTTGAAGGATGTGTTCCACTGCCGGCTCTGTGGTAAACACAGTAACAGCGAGCGCCAGTGGCAGCAGCACATCTCCTCCGAGCGTCACAAAGACCGCGTGTTGAGTGGAGCAGGGGAGGAGGAGAGCCTCACCTGGATACACCGCTTCCCCGGCCACTGCTTCGCTCTCTGTCCCAGGTACACACACCCTGCTCTCCTTTCACTAAACTAAACCTTCTTTTAAAGCAGATGTTTGGTGAAAGACAAACATGTGACCAGTGTTCCTCCTTAACCTGATTGTAGTCAGTCAGCCAAGACATGTTTGGTGTCTGAAGTTTGCTTCTTTGGTTTTGCATTAGAGCTACGAGGCTAAGAAATCTATCACCCAAAACAGTTTTTGGAAAAAATAGGCCACATTTCATTACCTTTTAACATGCCCTCGCCAAGATCCACTGACCACAAGTGTCACACCTACATACGAGTGGCCATTCACAGGCCACTTGTATGCCCTCACCAACTTCCACTGACCACTCACAAGTGTCACACCTACATATAAGTGCCCACTCATAGTACAAAAGGAGGGAGGAGACAGCGGGGAGCAGAGTGGACTTGCCCTCTATGCTGACCTCAGTGAGTTATATCAGCCAAATCAGAATGTCTGTAGTTATTACAGTATTAATTACTTAAGACTTTGGATTTTTGCTGTTTATTTGCATGTCTGTCAGAAAAGCACTGTCTAACTAAAATTCCTGGTGTCTATTTAGATTTTAACTGTGTTTAGTTATATCAGCCAATGTTGTTAAATTATATTTATATTTATTTTTAGCTCCTTAAAATTGTATTGCTGACAGTTATCCTGTCATTCAGGCTGTACAGTATAAATTACTGTAAGATATACTAAGGATTATATAGAGTCAAAAGCTTTCTGTATATTTGCCATGGCTAGAAAAACTCTGCTGAGACGGGAATTAATTAGTTTTGCAGCGCCTTTTGTTTTCAGTGAGCTGCCAGCCTCATTAATGTATTATGTAAACAGTACAAGCCCAAGTGCAGCTAATAACACTAGTACTCGCTCTTAATGTCCCCTGGGCTTTTAGAAATTCTGAGATCCAAAACAAAGCTCCAGACACCTGGAGGTTTTATGATAACTAGATTAACAAGCCTTAACAAGCCAGTAAAGTGTTTGTTTTGGAGATTTGGAGGTTCTCAGGACAGCAAGTAGATGCTTTATTAGAGTTTTAGATGGTGTGTTTGTTTTTTTTTAACAGGATATTTCTCTTTCTGTCACAGCAACCTGCCAATCAGTTGTAGTGTTGTAGTATGTGTCGTATATACATTAGCTTGCCAGTCAACCCCTGCGTGAGAATAATAAATTTAAGTTATTCTCACAGTACTCAAAACATGTACTTTTCCTGTTGTCATTCGTCTGTTCAGTGTGTGCCAGAGGAGGATGGGTCCACTTCTTGAATCTTGGTTCCTCTCAGTGTTATTTCTTCATGCTCAAGGAGTTTTTCCTTCTGAGTCTTGGTTCCTTTCAGTGGTTCTTCCTAATGCTCAGAGTTTCTCCTTTCGACTCTTGGTTCATCACAGTGGCTGTTCCTTGTGCTCTTGGAGTTTATTCTTTTTGAGTCTTGATTCCTCTGAATGGTTGTTCCAAATGCTCATTTATTTTTACTTCTGAGTCTTGGTTTGTTGCAGTGGTTCTACCTAATGCTCAGGGAGTTTCTCTTTTTAAGGTTTTGGTTCTTCTCTGTGTTTTTTAAATGCTCTTCAGGAGTTTTTCTTTCTGAGTCTTTGTTCCCCTCAGTGGTTTGTCTTTATGCTCTGAGAGTTTTTCTTTTTGAGGTCTTCGTTCATCTCAGTGTTTCTTCCACATTCTCAGGGATTTTTTACATGAACCACACATTTCTTAATATCTTTTTTCTAATAACTGCATTAATATGAGTTTACTAATGAATTTAATTAAAATGTATGCATATAACGAGTATTTTACATTTTACCAAGAGTTTCAACTGTAGCTCAGCCAGTCAAATTTTAGAAGCATAACATTTACCTTTTCCTTTTCTTTTTGGGTTTGGCTGATTGACAGGTTGCAGACCGGCTGTGATGAAGGTGTGAGCTGTGACTTTGCCCACAGTGAAGAGGAGCTTCAAGAGTGGCGGGACAGGCGGGACTTCCTGCGAAGGAGGTTGGACAAAGCTCGAGCCGACATGCTGATCACTCCGAGTGACAATGACTTCGGGAAGTACAACTTCCTCCTGCAAGATTGAACAAATGCATTCACATGCAATCACACACACATGCAATTTCTTTTGAACCACACACTGACCCTTCCCTTGCTTCGAATTGCCGTGCATGTATTATCACACGCATTTATTCACTATTTGACACATGCTTATGATTGTTTAATTTTTTGTTCTTTTAGATATATACTTATATTTTTGCACATTTTTCCTTCCAGCATAGTCATAGCGAGTTCCCATAGCAGTCCAGTGCGTCAAACGTTAGCCCTATGTCTGCACTTTTTTGAGAGTTTTTGTTGCTGCTCATTCTTGAGCACCTAAACACACTTGTAAGAGAACTCTACACACTGTACTTTTGTGCGTTTGCAGACAACTGGAGTGACACATAGTGTCAGGAGTGACGTCTACGTGTGTGATCAAAGGCTTCCAGTTGTTAACTAATTCGAACCTGAGTCTTGGTGGCACTTAGGGATCTGTGTGGGTACTTGAGTACTCAGTTAACCATTTGAGATGCCGTTATTTTCAAATACTGAAATCACTATTCAGATACAGAACTGTAAAACATTAGTTTTGCTCAAATTTGCCGTTATGTTATACTTTGCTACTTAGAAATGTGAGCCTTAATATGGCTGTGTTTCTAAGGACGTGTTGTTAAGAATGTGACCAAGAAGGCAGAGCTCTTGTTGCTCTTATTGCTAAACAGGCTAGGCTGACAAATGTTTAAAATATACTTCTCTGAAAAGCACATTATCCACTGAAAAGAAAAAAACACCTGTAGAAGATATTTAAGTCTCCGTTATGCTATTCATCCAACACGAAAACCTACCGATCTCTCTCATCTATTTTTGAGCAATTTCTCTGCATGACGCTAATCTTTCGTGCAACACCAGCGCTGTCCCCTAAAAAGTAAGCCACAACTCTACATTAATTTGAACTAAAATCTGTTTTTTTTTTCGTTGTTTCTCTGCGTTTAACCAAATATCCTTTTACAAACTCATGCAGACACTCAAAAATCAAAATTAGTCAGAATGCACATACTCAAAACTGCCAACTATACCAACTGTACCTAAAATTACATAAATTCTGATTAAGTTTCCAGACAGAGGTGGAATTTCAGGCATGACAAAATCAGGCTAAAACACCCTGGTGCTGGGCCACACTAGTATTTTAACTGCCTTAATGAGAACTGGATGAGATTCAATACTGCCGTTGTACACATAATGCACTGTCCACATCATACTTACTTTACTAAAGAGAGTTGGATTCAACCAAGGTCAGATTTGAGCAATGCCACAGCCAGCCGAGAAGCAAGAAGGGAATTTATTTTAGGCCATGGAAGACAGTAGGCTGTCATTGTTAAATTGCAGTGTTTTTTGTTGGTTGGATTTGTGTACTTCAACAAACTGGCTTGTGGTCATTAGGTGAAAAGTATAGTCCAGTTGAGAACTAAAGTGAATAGATCAACTTCTGAGAAAAGATTTAAATCCTACCCATTTGAGCAAGTTTCATGTTATGCACTTTATGATTAAATTTAAGTTTTTCCTTGAGGAGGTGAGGTAATGTAATTTTACTACATCTGTAATGTGTATGACTGATTTGCACAAGATATGTAATGGGTGGTGTAAATGGTATTAATTATGGGGAAGGGAGTGGCTACTCAATTTATGCACTGCCACCACACCACATAGTACTTAGTACATAGTACACACAATACTTCTCTCAAGAAGGGGCCGTCCAGAAATTTACTTTAAGGAAAAGTTAGCTTAATCTAACCCCAGCTATCTTAAAAAGGAAGTCCACTGATTTTTTTATTTTTTATTTTTGCACAATTCAGTCATTTAAATACAGTCATTCAGAGTGGTTTGAGGTGAAATGGTTTGTTGTAAAGAAACATGCGGCTTTGGTTTCTTTACCAAGGAACCAGGGGTCGCAATGAGTATAACACCAACGTAGCCAATTTATTTACTCTCCAAAATGACCAGTGAATCTACATGTGTCTTCTGAGTTTTATATGCAGTGTTGATGATGGTACAATATTGGTGAATCTAGAGAAATACATTTACTTTATGGACTATTTTGCTTCACCTCTCCATCAAAAGCTAAGCTAATAAAATATGTAAAAATCATAAATCTATTATAAAACAGTGTTTTGGACATTAGGCAGCATATCCAGAACCACTTCTGTAAGAACTTTCTGCAAAGTAGCTTTTTAGAGACATTGAAACGCTTCAGATGCGTGGTTCCTATCACCACTACTGTGAACAATTCTGACGTAGTGTGTTTCTCTAGAATGGACCATTTCACTTCAAACCATTCTGAATGACTTTGTTTACATCTTAAGTGTTTAATTATGCACACATTTTAAAAATCTTTGAAATTCCCCTTTATGTGAATGCATCAGCTTGAGAAATTACAACCAGCAGTCAACATTGCCACGTAAATCGTTTTTTTTCTGTCAATTTACTATTATAATGTGCTGAGTAGCACACTTAAGGTAGGACAATACATAACAGCATGATTTGGGCCACAGAGAATACAAGAAAATGTTTCTTTGAGTGCCTTCAAACATCAGGAAAAGATGTGATTGACTGTTCACCAACAATGCACAGCATTAATATAAAGGGAATTTCTCCAATTCTATCTTTTTTTGTTTGTTTGTTTAATTAATGTTTAATTAAGCGCAGTTTGTAATAAATACTGACATGGTGGATTTGGACAGGACTAAAATCGCAGTGAAACACAGGTAATAATCACATTACCCCACCTCCGCGTAAAACTAATCCTCTCTGAGGAGTTCTTTAGGGACATGTTAACAGCGCTGTATGCCAGACTGTACAGGAGTTTTAGACGAACACAGGAGAGCGTTAGAAGCAGGTCTTCCATCAGGTAACATCATTTACATGTTAAACTCTCTTCATTTGTGCCAAAACAGTCAACAGCACACTTTTACCTTCAGATAGGTCGGTAATAGGCTGTTCCTGCTCCTCTACAGTTAGGACCAAATGCAGAAGCCTCTTTAAAGTAAGTGCCTCAGTTATATAGTAGTGTATATGTAATGCTCTCCTGAAATAATCTTTAAAAGTAGAAATGTGAGTGCATTTCCCAAGTTATGATGAAGACATTTCTGTAAATGGCTGATCAGATGATGCTGGTGATGTACAGTGTACAGGTTGAAAGTTTTGGTTAAGTTGTGCTTACACTAGGGATGCACTATGATATCGGAATCATATCAGTCTCGGCAGATAATTGCTTAGAAATGATCAGCAGACCAAGATTTAGATTTCACCATTATTGCAAACTATTTGATATATATATATTGTACTCTGGAGGAGCAGAAAGTTTAGGTGATGCTGGGTTTGCATTGCGTAAATGTCTGCATTTTATTTCTTGTACTGCATTTTTAACCCTCTACAAATAAATGCCATTTATTCTGTAATGTAGATATACACCCAGCTTCTACCATTTATAAGTGCTTGTGTGTCAACTTTGGCCCAGAATTCCCATATTAGTGCATCCCTAGCTTGCAGAAACCTACAGAAGGACAGTGTTCAGTTGTATGCAAACGTTTGGGTGCCCCTGGTCAAATTACATGTTTGGTTGGTTTTCTAAGTGAAAAAAAGTTAACACAAACTTTATTCAAATTGTATTCAAATGTTTGCATATGACTGTGCAGTTTTGAGTTACAGGGAGGCAAGAACTTTGCAGTGAAAATGATTCACCTCTTACATAGGAGTCAGAGGAAGAGGGAGTACCAAAAAACATCAAAAAGCACAATTTTTTTCCCCCTTCAGGGCTCCCTACAGTCCATAGTGTGCCTTTAGTGATGATCAGTGTGCCTTTGAAATCAGTATTAGATTTGTTCTCTAGTGCCTGTGCCATGCCTGACATTCGGAGATTTGTCAGACATTATTATCCAATATCTCCCAATGTTTACTGATAACCCAGCGATTCTTCAATCAAGATGTACTTCTGAAGTACCTTATGTACTTTTTCAAAATGTTCGGTTCAGATGTATGTGTTTTATGACATTGACGCTAAACTTGAAACCTCCCTGCTATATTGTTGTGTTTTTTTGTTTGTTTGTTTTTTTTGTGAAATAGAAACAAATTCTGATTGATTATCCGTAGAGTAAGACTCAAAATAGTATCAAAACTCTATGTTACTACGCGATATGGACAGCATACTAGTATTGCAATTATAGTGCTACATGTCACAATTGTGATTTACCTTGAAATATTATAATTCAGGAGTAATAATTTACTTTTGTTGGATTACATGAATAACTTGACTCATTGAAACACCCACAGCAAGGCTCATCTGAAGCTGTTTAGGATGTTCATGCAGTAAAAAAACATTGTCACTGGAGGGCTTTTTTCCATATTGCAGCTTTTTGTGATATCAATATTGCAAAGGCCAGTATCGCCATAACAAGTAACAATGATACAGTCGTATGCCAAAGTTTAGGCAGCCCTGGTCAGATGACATGTTTTGTTGTTTTAAGTGAAAATAAGTTACCTACAGAGAACATACTTCTGCACAACACCGTTTTAATGCACAATTAATGTTAATTTGCTGACTTAACATTGGGGGAAGAAATTAACATTTGCAGAAAAACACCATATCTAAGTTTGTTCCCTGTAGAGGAAGTCGACAAAACATTTCATTTGAACATGGTTATTCGAACAATATGACTGTAAGTAGTGCAGACCTATTTTGTATGCTCTGCTTTGTCAGCCATAGCAGATACAGTGGCCAACAATGATTTGATTTCTCGTCTTTGGTTTTTTTGGTCAGTTACCAAATGACTCTTAGTTAAAATGCTCAGAAAACTTTGACAATCTTCATGTTGTACCTTCCCTTTCCTTTCCCTTTAAAGATTACCATTTTGGAGATACAGTGACGAGAATGTACCTGCGTTTCTGAAGGTATCATTTGCCTAGATATCTTTAGTCGTCCCCTATGTGGTGGATAAATGAACATGCTCTGTGGGTCTTCAGGCTGTCAGCCCACAACACAGCCAGCAGACCAAAACACCACCAGAGCAGACAGATAGTGGTCAGGTTACGGTCTAATTCAGTTCAAACTGCCTCTGACCCAAATAAACATCTCCTCTCGGGGCCAAAACGTACTCAGTATTTGGGCCAGAGAGACAGTTCGAGAGACAAATCGAGAGAATTCTGATGTTCTACAAGTTTGATCAGAATTAGCAGAATTGTGGTGTTTTATGTGATTATGGAGATGGATCTCTGGGTATAGAGCAATAGTGTGGCCTTGTGCTGTAATTCTGAACTTGTGTTGGCAGGGACTCAGCCTATAAAAACATTCATAGACTGAGGAAGCCAGTGGAGAGTTGGTGAAAGAATTTGTTTTATTAAAGAAGGAAGAATTATTGGAATTATTATGGATAATGAAGAACTCAGAGTAGCTGAATTTTCTGGTCCACTGTTTTGATCACTCATTTTGTCACGTTTCTGTTTTTGTCACTAAATATATGTCACAAGATAATGTGGAAATGAGGCTTTGCCAGTTGAAAATGTGTACATCTCATAGTTTTTGTGACGAAGGAAGAAGTTTCCTTTCTTCATATGAAGAGAAAGTGACTCAGTTTGCCATATTCGATTCATGTTGAGATTTATTCTAACAGTTTTTGGTTTGAAACCACTACCTTACTGATGCCAATCTCAATGTGTATACAAAGTGCTGATATTTGAATGATGAAACACCTGACTATGACTTGAGTGT